GAGGATTTGCATACATTTCTCTCTTCTTTGTTTGATGGAAGTGGAGAACTTCAGAAGGTGCGTATAACTCAAGTCTAGAAACGTCATAATACATTCAATCATATTATTACAGTTGCATAAATAAAATCTGAAATCACAATTATCAATGTAAGTATTATCAATCAGAATAATTTTGGCTTAATGTCAATCACTTTAAAACCTGCACTCTTTGTTAGGCAGCACTGGGCAGCACAATTCTATAATTAAAAGTAGCTAAAGGACACATATAATGCAAGCCACTATTCTTAATTGTATACCTCAGGTCTTTATCAAACGTTAAAGTGCGTCTTCACGTGACTTTTGTTATTTCAATAATGCTATGTTAAAAGCTGCATTGCCTTCAGATCTGATTTTCTTTAAAGAGCTCATTGAAAATATGTAAATTTTGCATTGCTTCTTAAATATTGAATATATAATTATCTAAAACTTAAAATTTATGTATGTGGTGAACTTCAATCTGACTCCTTCATAACGTTTTAAAGGAAAAGCAACAGCGTTTTGACAAAACTCATTTCACAAGTCCAAATTTATTCAACCGAAAACCTGTTTCTCTCTCTCTCTCTCTCTCTCTCTCGGCTTAGCGAAACCTAATAACAGCCTCTTCCTGTTGCGGCAAGTTGGCAGTTATGAAATTTCTGCCGCACGAGAAAGGTTCGTTCCTCAAGCAGCAAGGGGGATCATCATCTTATCAACCTCTGCCAGTCCAAATCCCAATATCTGATTTTCCGGCTCGCAACTTCTCAAGAACACAAGCCAGCGGTGGGCAGCGATAAAAGAAGGAAGCTCCAAGTATATATTTTCTTTTTTCGGGTCAGGCACACGCTCGCGCGTCAGTTCTTTTTTTATCTCATCCGGGCACAAACTTTTTCGAAAAGTTGCACGCGATCAAGAAGGGAAAAGAGAAAAATGGTGCTCGAGACGCGCGAGAGAGCGGAAGTCGGCCAATTTGAGCTCGTCAACGCGTCGCAGAAATTGGCTCAAAGTAGTTGTCGCCGCGTTTCGTTTCCCGACGAACACACAAAACGACCTAATTGAAAAGAGCTGTGTAGGTGCGAGCTCAACGCAACGTGCGAGAGGCGGATAATTTAATTTGCAGTGACACGGCTCTAATGAAACGCTGCTTCTTCTTCAATCAAGTGCCCGTGATCTGCAAATGTCAAGTCTTTTTACAACGATCGTCCGTTGTGTTTTTACTGGTCTTAATATACAATTAATAATGAATTTCTACTACAAAACCTCTAAAATATTGCTTTCAATTATGCATTTATACAAAAAATTTAAAGATAAATTACACCTTTGAATACATCTCTTATATGTCCCTGAATCATTAAATTAGCTCTTTAAATAAGTTTCTCTCCAGTGATTAATTTTAATTAATTATTTATTCATCCAATAGATGTTTAGTCTTGAATTGAGAAATATTCTTTAACGGCTTATTGAAAATGTTATTTCTTATTACTTTTGACGAATAATTTTGGCACAAGAGAATAAAATAGGGGCTCTCATAATGTTGAAATTTTAATTCTCTAGCTCCAGGGTAGAACTTAGTGCCGTTTCCGTCTGCAGGCAAGGCAAAAAGCAAACACATTTTAGCTACATAATATTATCTCTGAAATTAATTGAGCACCCGCGTGCACGGCAATGCCGCGCGTAAGCCACCCGAGCGCAGACGATTAAATTAGTTGGCAAATTGCAAGATTAGACCAAACGAAATAATCTCGCTTGTGCTTTTTGCGCAGCGTCGTCTTGAGAGAGAGAAAAGAGAGACTCGAGGTCGCGAGCAAACGAAACGACCAGGGTGGCTTCTGCGTGCACATGGCACACGGGACGTAATTAATTTCGTTCTCGTCGCACATTTATATATGTTTGTATATTTTTGCATTGTGGGCGGAGGAAAATGCCAAACGCACAGCAAAAGAGCGCAGGCGGAAATTTTATTGTGTAGACTTTCACATTTGGCGCTGCTTTTTTCCCCGCACAATGTGAATGCTTAAGCGGCTGACAAAACAGGTAAATACCTATCCTTTTTGTTGCCGCCGGTGCTTCGGTCCTGAGGGATTTGCCCGAGCATCGATCCATTGTGCGAAAAGGGAGGAAACAATCGGAGAGAGGTTTAATCGTTGCATTCGGATGCCAGCAGGAATTAGTCTTGATTGCGAGACAATGATACACGCTTGGGCGGAATAACTCCGTGCCACGCGATCTGGAAATGAGTGAGAACGACGGATGAAGTCCATCGCAACAGAAATTCTTTTATAAGGAGCAGAGAGAGAAAAAATATCAAGATATTTGTACAAAAAAAATACCAAAATATATATATATATATATATATTATATGGAGCATATTGCGCTAACAATAAGATAAATACATAAGACGGACATTTTGTCTTTTCTAAAAAAATCGTTTCCAAATGAATTTAATTTTGCTTTGTTTAAAAAAATATAATGCTTAAGATTGGAACCTTTACTAGTTACTTAATTCTGTTTCAGACAAGAGAAATAAATATGAATCCAATTAAAATTACTCAGCCATGCACGTTTCAGTTAGCTTTGCATGTCATTTTGGCTCGTAACCAAACAATATTTTTCCATAATTTATTTTGAGTTTTGTTTGTGAAAAATAAATTTAATGTTGATACAATTTATAATAATTTACAATTTAATTGAAAAAAAAAACTTTAGGTTTATTTTTACTTTTACCATTTCAATATTATTTCCTTTGTATTTTACTTTCATTTTTATTCCATAAAATACCTCTACACGCAACACATTTACTTTTAAAGATATAAACACCGACGTGCGTAATCCAGGGATAAAAGAATCTAATCGGATTATCGCGGGTAGAAATATATATTGTATTGCCAGAGGCGATGCTGATAAACCCACGGAGCGTATGGACCAAACACACATATTGCGGTCCTTTGACACTCCGCAATTAATTTGGTTGAAAGGTGTTGCGTCGCTGTGGGACTGCGCGGACGGCGGGGTTGTCGACAGGTGGGCCCAGCTGGGCCGTCCATTCATGTGGCGCCCGGTGGTGAGGCGGCGGGTTGCCAGCTCAGGGGTGTGCATTATTGATCTGCACCCTCCTCACCCCCGGGCCAATTCACAAATCGTCCTCGCGGCGCCCGCCCGCACAAATACCTCAAATACCTGCCCTCCCTCACAAGACCGAGAGCAAAATAAATACTACACGGCATACCCACGGCGGCTGCGGCACACCAATGCTGCCCGCTGCCCTTTGCGGTGTCCCTTTGCGGTGCAGTCCTTGCGAACCATTAAGTTCAGTTCACGCAGCGAGCACCCGAAAGGAATTTACTCTCCTATTTGCAATCATTACAAATATATTAATATACTTTTAATTAAATGTTTCAATCAATTTCAATTAACAACTTTAGATGAAAAATATTAATTTTATAATTTACTGTTAAGACGAGAGGGATAGCTTTTATATTTTATGAAAATCTAGCTACATGATGCAAATTCAAATGAAATTATTTAAGTGTACACGTATAATTATAAAATTTTCAATGAAAATTGTGATTTTACTTTTGCAAAGTTTTCATTTTGTCATTATACACATTTTTCAATCCAGCAATTAAATTACTTATTTTATCTGAAATTAAATGTTATTTAGCTTGGAAACAAATTATATAATAATGCAACCATACAACATTAAAAGATATATTTTTTTTTAAGTTTCCTTTTTTAAACAGGATAGAAGGACAAGTTCGCTCGAGTTTTGAATACAACACTTTCATATATGTTAATAGAAATTGAATTGAGGCAAAATTCAGATTATTAAAATAGAGAAGTTTGTTGCCAATTCTTATTGTCAGTTAATGAAATATGATTGCTTTCAAAATTCACAGAAACCATTTCATTTATTAGATTTGGAAAAGGAAAGTATGTCTTTTGGATGTGATTTTACGTTCCATGCGTGGACAAATATTGCCTGTTTACCTGCGCAATTAGCAATTGACAGAGTGGATGAGTCAATAAATAGTGTAGCGCGCGCCCCTCCATAAATAATTTGGTATCGTTCCATCTCCGCCCTGCGCGATTTCGCAGCCCGTGTATAGCAGCAGCACCGCACACACACTTGCTGTTCATATTTCCAATTTCCTGCCTACGGCGAATTCATTGATTGGGTGCTTGTTGTGCTCAATAAAGGTGCACATCTTTTTCTCCATTTGTCTCCATTTCTCTCTCACAATGAATTTAATTGGAGAGGATCACGCTACAATATTCTGAACCGTTTTGAATGATCAAAGAGAGAGATCAATTTCAATTATTTCGTTGAGAGCGAACCGCTGAGTTTTACAAATTACTTTCCTTAATCCGCCTTTCCAACAAGGCTTTTTCCTTTTACTGTACTCCTGTGGCAGAAATATATAAAGCGCTTCTTTTGCCGTGCAAAGCTGGCTAATCATTAGACTTTATTCTTCTTTAAACCTTTTAACGTTTCTCAAGCCTCCAGGGAGGTGTAAGAATATAATTGTACTCAAATGGAAGACGCAATTTTGAATTACAATAAGTCTTATTGTCTCGTGCGGTTTTCATGTCATGTCAGTTGCCCATACAAACTAACTAAAATTTAAAATATTCATGTTTATAATTAAAATAACGATCTTCTAATATTCTCTCATTAAATAATTTGATTTGAATTGTCATGATTTAAAATCTTTATTTAATTAATGGAAAATCTGAAATTAGTTTTGCAATTAAGTCCGAGTTAATTATCTTGTGTTCATTAAGCCAAACCTTTGATAAACAGGATCTGAATTTATAACCCTGAAGAGTTGAATAAATTATTGATGTTACAAATTTTTGAAGTTACATTTCGTGATATATAATAAAATTGTAATTTATAATTAATTTTTCAAAAACATTTTCAATTTAAACATAATTTTAACGTTCTTTATAAATTTTAATTTTTTTTTGTCTGACAAATGTTGCAGTTGACTGTCGGGAGGAATCCGTTCTGGCCGTTCTGCTGGAGAAGGTGGTCGCCGGGCGCCTGGTTGTGGCCGCTTTGCCCGAGTCCCTGTGCCCTCTGGTCGGAGCTCTGGCCTCCGTTCGTGGAGCCAAAATCATTACCTGGAGCTGCCCGCACATCGATGCAACGCAGAGTGTGGTGGGTTTGGTGCCAGGGACGGCAGCACGCTCCTTTGCCCTCGGACGTCTGCACAAATTGTTCAGATGGAGGCGAGTAGCCATCGTGGAGGCGGACGATTCTCTGTGGGGTCGCGCGCAGGGCAAACAACTGGAGATGGCACTTCGGGCGGAGAGAGTGGACGTTCAACTTCGCGTCAAGACGAGCAGCTTGCCAGGAGCTTTAGTGGACCTTCCTCATGCCCAAGGTTTCATTAATATTTTTTTAAATTTCAATGATTCTAGGTAATATGAATGTTTAATTTTATACTTCTCAAAATAATTTTAGTAAGATAGTAAAATATTTAATATTTATTCTTATGTTACAATTAACAGATTAATTTTATATTTATTTTATATTTCAGCAATACTTCTTAAATCATAAACTTACAGTTCATATCACATTAGAGAAAAAAAATACTTTAGTTTAAATCATAACAATGGAAATTTTTAGTAAAAAAATTATGGGGGATAATATTCAAATGCTAAGTTAGCACCAGCAAACCCCATAAGAAAATTAGCATAGGAATATCCCTCATTAATTTTTTAAATATTTTTGTAAATAAATATACATGTAAAAATGAAATAATACAATTTTTTTTTTCATTATTTCTAAAAATTTTAGAAGGAGAAAACTGAATTGTACAATTTATTATTTTTCTAAGCTACAAAAGTGTTTTTATCATATATTTAAAATTTCACTCTTTGTGCATACAAAACTTACGTAATGAAAATGTATTTTGGTCTTACACGTTTTATAATATATTATGAAGTTATACATACATAAATGTAACTGAAGTAATACTAAAAATTTATAGTAGTTTATTCTTTTTGCTTTTATTCGTAGACTTTTGTAACATAAACATTTTATACTTTCTATTCTATACTTGAATCTTATGATATGAGCCATCTTTTTCTATATTTATTCGATTTGATGATGGGAAATTTTGTCGTAGTCGTGATCCTCTGCGTGCGATTTGGCACACCTGCCTTCTCTGAGGCCGTCGCTTCCCTCACGTCTGCTCTCATCAGCCACCCTCTCATTGTGGCCTTTGCTCACCCTTTCGTTTTGCCCGCCTCCGCCTCGTTTTTCCAACCACCACCGGGTCTCTCCCTGCCTCAAAACATGCTCATTCTGGCTGCGTTCGACGACCCGCCGGCTCGAGTAAGAGACAATAATGCTAAAATTAAACAGACGCCTTTCATTTTCACAAAACATTCCAGACGAATCGCTCCGTCGCACAAACGGACCTCAACGTCTCGCAGTTCGCCCTAGTGTCTCGTTTGCACGAAGCGGCCGCCCTGCAAGCGTCGCCGGACGCCCTTTCGATCTCCGGACTCGAAGGACAAACGGTGAAAATGCACGCGAACGAGCGCCAGTCACACTTTCTGCTGCTGCAACCCGTCCGCAATGAGAGCGGCGGCCAATTGATTTGGTGGCCCTTCGCCCAAGTGGAGCCCAACGGAACGGCCACGATCAAGTCCACCCCGACGTGGTCCTGCTGCGAGGAGGTGGCCGCTTTTTCCCCGTGGCAAATTGCGTGCGCCATCGTCGCAGCCCTCGTCATTGTCGGCGCCGCCGGCGTTGGTGCCGTTGGTCTTCGGAGGCAGCTTCTCAAGCAGAAAATGTCCAGAGGACCGTACAAGGTCATCCTCACCTCAGCCGACTTTGTTTTCCCTCAAGTTGGAGACAATAGAAGGGTAAAATTTAAAATAACTTTGAAGAAATATTTGCAAGCTTTTTTCAATATTTACACAAAGAATATAATTTATTCATTTGACGGAAGTAACAATAATCGTGATATGCTTAAATTATTTTGCATACAATGAAATTTTTCCGATTTGGTCTGCTTTCATCCGCTACATAACTATTAGATTTTTTTAGAGGAATAAAAAAATTTAAAATATTGAAAAAGTCTAATATACTTTAAACAAAGATGAATTCTAAATTTATTTGAAATTAGTTGCAAGATTTTATGCTATCTTGTATTTTTAATATCAATGAAAAAATTAAATAATGAAATACTGCAATGTTTAACTATATTTTATGTTTCTAAAACTCGTTTTATTAATAAATATAATAAATTTATGTCCACTAAAAACATCTTCTCACATTTTTTTGTCATGTATATTTAATTTTCTTTCTTCATTTATTTAGGTGGAAGCTGGAATAGAGGCAATGCTGTGCTGCTGGTTGCAGCACTTGCAAGAGTTTGGGGCACCAGACATTTCCTCCTCAGATAGACCCGACCTTCTGCAGGGTTCGGTGGCCTCTTTGAGGACCGCCGTGGCTTCAGGCCCTTCGAGTCAGGCCAGTCTGCGGCCGCCAATCGAACGACGAGCTCGATACAACGGCGACTTGGTTCACCTGCGTGAGCTGCAATCAAGTCCGGGCTTTGAACTGAAAAACAAAGCACTTGACGTGCTCTTGACGGTAACGACCCTAATAAATAATGAGCAGTAAAATTGGTTATAATTATATTATGCGTACTTGCAGCTGCACGGATTGCGACACGAAAACGTTGCTGTTCTCATGGGCTGTCTGGCGGACCCGAGCAGGCCATGCCTGGTTTGGGAATGGGCCTCGAGAGGATCCCTGCAAGATGTGTTGGTTCATGACGAAATCAAGTTGGACTGGTCTTTCAGACTGTCCCTGCTCACCGACTTGGTCAGGGTAAGTAATAAAATATTTACATATTTTGTATTTTTAATTTTTCAATATTTTAAAATTTTACCACTATTTTTAAGAGAATTTGTCATAAAAATATTAATACTCAAAATTTTACATAATAATGATATCAGTAAATCTTATTTCGTCGATATTTTTAATTTATCAAGAGAAAATTGGCTTTTTTGCTAATTAATATTAAATTTTAATAGGGAATGCGATATCTACATGCGTCGCCTATCAAGGTGCACGGCTACCTGAGTTCTCGAAACTGCGTCATTGATTCGCGCTGGGTTCTGAAAGTGACAGACTATGGCCTGCCCTTGCTGCAGGACGCTCAGGGATTGCAACCTGCGCAAAAGACAGCCAGGGAGCTGCTTTGGACGGCACCTGAGCTACTCAGGGAGCCGACGTTGAGGCGCAAAGGAACGCAACCTGGCGACGTGTACAGTTTCGGAATCATAACTCAAGAGGTAGTGCTCAGGGGTGAACCCTTTTGCACCCTGAATCTAACCCCTGAAGGTAAAATTATTTACATCTACATGGAGTTCTGCTAATTAAATAATTTTGAAGAAATTTTGGAAAAAATTAAAAAGCCGCCTCCTATGATTCGGCCCTCGGTGTCCAAGGGTGCTGCTCCTCCAGAGGCCATCAACATCATGAGACAGTGTTGGGCTGAAAACCCTGAGATGAGACCAACCTTCATCCAAATTAATGACTTGTTCAAGAAATTGAACCACGGGAGGTTTGTTCAAACATTGGAATAAATAATTTATTTTATTGCATTTGTTAATTTCCACAGGAAAGTCAACATTGTGGACACGATGTTCCAAATGCTGGAAAAGTACTCCAACAACCTGGAGGAACTTATCAGGGAGCGCACAGAGCAACTCGACATGGAGAAACGAAAGACTGAACAGCTGCTGAACAGGATGCTGCCAAGTTCAGTGGCTGAGAAACTCAAACTCGGCATGCCCGTTGGACCAGAGGTGTTTCCAGAAGTGACCATTTACTTTTCGGACATTGTTGGCTTCACAACCATTTCTGCCTACTCGACGCCCCTGCAAGTGGTGGAACTGCTCAACGAACTGTACACCAGTTTCGACGCCACCATCAACGCCTACAGCGTTTATAAAGTGAGACAAATAATTTTTAAGTTAATTTTGTTATTGTATACCTCTTTTAATTGATAATTTAAAGGTCGAGACGATTGGGGACGCGTATATGGTGGTGGGTGGCCTGCCAGTGCGCATCGCTGACCACGCGGCGCAAATCGCTACTATGGCCCTTGACCTGCTGCACCTGAGCGGAAAATTCCGAATCAAGCACCTGCCCAAGACGCCTTTGCGGTTGCGAATTGGACTTCACTCAGGTTCATGTTGTGCTGGGGTGGTCGGCTTGACAATGCCGCGATATTGTCTCTTTGGGGATACGGTCAATACTGCCTCCAGAATGGAATCAACAGGTACAGAACCATCTTATATTACTTAAAAGAAATTCTCGGTTCACTCAAAAAATTATTAATTTTGCCCAAAATATAAATTAAACTATAACTAAAACTATAATTTTGTGACACTTAAATTTATAATCAGATAAATAAAAAAAAAATCAATATTATAAACATTTTTTAAAAGCACTATTATTTTGAAGCACTTTTTTGTTGATGTACTTTTTAATCTCCAGGTGCTGCTTGGCGTATTCACGTGTCACAAGAAACGAGGGACCTCCTCGTTGCAGACGGTGGATATGAACTCGAGTTTAGGGGTATCACGGAAATCAAAGGGAAGGGTCCAAAGCCAACATATTGGCTATCAGGGAAAGCCGGTTTCAACAAAGAACTTCCAACGCCACCTCCCTTTGAGTAAGTTTTAAATTCCATCTTATATTTGTATATTCTTCTTTATAACAATAATTATTTTGCAAACTATCAAAAGAGAGAGCCACGGGTGAGTTAAATCATCAAAAATTTATAATATAATAATGAACAATTTAAATTATCATTTTAATTCTAATTTACTATAATTTTTATATAATTAGTCTGGACGAGCGGCTCATTTTGTCCTCATTGGCGGAAGGATCATTAATAATGGAAGAAGAGGTAGAGAGTCCATCAGGACAACCGGATGCATCGACAATCCACGGTTCCGCGCCGAGTCTGATCGAACGTGCCCCCCGTCTCAGCCAGACCACCAGTTCAGAAAGAAGGGCCCTGTGGGGCTCGCCAGAAGAAGATTTGAGTCGCGCCTTCAACCACTATCGCTGTCTGACGGCTGGGGGCACTCAGACAGCCGACCGCCGCCTCCGACGCCAGTTCAGTCTCGACCGCGAAGACCTGAGCACTTCGCGCCGCTCCCTGCCCAAGCAGAACTCAGCCGGGAGTCCGCCGAGGGAGCTGGAGCGCATCGAGGAGGCGGCCAAACTCTCTCCCAGGCCTAACCAAACGACCCCCACAGACTGAGAGTCCCTGGTGGACGCTCTAGGGGCATTTGTATGCGAGTGGGGGTTAAATTTCCATGGCAAGGGTGCCAAGTTTTAGTGATCTTCTTGTGAAAATTAAAAATCTGTTAATTTATTTTATTTTCAAAATATAATTAGGTCGTTCTAGGTGAAGAATCGGAAACTGCCGAAAATCTATATATTATATATTTTAATACTTTTTACTGCGTCTTAAATCTGATCAACCCTGAACAAAAAATATGTCACTTGGAAGCTAGGAAAGCACAAAAGGGGCACCCTCACCGAATAACTAACTAGTCTGACTGTGTGATTCATAAAAGCAAATAATCCAAATAAATATATAATGAATATGCTGTTAGAATCCGTAAAATGTGTGTTGCTAGGATTTCTAAAAATATGTCAAAAACTCACGAGACTCTAGACTATTTTTGTGTTGTCGCGTTTTTTGATAACATATTTTCTGTGAAGAACTTTTTCACCGCCTTACCTTGTAAGACAAATTAGCCACATTTAGCAGGCAGTCGTGTGAAATGAGCCGGAAAAGTAGATTCAGGCTGTATACGATTTAGTTTTCCCATTTCTCACATGTGACGTAAAAGATTGTGTTGAAATAAATGCAATCGATATATCAAAACTTGATCATGCCTGCCACGATTTAGTTGCAAAAATCAAAACGCCCACCCATAGTGAAACAAATCTCTGTGGTGATAATCAAGAGAGCAATACTGAATAGTTCCTGCCCCGTCTCTCAATGTCTCAGAGCTTTGTGTCAAAAAGAAACCACCAATCAAACAAATTGTGTCTGTCTCACCCTGAATAAAACTATTTAAAAATTGAATAAAGTGGTTCTATGAATAAAATCCATTGTTGTGTACAAAACCCAAAAAGCCAAATTTATTCAAAAAAGTTGTCAGAGCACAAGGGCTTTGAGTTCAGCCACCAACTCACCCTCCTTTTTAATCTTCTCTGCCTGGTTCAACTCAAGCTGTTTTCCCGAGGATGCCAGATCCTTTAATTTTGCTATGTCTTGCAATTTCTGCAAGGAATCAAGTAAAAAACATGAATTTTTAAAGGAAATGAAGACAAAAAGGGTTTACCTTTTTCAAATTCTTGATTTTCTTAGCCTTTTCAGGGTCATCTGTTTGGAGGTTGTCTTCAGTAATGCCTTTTGGCAAATACGAGGCAGGAGTTGCGGCTGATTTTGGTGTTGGCTCTTCACTTGACTCTTCAATCGTTGTCGCTTTGTTGGCCTTCTTTGCATCTCTTTTCTTTTTCTGCTTTGAAGGAGCCTTGTTTGGCTCAGGAGCTGAAGAACATCAAGAAATTAGGTTAACGATTTAAATTTTTTTTGATAAATACATACCAACAGTGATTCCTGGAGGAAGGCCTCTTCCCGGTCTAATGTGTTGTGGTGCTTCAAATTCATGAAGTTTAAAATTGCTCTCTTTGCCTCTCGCAGACGGGGGCCGGTAAACTTCTTTAGATGCTGTATACAAATTTGTCAAATTTATGAATACAATTTTATAACTGGATAAACCTTGGGGTTGACTTGGCTGAATTCCTTGGATTTTGGCCTTGCTGATGGGTTTTGGCTGGAAAGTGTTAGGAGGGTAAGTTTGCCACTGCACTTCCCACAACTCCTCCTCCTTGTTCCACGGCCGCTCAAACAACATAGCTCCTGAGTAGTGCCAAACTTTGAAGCCGTTGCCCTGTCGAAGACGCGGGGCGGTGGTGGCTGTTGCAAAATGCTGACCGTCAGGACACCAACCAAGCCAGGTAGAGTCGGGAGCATTGAAACTTGATATCTAGTACAAAAGTTAAAATATTTCAACCTAGTATTTAAAATCGGTGAAATGACGAACCTGTTTTCTATTTGAAGTTGTATCCCAAACTTCTATTGCACCTCTCAAATTGCCAAAACCAGCCAGCAACATCAAATCTCCCAACGGACTGTAATAAACAACGTTCCTTGGTCCAGTTCCAAAATCAAATATTGCCTCAGCCTTGGCATTGTACACTGTTGCCTAGTAAAAAGTAAATTATTTATAAAATTTTATTTGGAAGAAAAAGAAACAAACTTTTGCTGGCATGTAGCCATAGACGACACAGAATTCACTAGAGTTTGGACTCCACTCTACAGAGTAAACAGGACCGTCTTTGGCCAAAGCTACCATTGATGAATCGCCTTTAGTGGTTACAAAATGCAAACTCTGCTTTCCGTAGTAAGAGGCCCCTGAAGAGTCGACGTCTACATTTGTCATCAGCAGCACAGTTGTGCCTTTAGCATTCCAATAGGTTTCCAGCCTTTCAGCCTAAAGATTTTTTGAATTAACAAAAGTCGTTAAAAATTTATCATGATATTACCTGGAAAAAGCTTTTGCTAGCAACTGCTTGCCCAGGCTCGAATTTGGGGTACTGGAAGAGTTTGCCATTTCCAGGTTGGCCTTGTTTGCCTAATTGGGTAAATTAAAAATAAAATAGAAGTTTTAACTCAACAACGATTCAAATTCAAATACCTGGGATGTAACAAACTACATGGATTGGCTTTGGTCCAGGACTCAAACTGAAAGAGGCCACTTTCGGTATGCCAACTTTGCCAGCAACTTTTTCCAAGTCTCCGTCTTCATAAAAGAACACGTCTGAGCCAGAGTTTCGACCGCACAATTTCTCGTCATCACTCCATTGCAACTCCCTTCATAAAAAAGTTCAGTAAGAAAAATAAGATTTAAAGAATGAAATGATTTACCATCCCGAGTGCTTTTTGAAAACATATCCTTTAAGCAGTTCTCCGTCCTGTGTCCGGTACACATTCATATTTGGGGAGCCTTGAGGGTTATCCGGAGTTGCTGTAGATTATTTACAAAAATCAATTTACGTTCTGGAACAAAATATAGCCTTACTCATGAAAGCCTCCCACACCATCAAGTATGTGCCTTTGGGGGAGAATTTGAGGTACAAAACTCTCGGCCTGGCAATTATTTGAACCAAACTCCAGTCTTTCACAGCCACGATCGTCACACTAAATCAAACAGTAAAAAGAATCTTAATTAAAACCAAATCAGGATTTCTATGACTTTCCTTACACAGCTGAGTTTGTCCAAGCAAAATACTGCCCGTTGGGACTGAATGCCATAAATTTGCATTGCTTTGACATGTCCCGTGGACATTGTGTGTTGAGCTCATAGCTGGGTGGGCCTCTGTGGAAGAGCAAGCCAGTTGAGCCACGGACTGCAAAATATTGATTGTTTAGATGAAATCAAAGAACATGTAGTTGTTGCGTAAAGAGTTTAGTCTCGATTAGTGATCAATTGATCATTCCAAAGAAATGAGTAAAATTTTTATGTACATACACACGTATTTACTGTTTTCCTTTTAAAAATTAATTTTTTTTACAAAATTTAGAATAATGTGTGTTAATGAACTTCTTTAAAAGAAAAACTGGTTGGAATAAAAGTGAAAAAAATAAATTCCATAAATTCATCAGTCGACCGAAAGTTTTTTGTTGTTGTTTTCTTGCAAACAAATTCCAGCATGTCTTTCCAAGGGTGTCTGACGAATTATTATTACTCCAAATTTTGACCATTAAAAAGTATTCAGAGCGAAATTTTATAACATAAATGTGAAATAATTATTCAAGATTGACGTGAACTGAATTCGGCATTGATCACGTTCATCAGAAATTGAAAATTAAAGAAAATATGTACTCACTGGCTAAATGAGGCACCGGCTCAGCGGCCATCTTTGACCATGTGATGATTTTAAATTACGCGCCACGACGGCACCGTGAATAGAGGGTATGCAACGTGCAGGACACGGATGCTCAACAGGCTGCATACCTCGAATATCAGCAGGCGTTTAATGGAGAACAAAAGGTTCAAAATTGGGACATTGAAGAATAAGAAAAAATTAATTATAAAATATTTTCTCAGAAACTCTTAAAGGTCAATCGATGACCCTTGTCCTGTAAATATTAAAAATTTAAATTTTGTACCCAAAAATTTTGGTTTTCTAGTTTTCTTTAAAAGAAACAAAATATGGATAATGCAAAGTAACATTAATAGTTTGGAGTTGAAAAAGCACCCCTATTCTGACGCAAGGGCTGCAGTCGCTGGTCTGAAGGTCGGGGAAAGGGCGGCAAACTTTTGGCGCCTCAAGTGGCGAGTGGGGAAAGTTGGGTGAGCGGCCGCAGGGATGCGCGGCTGCGAAGCAGAGGCGGCGAACGGAGGCGGTGGTGGCGGCGCAGGCACCCCGCCCAGGGCGGCGGCGCCACCGTCGGGCAGATCAATAGGGGCGGATGACGTCAGTGGCTCGGCGGCTGATTGGCTGCAAGTGAGCGAGCAGTTATTGAGTGCGTACGGCATGAATGGACGAGTTCTCAAGTGAGCACCAGAAAAAGCAGCCCGGCCAGGATGCAGGCGGCCAAGTAGGCCCACCGAGGGCCGTCTGAGTGCCCGCCCCGGCCCATGCCCGAGAGAATGGCCGACCCGCGGGCGCCCGTGGGCCTAGATTTGCCCGACCTGTCGCACCTCACAGAAGAGGAGCGCAGGATCATCGAGAACGTCATGCTGCGCCAGCGGCAGGAGGAGGAGAAGGAGAATGAGATCATGAGGTACGTACCCTGAGGAGGACTCCTCAGGTCGCCGCACATTTCGGCCCTTTTTCTTTGTTCTTTTTTCTCCCGAGGCAGGGGTCGCTGTCCTTGTTTAGGGATCACACGCTCAGGTCCGCCCTGGTGGTTGGTACCTTTCAACGATGGTTTCCACAGGGTTTAAAGGGTGTTTTAATGAGTTAGGCCATCTTTAATAGCGTCGCCGGCACGGAAGAGGTCTTTGATCTCGCCCACAGCTCCGGGCACTTTCACTGTTTTGGTCCTCCATTACTAACCCAGATTTTGTACCCCGAGAGGACAGCCACCCTTGTTTACCCACCCTGAGGAAACGGCCGCTTTTGGCGCAGATTAAACACTTTTTGGTGGTTCTTTTGTAAAAAACGCATCCCCTAGGCAAAGTTTTGGCGGGATATCTGGGACAGTTTTGTCGGTTAGGTAAACAATCAAGGGTGGATCCGAAATTTGTTTCTGGGAGTGAACTTTCAACCTTTTAAATAGGGGATAGCAGAGTAACAGTCAGCCCAACACAATTAATAGATATTGTTCAAATAATTCAAAACAATCTAAATTTTTGGATTTTTTTCACAATTGAATTAAAAATGTTTTTTTGAGTATTCCAATATTTTGATCTTCAAATAAAAGAGATTTAAAAAAGGTAATATTAACATTTTTCTCCCTGTTGTATAGCACCCGTGTCAGTTGAAGTTGAAACTGAGGGCTGAGGGTGCAGCTTAAGTAAACAAAACACGGTGCATACAATGTTCTGCAGCACTGGGATGAAAATAATGGAGGTGTTGATAATGGAAAGTCTTTGATCCCTGCAATACATCTTGAGGCTTCTTCATAGCCACCGAAATTATCTTTTATTGCCTCAAAGCGCCTTTGAGTGACACATGAAACAAAACTGACGAGAGGAAAAGAACCACTTAACCACATCGTAAAAAATCCATTGCAATTTTCACAATTTTCATTCAAAATTATAACACACGTTACATTAAATTGCGTTGATTATTGCGAATTTAATTAAAACAAAAACTTAATATTAATTTTTATGTAAACTTAATTAAATGTTGCCTTATTTTATGATATTAATTTTATGATTTTCCAAATTTGTATAATATATTATAGATATAACAGTATGATCTTGACTCTTGACCATTCCAATATCTGTAAAGCAAAAGTTAAATATGCAAATGGCCAAGGTCGAGGGAAGTAATTCAAGTGCTCATATCCAATTTTGCGTCTGCAACTCGGCCAACAAATATGCACATTCACAAACACTTCTTACAGAAAGCTGAGAAATTTTATTTTACTGCTCAGTTCTCCAAATAACTTTATTTAGCAAGTTTGGAATTTTTATCCTGTAGACACACTTTTTTCGAAAAAAGCGCTTCAGTATTGAAATTATTGTTTTAAAACTACTCAATATTACTACGTCAAATGCTTATGAAACCTAGCGCACGCATTTCACAGCAAGTAAAATAAAAATTGAGCTAGTGTGTGGGCAAATACGCAAATGAAACATCAGGCTATAGTTTTAATAAAAGGCAGAAGAGAGACAGAGATTATATATTATGATGAAAAAGAGCCTGTTGATTCAACTGAGAGGCGGCAGGTGTCTCTGTTTGTCAGTTCTGCGGGAAAACATTTTTGCGTTGGGAAATCTCATTCGCAATCCCAAAACCCCAATGAGCCGTACACTGATTCGTTTTTTTTTCCCTTGTTTTAAAGGGGAAAACCATCGCGTCATTAATGATTTTGTCTGAAACCCAAATTTTAGAATTTATCTTTAACTATTAAAATTTTTATTGCTTATTTATTTGAACTACAACCAATTTGATTTTATTATTTTACTTACTATTGTTCAAAAATGCAAATTAACTGAAATGTAAATTTTGCAGGAGAAAGCAGGACGAAGTGCAGGTGCTGGAAGCGTCCATCCGGCAGCGCAACGAGCAGCACAAGAAAGCGGGGGCGGAGATGGACGCCACCTGCAACCTTTGCCTCAAGACCAAGTTCGCCGACGGGGTGGGACACGTGTGCCAGTACTGCCACATCAGGTGCTGCGCCAGATGTGGTGGAAAAGTCACCCTTCGCTCAAATAAGGTATAATAACTCGGATATAAAAAGTCGAATCTGTTAAAATCTCATAAATATAAGTAACCAAATAATATTTATTAATTTTTAGTTTCTGCGTGTAAAGCAATGTTGAGGCCTTTAAATTTTTAAATTTCGTAGCATATAAAATTCCCTAATTACATTTAATTATTATTCAAAATTGGCAAATTCGTAATTAATTTAAAAAAATGTAATAGATTAAATAAATTATAAAAGGAAAATTTATTTAAATTGAAAAGTCTGAGGATTTATTAATTTTCATTTTGAATTTTAACATAATAAAGTAACTATAAAGTAATGAAAATTAAAATATTGTCTGAAGTTTTTCAATATGAAAGATAAAATGGATAAAATAATACTGGAAATTTTATTGAGTAAATAGAAACGTAACTATTTACTCTCTTATATTTTACAATAAAAACTTTTTCCTTTAAATATATCTCAAAAATGCAGTAGATTTCCATCAGAATTAAATTTAATTATCTATTTTTAATTATTGAAAATGTTTCAGGCCATCTGGGTGTGCATTTTGTGTCGGAAAAAACAAGAGCTGCTGTCAAAAACAGGCCAATGGATCCAAACAGGGACGCACCTCGATCCGGTGATGCGGCGCATCGAGGCTGACCTGTTGGGCATAGACCCCGCCACATTGTCAGACAAGCGGCCAAAACTAGAGCGGGGTCTGTCAGCGACGGCAGCCGAAGGCCCGCCTCCGAGCCGCCTCCAACGGAGCGGCTCTGCCCTCCGGAGGCAGTACTCGCAGGAGGCGGCCGACGTACTTGTGATGCGGGGGCCGTCGTCCCAACAGGCCCAGGGCCGCCGCTACTCCGCCGGCAGCGACGCCATGCTGTACGAGCGGCAACGCCTGATGCCACCCACCCCCGGGGGCGGCCGAAAGCCGCCCCCGGAGGCGGTCAAGAAGCGCAGCAAGAAGACGGCGCGCCAACATTCCCTCAGCAGTTCGGAGGACGAGCTGCGATCCACCCCCGAGGTTCCAGACGACACCGGCCTGCTCGGTGAGTGCCGCCCCCAACACCTATTTGCCACCCCCGACCTTCCTTCCCCCGCACACACGAGGAAACCCTCCAATCGACGGCTCAAAACTCGATTATTAAAGGCTGTTGTCGAGCTTCGCATTTCAATTTTTCTGCTCGTTTTAATCGGCGAGCGCCGGGGCGCGGTTTGTTATTATTTCACTCTCTGTCTCGCGCCCGTTTTTTCTTCATATATATTCGTTGGGTTGCATTTGAGTGGGGGTTGCGGCGTGTTAGTGACCAGCAGGTGTGCATTTTGTTCATACGCTTTTATTCCACTGTTGAATTATGATGCCGCGAGTTTCTTCTTTAAGTTTAGTTGCATCGCAATTTTAAACTCCATATTCTTCACCCTGTTCAAAGATTATTAGATTGTTAAAATATCTCAAATTATTTTATATTTATTTTATCGTTTTATGTTTGTAATGTATTTTCATTATGTTCTCTATTATAAAACACATCGCTCTGTGTCACGATCAGTAACTCTGCTTGCGGTTAGCCGATGCAATTTGCAAATCGTATTTATAAATAAAAACCAATAAAAACAAAGTGATCGCTGGCTAACAAAGCCTTATGAATGAAAAAAAAAATATCTGGAAGAGGTCAAAATCCTTAAAGAAATATGTCAATACAAACAAGTATTGTACAGTACATCATAAACGTCAAAAATATACATATAAAATTCGATATTTAAATTCGTTTGAAATTTTTTGAAAGTATTTTACAAAAAATGATATTTTTTTTGAGCTAAAAATAATTTTTTAATATAATTTTTAATTAGTCACTATTGATATTTTATAAAAGATTTTGTGATTTATTATTTGACCAATATTTAAACAAATTAGCAAAATATCTAATTTTATTCCCAAACTACGTATATCAATATTTTATTTTACCATTTGTATAACTTGCGAAAGTATCTAACGGTCTCCAACTTTTTAATATTTTTGTACTAAGTAAGATTATTGAAGACGTTTTTTTTTTAATTTTTTTTTACTGCCAATAGATTGCTGGTAACGATAAATCTATCTCTTTCTACTACAAAAGAACCTATCTAGATTAAATAATATCCCACTCAAGAAATAGTAAAGAATATTTTACAAATTTATAAATCTCGCTCTCACAAGCTAACAAAAGTTAAAGCCCAGTCGGAATTTTGTGAATAAAAACCTCAGATCAAATACGCAACGATTGATAAAAAATTATACTATATAAAAAAACAGAGAGGAAGTCCGAAGAGGGCAAGATACAGTTTTCTTAAATTTCCACCCCCAACAACATTCGTGATCGGCGCACGATCGGGGAAAAATGAAAGAGAGCGAGCCCAAATTGGGCAAATAAGACGAAATGGGGCGGTGCGGGCCCTGTGGGCCACGGGAGCAGGGCGCGGGGCCGAAGGGGAGGCGGCATGCAGTGGCCCAGCCGGCGATCGATAGACGAGGCCACCCCCCATACGCCCTCGGTCACGTGAGCGCTGACGTCATTGGTGTCGTCCGCCGAGGCTGCAGTCGCGCTCGAGAGGGCCACGGGCCCAGTGCCAGTGCCCCCGCAGTCGGACCCACCGGACCCCATGAGGCGGCCAACGGACAGTGATGTGTAAGTCCGCCCCCGAGGGCTTTGCTTGCATCCCTGAGCGACCACGGAGAAGTGTTCCGCGGCGGATGTGTCGTTTTCTCTGCGCCCCAAAGTGGTTCTCGTCACGGTTTGAGCCTTGCTATTTATTTTCCTCTCTCATTCCAACTCATCCGCTTTTTCGGCTTTCTCCAGTTCGTTTTTGAGTTTGCTTTCGACATTTCGTTTGTTGTGCGACTGCTCGGAGTGGAGGACCAGTGGCGAATTTCGGTGTTTGAAAAACGCTCAACCGTGCACGAGAATTGCGTAATGTCCGCTTAAAATTTTTGTGGCACTTCCATTTTCCTTGGTTGATGGAAATTACTTCGTTTTCTAATACTACTATTCAACGCCTGAAACTGATTTAAAAAAAGACAAATCTGACGAACGGCGACGGATTGGTTCGACTTGCGAAAACAGATGCTAGAAAAGTGATAATGCGTCGTAGGAAATTGACGACTTCTAGTTGACTTTCGGCAAGTCGAGCAAATTTTTCCATCGGAAGTGGAGGGGTTGATATTGCAAAATATTACGCAGTTTACGTAGCCATTGAGGCGGGATTCATTCAATAGCGCAGCGCCACTCAATCTATAGATTTCAATTTGCATGCATCAATTTGCAAGGGTGGGAAAACTCTAGGCTTCATATTTGTACAAGGAAAATCAAAATTTGGGGTAAAAATAGATGGCCAGGCGCAGTGGAGGGTAAAATCGTTAATTTAGCGAGTGAGTTAGGGTAACATGAGGCGAGTGGGTTGCAAATTTAGCGCTTGAAGTGAAAATGGAGCGCATAATCGCAGAGCTGTGAGAAAAATAATTGGGCCTGGTTGACAAACAAAGGCCGACTTTGCTGATGAGAGCAAGAAAGTGCCAGAGATAAAATCACTTGTCTCAGGCCTTGGCACACGTGGACAAGCAAAATCGATTGGTTTGGTCAAATGCTCGGTGCGCCCATATCTTCCTCAAAGGCGGCCTCTGCTCGCTGCCTTTGTCCCGCTGCTAATTTTCGCCACAACTCTCTCCAGGCCGCTTTCATCCGCCTGCAATTATTTTCGAGTTCCCCTTGCACTAAACAGTCGACGAAAGGAAAGTGGCTCTCTATCGGTTTAATTTATTCTTCTCACTCAAGTCGCTAAACGCTGCGCGCGTTTTTCAAGATGAAATTAATCATTTTTCGCACATAAATTTCCATGCGATTTGCATTTTATTTTTTCGCGCAGGTATAATAAGAAATCCAGGGGAAAAAATCTTCTTCTCTTTACTTTTAACAGGAAAAACTGCTTAAGTCTCTCTTTGTATCTAATTTTTGCTCTCGCGCTTTTTATCGGAAACAAGAACACGCGCTCTCGGTTATAAGAAAACTCTGGAGATGAAGAGAAAAAAGTTTTTACAACTGTAATAATTTCATATGGTGATAAAAAGCAGCTCATCGTGTTTCGGCCCGAGAGTGCTGTAGAGACAGCAGAAAGGCTTCGGTCTTACACAACTGCTAAATTCAATTACTCGCGGCAACACCAAAAGAAACCAACTTTTGATTATACACTTATTTCGAGCGGAAATCGCTCACTTGCGAATTATAAACGGATTTGTATATTTCGGCGCAGACGAGTCCATTATCTATTAATTTTTCTTCCTATTGTGTGAAAACCTAGCTGCATTTTCGTTACTTCCAGAAGAGTATAGAAGTGAATGGGATTGTTTTATATTTGACACAATTATTGCCGACGAGTTCACGAGGCCCGAGATCGATGCTCTGAAAGTGCCCTGTGTTTATTTTCTGTGAGCCAGGCAAAAATTTGCAGTGTGTTCAAAATCGATGCTCGCGGCTGCCTGACTGTGTTCTGCACAGAAAGAGAGAAGAGAGAGGGTGCGGGGCAAAACCGTCTGTTTATTTCTAGATATCACAATCAACAGCAAACAAAGGAAAACAAAACTAGAGTCTAAAAATAGGATCGTAAATGACAATTTATTTGTGAATTCCATTAGTAAAATTAATTTTTATTACTTTTGAAAAGAATATTTTTTTTAAATACAACATTATAAATATGAAAGCAAAAAAAATAATTTGTAAAATAACATCTGAATACTTGGGTTTGATTAAAATATAAATTACTATCATAATTTTAGCTCTAAGACGCTCATCTTTTTTTTAAACAGAAAACTCTAAATTAAAATTGCAAAGTATTAAATTTTTAATAATTAATTTGCATGATGTTAAAGCAATGTCCAGTCCTTGACTTGCTATTTTTCGAGGTCAGCAGACGTGAAAAATTGAGTAAAGACAAAAAGATAGAAAGCGTGTGTAGCACAAGATTTGGCTCCGTTGGCGAAAATCAATAAAAACTGTCGCAGCGATTTTCCCGGTCGGTCGAGCTCTCTTTCTCTTGTGGCGCGCGTTTCGGAAAACCGGTGTGGCAAAATCTCAAGGTCACCGAGGAGAGAGGTGCGTTTGTGCACGTGGCGGTGGGTCGTTGCATAGGGGTCGGGGGCGGATCGATGCATGTAGTGGTCCGGCGGCGGCAGCGAGCGCGCGCGACTCGCTCTCGATCGTCCGATCGGGGGCCTAGCTAGGAATTCGAGTGGTGCAATGCTGTTGGCCGTGTTTGTTGCGAGACAAGCACATTCGGCTGCCAAAAAAAGCTGCAGAGCCACTCTCGCATTAAATAAAAGCCTCCAGACATGTGCTTTTTAATATACAGCAGCGCTTAAGACTTCATAAATTGGGTCGCAGCTCCCCTCGCTACACTTGGCGCGCCCCCGATTTTCCTTCTGGCTCCGCGTTTTCTCCGATTTCTGCATCGCTCTCCTCGCTCGCACTCTCTCGCAGCACCCGAGACGGAAACTATTACAACAACTGCCGTTGTTCCACCCTTTCTTTCGCTCGCCGTCGCGCACCATGCGAGAGAAACAGCTCCGAGTAATGAATTTCGAAAGCAGGCAGCCAGAAAAAAAAACAAAGTTTTAAACGGGACGGGGTAATTTCCTGGATTACAAGAAAATATGGGGGAGAATTTCTCCGTCGCATTTCGTCAGATTTCAGTAGCTAGGCCGTGTTTCGTTTGATTTGTCGCACTTCGTCGGTCTTCTAAATTTATCACTTTTTTACGGCCCCCGAAGAATAATTTGATCTTTTCTCGGTCAGTTTTTGTTATAATTTATAGCCTGCTCGGTTGAATTGAATGCAGGCAAAGCCAATTAAGCAGAATGGAAGAAGTGCCTAAACGGAGGAAAATGTGTTGGTTATTTATCGAGCAGCGCATTTCAGCAAATCCTCATCATCTGTAGTGCGCTAGCGAAGGGTACGCGCGCAGCGGAACGACAGCTAATTCGAGCGAAATGTGTCGCATCAATTTTAGCACCAAAATGGGGCGGCCCGCCGGCCTCCTCCCTCTTTAACTTGTATCACTTTGTGTTTTGCGCAATTTGAATTTACGATCGGCATCAGAGAGGAAACGGGAGAGAGACAGAGAGAGTGGACCAGGGCGCACTCCAGATTTTGGCACGCGGCGATTTATTTGTTCCCGGAGGGGGGCTCGAGTTGCACCCCCTCCCACCCATCATACACCACCCCACGTCTACTATCTCGATAACAGCCTCGAAAAATCGAATCACCCGCCAAAATAACCAGCTATTTCATTATTTTTCCACCCAGCCGAGACACGCAGAACGCACCCATAATTTTCATGCAGGCTCTGCGCTGAAGTTTTAGAGAGACAAAGACGGGCACCCGCTATTTACTGCGAGAGATTCGCTCTCTTGGCGCCAAATCACGCAGACGTATCGTGCTGTTTTGTCTCGTTGATAGAGGCACCGCTCAATTCCCTTTTGTCCGAAAGTATAAAATAATAGACTCTTCTTTTGCTTTTAGACTTGTAGCTATTGTTCTTCTCGTGTATGTTAGATAATTAGATTTCTGATCAATGTTCAGTACTTTTTAACAATCAAGTTTTTGGCGAGTAAAAATTGGAGAATTCAATGCACGCTTTTGAAAGGTTTTAAATGTCTTGAAAATATATTTATCGAATTATTTATAATTCATTCAAAATTATCTGATCTTATGATTTTAGGGAAGTTTTCCATCTTTTTTTTAGCCATAAAGATATTTTCACATTTCAATTGTGGCTTTTTTTAAAGTCACTGAAAAATATTTTTTAGGTAAGATTTGACCTTCTGAATTCATATCTGGGATAAAAATTAAATTTTTATTACTCTACATATTTAAAAAAATAAAATATTGTCTTTTCAACCTAACAATCGCTTTACCGCTGTAATGATTGTTGTCCCGAACCCTCAAACCTAACAAAAGTGGCACAAGGCTGATTTTTCAGTTCAATTTAAAGCTGGAGGTATTTTTTTAGTCGTCATTGCGACTCCCAATATTTATTGTGTAGTGAAACTTTAAGAATAAATTGCCGTTTAACACACTTTCAACGTTTAAATTTTGATTATGTCAGGCGTGTGAAGAAAGTTTTGATTAAAAAACCTAAAATTAATATATTTTATATTTTTGTTATTTTTCTTTAATTATGTGTTTGAAAAAAGTTGAGATTTCCCATATTTTTATCCAACAGTGCAGATGCAGAAGATCAAACTATTAAATTTTTGAATGGAACATTTTGACTTCATATTTTATGATATTCAATTAATGATATTTAATAATTTTCAAATGAAATAAGAAAAAGCTGATATTCCAGAGAGCTCGCCTTTTTTGCATAAAAAAACCACTCATTATTTATTATACACGCAGAAAAATAATCATCTAAAAAAAAGTATAAAAGTCTTACTAAGTTCTTGCTTAGATTGCAAGTTAATTTGCAAAAGAGCGAAGCGCGCGCGAAAAGTTTTCGAGGGGAAACCCGCAGCAGAGTTGGATGCGGGGGCCGCGCGACGGCGGCCGTGAGCGTTGGCGGTGCCAAGAGGGCGAATCGATGCGTGTGTGCCGGTGACCCAGTGGTAGTAGTGGTGCTCACTCAAAGAATAGAGCAAGCCAACATGGCCGGCGCGCTGATTGATCGATTGCAGAGAGCATGTGGCATGCCTGTTTTGGTTTCGAGCCAGGCCCCCGTCCAGTTGTTGCTCCCGCCGTTCTAACCGCAGCCTCCACAGGTGCCGCCACCCTGACGGTGCCCAGCAGCCGCCCCCACCGCCTCCAACGGGTCGCCACCCTCGATGAGAAAATTAAAAAGTTCCTGGCGGTGAGCGCGCCACTTTTAAGCGCTGGCTACGTGTCTTTATACTCGCTGTTGTCCACCTCCTTCTCTCTGGTTGTGTGTGCATGCCCTGCAGCGGCGTTTTTTCGACCGGCGGCGGGCCGCCCCCAATGGCGTCCGTCCCCGAATTTGGGCCCCGGCCCCCCATCAAACGTCCAAAGTGCAATTGATACAGTAAAGTTTAGAATATTTGAAAATATTAAGTAAAATAATAAAAAGCTTAATAAAAAAAACCGACTATGACCAGTTTCTTGGAGATTGAATAATAAGATTTGTAGGAATATTCATTTTCAATGGGTGTAATTTTGTGTAAATTGATCGTCAAAACGGCTGAATACAAATTAATAAATTTTAAATGCTCTTTAACCCGAAAAATACATATTGGAATTCATAATTTAATTTTGCATTAAATACCCTGAAATATAAATTCCAAGAGTTATAATTGACTCACAATCCTCAGAAATTGATATATTTCTTACAATTTTTTCTCAAAACTACAATATTTTGCAGTTGATATATCTATCAGATTCAAAAAATGTAGATGCAACCAAAAATAAAGATAAACAATAAAACTAATAAATAGATAAAATAACATAAAATTATAGTGGCGCCTTCTTCGCCACTAAAAAAGGGCACAAGCCCACAGACTTTGAATTGGCCTGACCCTATGGAAAAAAAAACTTTTACTTTTCAATATTTCTTACACCTATCTTTGAACCACTTGGGAGAAACGGCCAGTTGGATTTTAACGCAAAATAAATTTTGAACATTCAAATTTGAAAAACAAAAACTTTGTTCGTCAAATGCACTTTGGTCGTTCGCCACTTCCAGTCGTTCTCCCCGGAAAAGAGCGGGGAGACTGGACGTGTTGCCGGGGCCACCCCTGTTGTACGCAATGTTTCCCCGCCTGACCTTTGTGCCCGGTGGTGCCGCAGACGGCAGCAGAGCGCACCAAGCGGCGGCGAACGTCGGCGCGTCGACGGCCCACCTTAACCACCTCGGCATGGGCGGCCAGGCGGCCGACTCGCGGCACTTCACCGAGCGAAGAAAAAAGACTGTGCGCTGGGTGGGCGAGGGGGGCGAGCAGGCGTTCCAGAGGGCGCGCTGGATCGACCGGCAGGGCTCTCAGGACTCGCAGACCAAGGACTCGGGCATTGACACCAGCAGCACCTTCACCTCCAGCGAAGACTCGTCGCGCGGCGCCGACCTGCCCGGCCGGCGGGGCGAGGTAGGTGCTGCCCCTGCCGGCTCCCAGCCGTCCCTTCCGCGCCTAGAGCTTTTAGTGTTGCATGCGGAGTCGCTGTCTCGTGTGTAGACGCTAGACCCCGGCGTCCGACGCCGTCCTTCGTCGCCTTTCCACCGCTCGGTAACGACGTTGGAACCGCGTTCGGCCCGCCGCATAAACGAGGGCGAACGCGGCACTTGCGCACCGTGCGGTAGGTCAATCTCGACCGTCTCAAAAGTCTCAAGTACCAAAAGTCAACAAACAATAAATTTCTTAATCAATGTTAAAATGTTGAATTTTGTCAAGTGGAACGTCATTCGTGTCTGAATGTTGTGGTAATGTTGCATGATTTGTAAAATTTTGCTAAAATTATCTGTTAATATTTTAAAATTCGAAAATTAAATTTGCGAGGGAAGTAATGTGTCGTGGTTTTTTTTTGGTTTTTTTTATTATTATTGTGAAAAAAGGAATCATCATTATTAAAAATAAAAATATTTTTTATCGGCGAGGGTTGTCAAAGTAAAAAAATCTACACAGTATAAATGCATATTAAAAATTATTTTGTTAAAAAAACAAAATAAAAATTAACACAACATATTTAAATGCATAATAACAACGTTGAAAAATAAACAACAATAATAAACTATCAGATTTATTTTTCCAAATTATTAAAAATACATTGTTTACATTCAATTGTTGAATTCAATTTATTTATAAAAATGAATTGTAAAGAACAATATATTGTAATTTTTTTTATTACATTAAGAAAAACTTGGTAGCTTGAGCTGTGAGACTGTCGATAGAAAGTGCGAGGGGGACTGCGTGTGCGACGAAAGTGGCTGGGACGGTTCGTCTGACGGGCTTTTTGCAGCAGCAGCAGCACCCTGTGTCGTGGCAGACGAGCGCCGACGGAACGCGGCTCATCGGCCACATGATCCTGAAGAAAGAGGTGCGAGACTCGAGTCTGGGTCTGAAGGTGGTCGGGGGCCAGCCGCTGCCCCACGGCGGCCGCGGCGCAGTCATCGAGAAGGTCAAGCGCGGTAGCATAGCAGAGCGCGAGGGCGGCTTGCGCGCGGGTATTTAACCAAGCTTAGCGGCGTCAGGGCTGTCTATAATCTGTCGGTTGATGGCTAGGTGACGAGGTGATCGAGTGGAACGGCAGGTCTCTGCAGGGCAAGGGCTACGAGCAGGTCTACGAGATCGTCGCCGAGTCTCGGCAGGAGGCGCAGGTGGAGTTGATCGTGGCGAGGCAGTCAGCGAGGGCGCCGCCGCACCACCACTCGGCCACCGAACTGTGGCGTCAAGGTACAAACAAAACACCACCGACCGACAAACCAACCCACCCGCGACCTCCCTGCGGAGCAACAATTGGCCCTTTTGCCTGGTCGTCCTTGGTTCATTATTTTTTCACGTATAATCTATAATTATAATTATTAATACATAATTAACTCGCATTCGTTGATATTCGATTTGATTTTTGGCCGTGCATGCCCGGCTCTTTTTGTATTCTCTCTACATATTTTTATATATATGATATTTTTTATAATATATACATATTTTGTAACATTCAGTATACATATATTGTAGAGCAGTTTGCACCTCCGTGTACAGTTGGCGCGGCCAGTCACACTCAGCATTGTGCCCAAATTGTGAATTTAGGGACGACACTTGGGTTCAAGGGCCACTTTGGCTCCTTCTCCGATCATTCACGCTTTTCTCATCTCTGCGATTAGCCTGATTGATCCATGAATTTTGCTTGCTTTTCATTCAACTCGTTCTGCATACTGCAGATCGGTCATTTTCATAAAAAAATCATATTCCATCAATTACTTTAATAGTTGCCCGCATACTTCATCTCATGAAAATTAATTAAAATAAAAAGCGGCTCGACAGCGTTTTTCTCAATTAGCACAAAGTAATTTTAAAATAAAAAACGCTCCCCTAGTTGCAAAGAGAAAATGTTCAAAAACACAATCCATTAGTGAGTAGAATCCTCCTTCCTGGTAAATTGTTTTGAAAGCAAGTCCTCATTCTAAAAGAAAGCCCAATCTTTTCCAGACATGTACGACCGGAAGCCGAGCGTAATGGTGACGTCGCCGAGCTCTCCTGAGCGCGTCGGTCACCGGCCGGGTCCGCCGCACCGGCCGCTGCGCTCGACGCAACCTAACGTGGGCGGCCGGCTACAGGTTAAGCTGTGGTTCGACGCGGCCGCCCTCCAGCTCACAGTGACTGTAGCCGGCGCTTCAGGACTTACCCCCAGGCCAAATGGCCAGCCCAGGAACCCTTATGCCAAGCTCTTTCTACTGCCAGACAGAAGGTAAGTCTCATATTATAAAAAAAAATCCATTTTTTGCTCGTTTCTTTTTTCCACAAAATTCATGTAAACAATTTTTAAAGAAGTTCATTCTTGACACTTCAATTTAATGTAACAATTTAACATATAAATGTAAATTTGTTACATATTTCACAAAGTTTTTCAAGCAAATTGTGCTCTTTGTTCAAATTTTATTATTGGCTTGAGAAGAATGATATGTTGAAAATTTATAAAGATAGTTGAATCACAGTAATAATAAATTGTTTCAACAAATCCTATTATTCTGGAAACAATTTAAGTTAAATGGATTGCAATAATTGAAATTAAAATAATTTAAATTTGCATATTTGACATTGTTTAGCAAAATGAAATAAAAGTTCAACATACAGACAAGTAAAGATTCAACTTATTTTAAGACGTTGACATTATAAAAAAGTAATTTACTATGAAAAGAAAATCTGTAAACGCATTTTTTTTCTAAAAGAAATATCAAATAATGATATCAATCATAAAGTAAATTTTATATTAGTAATCAATTATAATTTAATTATTTGCAGTGAAAAGTCGAAGCGTCGGACACGGACGATAGCCAACACGACGGAGCCGCGGTGGAACCAGTCGTTTGTTTACTCGAGCATCCGCAGAGCCGACCTGAAACTGCGAATTCTCGAAATCACCGTTTGGGACTACGTCCATTACGGTGCCAATGATTTCCTCGGAGAGGTGGTGGTCGAGCTCACTGCGGCCCCCCTCAACGATGAACCCGAGTGGTACTACCTGTCGGCCCACGAGGACATCCTGCCTTCACACCCGGTACATTTTCATTCATATTTTATTCTTAACTTTCGCTAATCCTCATGCTTCAGCAGCAGCAAAGGAGGCTGCTGGTGGACTCGCTGGACCACTTATCGCCGCCGTCCACGACGTCGCGCCTCTCAGATAGCGACACGTCCGACCTGGATGATGTGATCCTGGGTCGCGTCCGAATGGATGGCGCCTCAGTCTCCAGTGTCGGCAGCTCCTCCAGGTAGAGCCCCTGACTGTATATTAGCTATGCAACCTGCTCGACGTGCTTGATGGGCAGGTTGCCTAACTTAAAAACTCGCTTAATTTTCCATTACAACTACTTTCTCTTCTCTTTGGAACTTTCCATTCGATCATAGGAATTAGTTGAATCGATCAAAATTATTTACTGCAGTAGCTAATTTTCATTGATACATCTCTTCTTCTTGGATCTTTCATAATAATATCATATTGATTAGCACTTGAATTAGAGCATTTGCTATAGTATTTTGTTTGTTCGGAATGAGCGGCAACTTAGATGATAATTACAGGGTCCAAAAATTCGACTTATCCCCAAATTGATTATTTCCAGACTAAGGCAGGGTTTTAATTTTGCATAAATTTTACTGTGAATAATTTTTGAGAGAAAATAAATTGTTAACCATCTCAAATAGCGAGAAAAGTAAATTGGAATTCGCTTCCCTGCCCTAACAATGTAAAATTTGCAGTCCTCCGCCCGAGATAGAGATGAACGAGCGACGCTCGCGCAGGGACATGTCACCGCAGGGGCGGAAACGCGCCGGCATGATGGTGCGCGGGGGCGTCTCTTACCAGGAGCCAGTGCTCCCGATGGACGCTCGCTACCCTCCAGCGATGCACGCGTCCAGCAGCAGACAGCGCTCGCATTCGGCGGCGCCCACCGACTCGCCAAGTCTGCACTCGAGGTCGCGCTCCAAGAGTCCGCGCAGGCACCAGGAGCACTCGACGCACAGCCATCGCTCCCTCTCGCCACCTGAGGGCAGGTCGGTGGCCTACCTCTTATCCTTGCACCTCAAGTCCCCACTCTTGAGTCGTTTTTTGGACCCAATTATGAAACTGAAATTTAGAATAGATGAGAGAGAGAAAATATACATGCCTTGCTAAGAATAATTAGTGCATGCTTTTGTAGCATTTTTAAAAATCATAATCATTGAGCTGTAAATTTGCATTTTCATTTATGAAATATATTATTTTTATTTAGATTGATCCGTAGATCTAAAGCACTTCAATAATAAGCTAAATTCTGAACGACATAAAATAAAATAGTTGAAAATTATTTGTTAAATAGAAATTTAATATATTTTGATTTATATTCAAATGTATCTTCAACGTTAACTTTTTCATAAAACGAAATTGAAAATTTAAATAATTAAACTAGTTATTAAATTAGTTTATTTTTTTTCAACTTAAAAATTAAAATTTTGTTTTTGAAGAAATTGACACTCAAGGAGATGATCATGGAAATGAAGTGATCAAGCTTTTCCTCGGTGGAGAAGCCCAATCTCTTCATTTAAATAAAAATGTATAAAAAATATTTTTTAAAACATGTTAATTTTTTTGTTAATCACTTGAACGATATTATAAAATACGTATGCATCATCTTTTTGTTAAAGTAATCTCTGCTGATGGAATTCAAATTCCTCAGCAATGAGCATGATCCTTTTTATGCATTGTGTACAGAAAAAAATTCCCAATCAGCACAAAACTAAAATTTCAGCTAAAAATTGAAAATTACAAGAGAATTGCAACTTGTTTTCTGTTTTCCAGAATGGCGACGTACCCCACTACAAGGTACACCTCCCATTCGGCGACAGCCACGCCGACCGGCTCGCCGAAGAAGCGGCAACTGCCGCAAATCCCTGGTCATCGGCTTCGGACCAGTTCTCGCGACACGGCCGAACTAGATGAGCGGCGGCGATGGGGACCCCGAACGGCCCACTGGGCCGACGGCCGCCAATACTCGTCGGCCGAGCTTCCGCGACACAGAGTCGAACTGCCCGACAGCGACCTTGAGAGCGTCGTCTCCGTCACCAGCAGTGCCTTTTCCACGCAGTCGGAGCGACCGCGCGGATCCAACTTGACCAGGTGCGAAATCAGTTTCGCCCTCTCTGCAGCGAACACCCCCCGATTTGGCTCTCACCTCATTTACTTTTTTTATTTTGTAACGTAATTTCCACTTCCGAAAACAAAAATCTGTATATTCTTGAGTTAATTTTGTTATTTTTTTTTTTTAATACTTATCGAGTGGGGTATTTGCTCCAAAGCGGGCCGCGGTGTGCATGTATTTTTCTGTCCCTGACTGGCCGCAGCTGGCCTGAGCTGTCCCCGGAATGCTGCCCCGAGTCTGCCGAAGACCTGGAGGTGGCCGACCTGATGGCGTACGAGGCGCCACCCTGCTGTCGCAGGCGCAACAGCGTCCTTGCCCGCCAAAACACTTGCCCCCTGCCAATGCAGCAGCCACCAGTCCCCCACCAAAGGCACACCCTCCATCGGCAGCGAACCTCTTTCTCTGAACAACCCCCGAGCAAGACTGAAGTAGCTCCCCAAGACCCCGAAACGTCCAATTGCGGCCCCGAGTACGCCCCTGAAAAGCCCGGCACTGAACATGCCCCTGAAATGCCCCAATCCGCCCCCGAACCCCCGGCAGTGCCCGTAGAGCTAGACGTAGATGCTAACGCTTGTGCTTCTCCCCCCAGCGACTTCAACCCCCGCGCCTCCAACTTGCACCAGAGGTCAAGCGGACACTCGAGCTCGTCACAATCGGGCGCCAAGCGGGGAACCCTTGGACGCTCCTTCTCCAGCACCGATGCCCCTAGCGACGACAAAGTCGGTGAGTGAATCTAAATTTTTTTTAAGAAAAAACCCTCTCAGAATGATTAAAATGTTATAAACTGTTCTTCCCTTTTTCGCTGCATATTATTATTTGTTTTAAAAAAAAAAAATACATATATTGCAGCACAGAAAAAAATTACAACTTTTCATCAATGTTTAAATCATTAAATTATTTTATTCCTCGATTTTTTTATTATTGTATCAAATATCTTCATCCAAAACTGTTTTTCTTAATATCTAGATATATATTTTTCAGCATTGTTTTTTTTATTTACTCGGCAGTTTGGAGAATATTATAATTAAATTGATACTTAAGCCCTTCAAAAAACGATACTAACCGCCATTATATGAACTTTAGATGGAAGTTTAAGCGACACTGCGGTGGGCCAGTTGCATGGCCTCGAGGACGGGGGCTCGAAAGCGGGCTCCCCTGGCGGCTCAACGCCCGGCAAGGCCTCGGCGCAGTTTGTGGGTCTGAACAAGAAGAGCAGTTCGACCTCGCAGCTGTCAGCGACTGGTGAGTCTGCAGGTGACTACACGTTTTATATGACGAACAAGGGCGTTCATTTGCCACCCTGTTCATCATTCTTGTTCTTTTCAACACTGGATACACTGACTGTTGTTTACTTGGTTGACCAGTTAGTCATTTCAGACAAGTAGAGGGTGAGCATGGTCCAGTTTCTTCTAGAAATTCTGTTAAAAACTTTTTAGAGCGAGTTAATTTTTCAAAACATGTTTTTAGCAAGTTTAATTTTAGCAAAACTCGCAGTCACGGCCACGCCGGACGGACATAGAAATGTATTTTTCTCGCGCGTTCGATTTTCCTCGCACAGATGCGGCGCGCATCTGTTTGTCATTTGCGTCGTGTCCACGTCATATATTTTCTCTCTATTTCAAACATGATATTCCGTCCGACCTTCTCAAAGTCCGTTAAAAATTTAGCGGAATCGAAGAAAGCAGTGGCTTTGACTGCGCACTCCTGTCCCAAAGATAGCGCGCATGACACCACAGGACACGTAAAATTGAACAGACACACGTTTATCAAGCCCCCCTTAGTTGATTCTTGATCTTAGTTCAGTGAATGTGTTCGTAATTTTCTGGATTGTTCGTCATATAAGTTAGCCAGGGATAGTTCCCTGGCGTATTTTTGGCGCCCACTAGACTGACAAAACCTACTGGGCCCCCAGTTTTCGAGCACGCAGCATGCGTTAATTGATTCAAGATTAATTGACCGAGTTCCGCTGCCGGAGCTCCCTTCGAGCCAAAAATTCACTTTATAGAGATTCTAAACTAAAAAAAAATGCGAGAGTTTGAAATGAAATTCAGTTTTTCGACTTTTAAGTTCTCTTTCTGGGACTGCGCAAAATCGATCGCGGCTCCTACAAATTTAATGAGCCTGCCGGTGCAATCGTCAGTGACGAACTTGTCGCTCTCTTTTGGAATAAATGTCACAGTTCGAATAATTTCGCGAAAAATTGAACAAAAAGATTGAAATTATCGAGACCGGACGAAACATTTTTTTTTTGGAAAAATGGCCGAAGGGACGCTTGCTGGAGTGCCGCTGCGGATTTCGATATGGGGATTAATCTTTGCGCCGATGGCACTTAACGCAGGCCGCAAGCGCAGACTAGGGTTTGGGCGCAAGGGCAAGAACTCTTTCACCGTGCACCGGAGCGAGGAGGTGCTGCCTGAGGACGTGCGACAACACCTCGTCAAACAGGGTAGCAGCGTCTCCAGCGACGGCGAGGGCTCCCAGGATGGAGACAGGTTGGCCCCGAAATTCAAGCCCCCGCCCCGTCCCCGGCTCCGGAGACTGAAAGACGAGAGTCAAAGTGTCTTGTTTTGGTCGCATTTGTTGTGTCTGTAGTACGGCTTGCCTAACTTTAGTAGAATTAGGTGCTGCTGGATCCGTCGCTGCTTTTGACTGACACGCAAACACATACACATTTCACACTCACTCTAGGTGACCTCTCAAACTTTCACCCCGGCTTCCGGCCTGTGACAGATAGTTCATGTGGTATACAATAATTAATTTTTTATTCAATGTAGATCGGCCGAGCGCCGACTTTCTGTTGTGTTCGTATCTTTTTCTTTTGTCTATCTGTCCGAGCTGGCAAAGCACACGAGGGGTCGCGAACGATGAGCATGCGCCCAAAAGTGGCATGATTTGACAATTGTGGGCTGCATGGCCGTTTGCGGCGCCACATAGCTGCGACTAACTCTGATGGCGCCTCCACTAGACCGTTCCGGACGCCACAGCCTGGTGCAACGAAGTCACGAAGTCGGACCGCGCCTCTTGCGACACAAAGATTCGCCCGATGGCAGCGTGCACAGCTCCGTCAGCTCCGAGGGATCGCCGTAAGTGGCCTCCCGTCCCAATGCATGCTACACGCCAGAAGCGCACAAAACCACGCGCAGATAACCCACTACCACAAAAATACGATTCGTTCTCATATAAATCTCTCTGTTGCTTTTTCAACCACCGTATTTAATCAGACTTTCCAATATCCACTTATTTTATTAATACATAAATGGTATTGGCTATACTGCTATCAAAACCTTCTGAAATTCTCACTCTTCTATTTTATTGGTGCCCAAAACTTCAGTGTTCCGCTCCCAAGCTCATAGAATATTTGCTAAAATTTGGTCTCTCAAATTTTAAAATCACTAGACCATTAACAATTGCTAGAGAGCCTTAAATTTCTCTTTTAAATTCACATCGGAGGAGTGGTTTATAGTGCGCTTCTCTGAACACTCACCTGACTGTGCATGGCCTTGTTTGGACTCAGAGCTTTCGATTCTTTGCTTGCCTAGCGATCTTTGACCACAGGTTCTGCGATCCCGAGAGGCGCCCCGCCTCAGGAATCGCCCGATCTCTCTGCCTCTCTTCTTTCTCTCTCCAGCTGTGTTTCTCTTCTTGGTGTCTCCCCAAGCCCCAGGGGACCACGTCCCCACCATTTTTGTCCCGCCCTGTCTAACTCTGTTCGTCTTAGCTACGTGCCGTCCCTGCGCCTTGCCCCGGAGGGCCAACTGTCCGACTTCATCGATGGCCTCGGCCCAGGCCAACTAGTGGGCCGCCAGGTGCTAGGAGCTTCGGCCCTCGGGGATATCCAGCTCAGTATGTGCTACCAAAAGGGATTCCTTGAGGTGGAGGTGATACGAGCGCGAGGGCTCCAGGCCAAAACAGGTTCCAAAGTGCTACCAGGTGCGCTCTTGAATTTTCAAAAATTAATGGTTTCAAAATAATTGACTTTTTGCTTTGTCGACAGCTCCATACGTTAAGGTGTACCTGGTGAACGGGAAAAGGTGCATCGCCAAAGCAAAGACTGCCACCGCGAGACGGACCCTTGACCCTCTCTACCAACAGCAACTCGCCTTTCGGGAGCCCTTTCAGGGCTGCATACTCCAGGTAAAACTTTAATTAAAAAAAGAAAATAATAATAATTTAAGTATAGCCTTTTAGAAGGATTAAAACTAAAGAGCAATTTCACACTTAATTGTACTCTCTATTATATTTTAAATAAATAGGTGCAGAGATTTAAAATTAATAAATTGTGATTTCTTTTCAACCAGGTGACGGTGTGGGGCGACTACGGGCGGATCGAGGGCAAGAAGGTGTTCATGGGGGTGGCGCAAATCATGCTGGATGACCTCAACCTGTCCAATATCGTGATCGGCTGGTACAAGCTGTTCGGCACGACGTCCTTGGTCAGTGTGGTCGGCTCTTCGACCTCCTCGAGTCTGCTCAACCTGTCCCGGCGCTCATCTTCCACTAGCCTTAACTCTCTGCAGTACTAGCGCACGCTTTCACCCCCTCTCTCTAGCGAGCAACCCCCTAAGCTTGGCATGCCCCCGCTTCACCCCGAAAAATCATTCTGTTACTTTTCATATTTATTTGCTGTTTTGGTGCAGTGAGAGGCCGGCCGGCAGTGATCGAGCCAGGCATTCACCGACCCGGACTTGAGCAGTGCACCCGAGTGACAGACAGACAAGCAGCGGACTTGTCGAGTGGGCCCCGCCCCCAGAGGCCGCCCCGTGTAAAATCGACCACAATGTGATACCATGATTATACAACATATTGTAATACTACTGCTATACCACACTACTACTGACGCTAAAGAAAGAAACAAAACTATTGTACACTCACTCTCACTCACTCACCACTCTCATCTTAGATCAAGTTGTATTGGTCTGCCCATCGCGCGTTCTCATTTTTCTATAACCCCAGCGCTCTGTCCAGTGTAACCCAAAGCACGCAAAAAAACCGACCGTGTATCCGACTTCCGCGAAAAGCAGGCCCCGATGCTCGCCCTGCCGCTCCCCCCGAGAGGCTCCCAAAATATCTGACTCTCTGTATTCGAACTATTGGACCAAAACCTTTCATCAAAAGCTATACGTCAAATCTCCACCCATCGCCAAGTTGTAAAAACAAAATACTTGAATTCTACGAATTCTATATAATTATAAAACTATTGGTACCAATTTCGCATGATTTCTGTAAAGCTCTTCTTAATCCAATTTTAATAGCGTCATTGCATTCCAGCAGCATAATAAATATGTAACAGGTTTTTGGGAGTGAAAGAAAGGTCCAATTATTAATCAAGAGTTGAAATTTAACTAACAATTCTCCTATTATCTCAGTCAAATAAAAATTAACAGATTCTCCTGTGAACAAAAAAATTACAAACCAAATCGACAAGAATGTTGTCTCTTGAATTATCTATCTTCCGAGCAAGCAAGCTTTTTGTCACACACATACATACACATTCACACACTCGCGTGGACGTGTGTCTCTCTTTGTAACGAATTAATCATAAAAAACATGCAGTGATCAATACATTTGCAATCGATGCAAACCCACCAGAAGTGTGCTTATAATGTCAACGACGAGTGCGGCGCGGCGAGCGTCGGGCCCCAGAGCTGGTGATTTAAAAAAAAGAAAACAATTAAGTTTTGTGCGTCCGCAAGGATCGCCTGTGAGATTGTGTTGAGCAGCGAGTACGATGATTATCTGTGATCAGTCCGAGGGTTTTGGTTCAGCGCAGCAGCAACGACGACGGCGAAGGCCCCGTTTTAACCTCTACTCTGTCTCTTCTCTCTCTTCTCTACTCTCTCTATCTCTCATAATACGGTAGATGACCTCGGCCGTGGCCGCGCCGGCCACACGCCAACACCTACTACAGTGTACTACCAGTGCAGACTGGCTCAGTAGAACTGTCTCAGTAAATCGTAGTGCCCATCATTACAATTAGTCGACGAGTCGCGCGGCTCTCAACGCAGTATCATAAGACTATGTAACCGACCTCTCCTACAACGCGATTATCCAGTAAACAGAGAAATCCAAGGGGGCTTTGAATCACTGCATATCGCAACTAATAAACTCAAATAAAATCAACAAACGATTATGAACAAGTGAATTTTCCAGTCTATTATTTTACACTTTCCACTTCACTCATGGATCAAAAATATTATGTCTATTAATTTAATTTTAAATATTTAAAATTTAATTTACATTTTTGTTTATTTTTCAGACGAAGTTTAGAGATAGATTAAGTGTGTAAGATATTTTTTTTACGTAATTTTTTATCCTAGTTTTATTAGCACTTTTATTAAATATTTTTGATATTTTTTTTTATTTCATTCGTCTCTCATTATGCATAAAATTTTAAGGGACACACAAATTAATATCCCAGAAATCAAATAAGCGCACTTGTGTTCAGGAACTTTCCACTTAAAATTAGTGATATACATGATAATTACCTTTATCACACGTGTTGAATAATTTAATCGCTACTTTTTTACTGAAAATGACAAAGTTATCTCTTATTCAATAAAAATGATGAGACTCCATCAATATTTGACAGGCGATCTTGAACATGAAAGAGACCGTTTTTGTGAAAAAGATAAGATTTTATCATTCATTAGCATAATTTAAAAGGTGGCGAACAATCACGTCCGCTTGCAGTGCTTGTCAATATCATTGGACATGAAGATTATCGTGTGCGTTTTTGCTTTGATTGTCTTGGTTCATTGTCAGGTATTCAACAACGTAAAATATTTTTATATGAATTGAGAAGTTTCAATCAAAATTTAGGCGAAATCAATTGCACCATGGGCCAGATTTGCGGCAAACATTAGGACCAACTCATGGAGAAGTGAGTCGATTTATCTTATTAACATAATATTAAATACTTATAAAAGTTAATTTGTTGTACATTCACTTCATCAATAGTTTCTTTTAAACGATAAAAATAAGAATTAAAACAAATGTAAAAATTCTAATAATTTCCAAAAGATGAAACTCTTTGCTAAATAAAATTTTGATCGTCATTTATTTTTCTCAAAAAGTATTTAATTATTTCCCTAGTTTCACTGCCGTTGTCTTTTGAAAATTTCAATAGTTAATTTTTTGTGTGAAAAGGTGTGATTACTGTGAATCGCAACACCAAGATCGTTGGAGGCTCTTACGCAACAAATGGGCAGTTGCCTTTTCAGGTGGGCATGTACTTGGACGGCACCGGTTTTTGCGGCGGCTCGCTTATTAGCGACACCGTCATTCTGACGGCCGGACACTGCGTTGTCGGGTGAATTAGAATTTCCCATTTGTTTTGAGCGCGCATTCATCAACTGAATTAATTGTGACCAGAACTCGCACTTTCACGGTGCACGCCGGCTCCATCGACGTTGACCTCACCACCACTCCGGCACAGATCGTGACGGCCACGCAGAAAATTTTGCACGAGTTTTACTCACCGACAAATTTGTTGAATGACATCGGCCTGGTCATTCTGGACGCACCCCTCACGGGAACGAGTAAGTTCATTTAAAATAAAAATTTTAAATAAAAAAAAGTTCAACAGATATTGGAGCCATCAGATTACCAAATAGGTTGCAAATCGAAGAAACTTTTGAAGGTGCAGTCGCAACTGCATCCGGTTGGGGCAGAGTTTCCGATGGTAAAAATTTCATAATTAAAATATTCATAAAAATATAAAATGAAAAATCAGACGATGGGAGACTGAGCCAATTTCTGAAGTTTGTGAACGTGAACATCATTTCAAACGTGGACTGCGAGGCAATTTACGGGCCGGCAGTGAATGACGCAAAACTGTGCATCGACACAAACAGCGGTTTCGAAGGAACTTGCTTTGTGAGTTTCCCTTAACGTGAAATGGTCCAGTTTATTTCTATTTTAAATTTTTATTTGAAGGGTGACTCTGGAGGACCTTTGACCATTACTGAGGCCGACGGAATCTCGACGGCGGTTGGAATCACGAGTTTCGTTGATGACGGCGGATGCCAAACGGGCAATCCTGCGGGTTTCACCAGAGTCAGCATGTACATTGATTGGATCAGTCAACATTCTGGCATCCCAGTTAGACCTTAAAGCTCTGTAAAAATTTAATTGCATTTCTGCTTTTATCAGGAGTGTTTCATAATTTTTTTTTAACTTTTATATCATTTTATTCAATTAATTGTATAAAGTTTATCATTCTACAGTTTTTTAAAACTCAAAAAATTTTTTCTGACAAGCAAGCATAGCAAATAAATTTTGTTTTTGTTTAAAATGGTTGAGCCCCACAAGCAAACACCTAAAAATCACCTTTTCGCGTCGTTTCTTCCTAAGATTTTTGCGTAGTTAAAAACTAACTTTGTGTGGAAAACTAATACTATTTTAAAAAGTTTGATGCTTTTAAGAGAAGAGTTTCAAGCTATGTGGCATTAAATTCCATTTTATTTTATTTGGTATAATTTTTATTCGAATAAAAAATGACCTATTAAAATTGTGAAAGTATGTATCGCTAAATGCCTGGGGCTCAGCAATTCATATACTAAATAATTAAATATTTAGTACATACAAAGATTTAATATTCCACACAATAGCAGAGCAGGTGCTTAACTTCAATTTGGAGCCAGTCGGAGCGAGGAGGAGAGGGGCGTGGCACGACCGTGAACGTGAAGTTGGCCACTTTTTCAGCCACTCGCCTGACCCAAGAAGGCCTTGCGCCTTGCAAGAAGGCCTGACCTTTCCGAGTTCCGATCCACTCATAAGAATCTCCACTCTGATGACTGATTTTCAAAATGTGTCCACCAGATGGCACTAGCGTCCTGATATTAATAGTTTGGTTTGTTTACAAAAATTTATGTGAAGTGAAAACTGAATCAGCTGGAAGTCGCGGTAAGGAAAGGTGACTTGCGAATTGTGAACACCAGGCAGCGGAAACGAATTGTCAGGATGGCAGATTACTTCTCCGAGCTGGGATTTCGTCCCTTGGGCGAGGGCGAAGTGCCCGACCACGGCGCTCACCTTCTGCGACTGCTCAGGGACAGCGGAAACTACGACCTGCTGGAGATGTTCGTCCGGCTGCGAAACGACGATGGTGGTAACTCGGCCCCCGCTGCCAGCGAGAAGGTCGTGCAGGAACTACCTCTTGTTCAACCCTTGCCTAAAGGTAAATTAAAATTTCTTTAAAAAAAATTTCTCTGAAATTTGAATAATTTATGCCACATGCAGATTTTTTTTTTTAATATAAATATCTTAATTTATTTTCAGAACAATGTTCTGTGTGCTTAAAAAACTACGATGAAGATGACCCCTGCAGAATGATGCCATGCAAGCATAAATTTCATCAGAACTGCATTTTCACATGGCTTAAGCAGGTAGACATTCTTAATTCTATGGCTTAAACTTAATCTAATCCCGCCATATTGTATTTTATGCAGACAAATTCCTGTCCCATTTGCAGAAAAGAACTCCCAACAGATGACCCTGATTACGAGGCCATTAAGAAACACAAGGAGCGAGAAGATGAAAGAAAGCAGCAATTAGAAAGCTTGCATAATTCAATGTTTTCCTGAATTAATATAATTTCACTACAATATCGTTATCATTCCCAAGTTTTGTTAATTACAGCTTAAAACTACATAAAATATAGGACACACAAATAAAAAGATCACATTTTACAATGTTGAGAAATAACTTAAATTTTTTATTCACTATTAATTACAATTTGTTTTCTATATAATAATAATCCTAACATTTTCTCTACAAAACACACTTCTTATAAATTCATTCATTCCTCTCGCAATTGAAAAATTTTGGAAATGATCGTCAGGAGGAAAAGATCTTGAAAACCAAATCTCATTCAGTCTCTGTCACAGTCAAACGAGTCCGCTCTCGTTGTAAGGCTTCTTGTTCCTCCTGGGAGGCACTGGGGGTGGATGCGTGGGCGGCGGGGGTGGCACATGGCGCGACAGGGTGCTGCTGTCGGTGGTAGTCGAGTCCGCCTGCCGCCCCTTCAGCAGGTGCTTGAGGCTATCTCGAGCGTGGTAATAGTACCAGTAAATAAGACCGAAAGCAGAAACGACGCAAACGAGTGAGCCCAGCACAATAAGAAATGTCATCCACCAAGTGGCGCCTCCCTCCTCGGAGTCGCCCGCCTCCACGCCACCCTCCTCTGGCTTCAGCACCGTTCCTTCCGAGGTGCTCGACGTGGTTGGTCTTCTTGTGGGTCTGGCCGTAGTGGTCGACACGATCAGACGGCCGCCAATGGCTACGTCGGCGCAAGAGCGGAATTCCTCCTGGTTGCCACAGCCCACTGCTTCCGTCCCGTTTTCACAAATGCCCCAATTGTTGCCAGCAATGTAACGCCACTGAAATTATAAATTAATTATAGAGTATTTTCTTATAATAATTATTTGATTTAAAAAAATTGTTTGGTGTAAACCTGGCAAAATAAAAATTATTATACTACGGACTTTTCATTATTAAAATAAGGAAAAATTAATGTTATATATAATGTTGACATCATTTCTTTGTTACGGTAAATATGCAAGTGAATGATTTTATCTTAAAAAAGTCCGTTGAAAAAAACTAGAAAATTTTCTTTAAATAAAATTAACGATATAATTTTTGTAGATTATGTAAGAAAAGGATTTTTTAAACGATGATGTCTTTTAAATTAATTAATATTCAAACAATCAATTATACCTGGAAGACACACTGAGGGCACTCTACTCCTTGTGGAAGCATGTATCTCATCTCAATTACTCTGTTTCCCAGAGAGCCGGGGAAGAATCGGGGTCCCTTGTTTCCCACCTGGTTCAGCACATACTTGTCTAGACAATCCTGCGTGACTTCGGTTTTTGAAGGTTGGTTCTTAGGACAGAGTCTGAACTCAAAGAAGCCCTGATGGTTGGCCGTCAGTTCGACCCTGACCGTGATGTTGGAGCCAGGGTTGTAACGGCGCACAATCACCCCCTGGCCGTATATTCCTCCTTGCTCGTGGGGACGCGGCTAAAAAAAAGTAGATAAATTTAACACTGAAATCCTTTCTAATTTGCACACTGATTGGCAAAGGAATGTGATTGTAAGGCGAGACAGTTGGTTAATTACAAAAGGAGGGCGATCAACCGGAAAAATAGAGTCAGGCAACTTTAAAACGGATAAATTCTCTGCAGCTTAAATAGTTCACATTTTATATAAAGACTAGTTCCAAGATTTACACGCTAAAATCAAATTTTTATTTTGAGAAAAAATTTATTAATGCAGTAAACGGAAGTAAATATAAAATATAAGTAATAAAGTTTCATTATTTTTGTTTTAAGCTAATTTTTATTATTTGGATTTTAAGTGATAGACTGGAAATTTGAACAAAAAAATAATAATTCATATCGGCAAAGAGGTGCAAAATTCAGATTATAAAAGCGTAGCACAGATCTCTATAATGAAAATCAAAATAGCCTTTGAATAAGACACGTCTCAAGAACAATGTGATTACTTACAGTGGGCATGTCCCACGCATCTCCACAAATGCCGCACTTGCCTCCATTCGTAGCCCACTGCTTAGTAAATCCTCCACAGTAGAGTTCATGGTCGTTGTAATTGGTTGGGGAATCCGAGAATCCGTACCTTGAATAATAATAATAATTGCGTCACAATTAAATTAAACCCACTGAACAAAGATTAAATCAAACACGTGGAGAACAAGTTGTTTAATTTTTTTTTTGTGAGATTGCGTGTAACGTGTAAAACAAATTTATTCTGAAACTCATTGGGCTTGATAAAATTCTGACAGAGACGTATATAATATATCCTTTCACGTCACTTGTACATAAACTCACCTCCACATGGAAGCACGCGAAGGTGGCTCGATCAGTCTTCCGTGGCCTCTGACCTGGGTCAGCAGGCAGAAGAAGATCAGGCAGAGTGCTGACGGGGACATGGCAAGGGCTCGGGGGGCCTTGGCTGCGCCCATCACATTTCCTCGAGTCTGAAATCAAATTAGCACAATCTAGTGTTAGCGGGATGACGCTTACTTCATCTGCAAATAACGGCACATGCAAATTAAAAAATATATATATAATAATATGATTTAATTTTAACAAGCGTGCCAAGGTTAAGTCGGTAGTGTAAAAGTGACAGAAGAAATTTTTGAAAGAAATGGAAATAAGATTAAATTTAATGCTGCTAAATTTTTTCATTATTTTAAATTCATATAACAGGGTTTGATGAAAATTTTGTGACACAAGTAAAGCCGCGCCTTGTAGGTTTGTGTCATCCTTTCTATATTATCTCAGGAAATGGAGTGAACCACAAGATCAGAATATTTTGCGCGCATAAGCCATATTTTTTCTGTATTATGTAAAATAAAGTCAAAGGACTCAAACATATTCCACATATTAAAAAGAATAATGCTAACCCAAATATGTGCCCGTTGTGAAATTTTTGATGAGCACAACTCTTCCGCATCAAATTATAGATATTTCCTAAAATCTAATTAGACACTGAATTATTTTTGATACAAATATTTTTTTTAAACTGTGGTTTGGATTAGATTCAACAATGAGAGCCGAAATATCTTTTGTAGTATTTATTATGAAAATATGACAGACAGACTTTGTTCACCGACTGTCAAATCAGATTATAACGAGATCAGTAGCTCATCAAAAGTTGCTTGTTCAGGTTAAAGAAAAGCTTTCAGAGGGATTTGTAGTATGCCTACTCACATTGTGTTACAAAAAACTTGCAGCAAATCAAGTGCAGTGACTTTCGACCTCACGCAAATGGACTGAACGAGAGCATTGCCACCGCAGGTTTAATGGTGAAAGTCACCGAATCTCATCTGTAGCTCTCGCGGCTTTTTTTAATAATCTTTCTTGGATCTCTTTTGATGACCGGAAACCCCCCATTTGCCGAAATTTCCTCTTTGCCGTGCACCCTGTTTTTGAACATTAAAGGAACATATTTATGGTGGGCGCGCTTTCATTATCTGCGCAAAGCATCGCAGTGCTGCATTTGCGAAAATCTACTTAAATGATCTCCAGCGCTTCCTTTACAAGTTTAAAAATTAAAGCAGTTAAAAAAGAGGAGAAACTCTCTTGGGCGCGCCGAGAACTAGTTTTCTCAAACTAATAAAATAAGCACAAATATTAAAAGGTGATTATTGCAGATCATGCGGCCGTGCAATTAGGCAATTGTCGAAGAAGTAATTGTGTTTCCAACGTTTATTGGCAATGAAAAGAGATTTAACTGCAGCCGTTTTCATGCTGCTCTCACAAGTGGATCAGCGCGGCAGTGAGAAAAACACATAAAAAGAGGCTCCTCTTGTTCTCGCTCCATGTGTGACCCCTGCGGTAACCAGGCCACTATTCGCTCAACAGCCGCGCGCCGGCGAGAGATAGAGAGCCGGTGTGTGCATGTGCGCTGCATTTTAATCGGGTTGCGTGTAATTTTCTCGCTCGCTGACCATAATATTTATACAATTGGCTGCAATCCAATCGATTGAAAGCAATTTGGAAGGAAAACATTTAATTAGTCTCTATTTGTAAATATATGCAAATATTGAGGCCGATTTTATCAATTCAATTGATATAAAATGTTTTAAATTTTTTCTGCTACTTAATTTTTTGTTTAAGTGCGTCTAGTGAGTTTAATTTTTTTATTCTCATATTAAGTAGTTATACAATCATTAGCTGTAGTCAAAATGGCAAGAAGCATTAAAAAACTATAATAAACATTCATCAATAAATATACAGTTTAGTTTGAACTTTCAAAGTTTTTTATTATTTAGTTTATATCTGCTTAATGTTTAGATTTCATGCGCTTGTCAACAAAAACAAAAATATTACAGAGAAATTGCAAACAACAACAAAAATATTGAAATATATAAGAAGCTCTTCAAAATTTTTAATTTTTTTCCCTTGTGTTTTCTCCAAAGGACCAAAAGTTATTGTAAAATTTTAAAATTAGGACTTAAAATTACTGTGCAATGATTTATTGAAATGAAATAAAGTAAAAGTGATCAACATTAATTAAGAGTTAATCTTAATGTGTTGAGCTTTCAAGTGACCAAAAATATTCTCACACTTTTATTTCCTTCCAAAAGTTGTTTCTCGTCGTTTTACCAAAACATTGATTCCCGTTTCCTGCTGGGTGCAAAGAGACGGTTGAACTTTCCTCTTGTTACACGGAAAGGAGAAATCTTGCGGTCATTAACAATTCCGCAGCACACCTACCAGCCGCGTTTATAAAAATGAATGTATATCAATCCGCGGTCACTTTGCTCCTTCGCCTTGATTAAGTTCAATCCCAAAGACACACTTTTCTTGCGTGGTCTCGTTTCTCTGCGAGAAGGTAATTCCTGTTTGCTCTTACACCCAGCATTGAACTTGAGCATATTTTTAGCCGCATAATTATTTATAGGAATAAGTCAAAGCCACGAAGAGATACATTCAAGTAAAAATATTGAGGGCAGGTGTCCCGCAGTGCTGAGAAAATAACAAATAATTAGCAATATTTTATCTTGACGCTTGTGTCAGTTTCTCTTTTATTGTTAGCGTTAATTTTCTTATCCTCGCTTTTATTTCTGTTGTGGCGATTACGGCGCAGCAAAAAGTTGCGAAGCAGAGGAAGAATGAAAGAATTCCCACACGCTGCATTGTTTTCACGTAGAGAGACGCACGATCTCCGCGAGCACAATTTTTCATGCTGCACACAACAATATCTCGCAGCAAAAATGAATCCTTTCCTTTCGAGGATTCACGCGACTTTATGGCTGCGGGCAACGACTTCCGGCCTGTTTGCCGATTTTACTGCCGTTTCCATGCGCCGCCCTCAGGGACGCATTGGGACACTCGTGAGTGATTTGCGCTGGGAATATTCTATGTGCACCGCGTCTCATCCTTTTGCTTTTCACTCTTTTTCAAGAAGCACGGATTGCTTCATTTTACAGAGATAATAAAATCGTTTGTACAAATGAATGTGAGAAAGAGAAGCACTTCAGAGTGAAAAAAATTACCATCAAAAGGGTATAAAATTTCAATTTGCACAATTAGGACGGTTACGATTTTTACAGCGCATTACCAAAGAGTTTTCCTTGCCAGTTCAGTGAACGCATGCGATTTACTCCAAAAGTTCCTGTTACTTTTTAACAACCAGAGACTCAAAAGGATGACCTCAACTTTCCTTAATAATTGAACATTTCCTCTCATCATTAAAAGAAGTAAAAAATTAATTTAAAATGTAAATAATGAAAAGGTAATTAAAAAATCACAAGCATAAGCCAATTATAATAACGAGAAAATAATGTAACTTTTCTTAAACACACTCTTACTTCTTGGCACCTCAATATGCATTTTATAAGTGTCGATATTTTGGCAAACATTCCAGACAGAATATAATTTTCTCTCTCCCTGCTTTTCTCCACGCGTCCATATAACTGAGTGTGCCAAAAGTAAAAGTAAAGAGTTAAACGGTGTCTTCGTGCTCGCTTTTTTCTGAAGACGAGTCGCTTTTGATCGGATCGCGTGTTCGAGAGCAGCACCTTAATTACAGCATTAGAGCAATTTGGAGCATTTTCTGTTTGTCTGCCTTGAGCAACTCGATTTCTATATTTCCTCCTTGACAAAACGCACTTTTGTACGTTTTTAGTCTCGCTACTCATGATTATTCATTTCGCAAAGCACCAAGCGAAAAGTGCGTCAAATAAAGGGGTCTTGTGAATTGCAGCGTGAATCCTTCTTCCTATATGCGGTGTTTTATTGCAACGAACTCGGTTTAGCTGAAGCGCAGTATGGGCTTTTTGTTTATCCGTCCATCCTGTTAAATGAATGTATTTTGCGGCCACTTAAGATTTTTGTGATTCCCTAGAGGAAAAAATAAGATGCTTCCTGCTTTCGGGGAAAAATACTTCCTTAAAAACAAAATGATGAAAGATAATGTCTAAAACTTTTTAATAAAAATTCAGCTCATATATTTTAAATGTTTATCTAAATATCTGCATCCTAGATTATTAAAAATTAAATTTTTTAATAGATTATTTTAAACGCATTCAAAAGACGCTAAATCTAAACAATTAAGACCAGAGATGAAAAAAGTTGAATCATCATGAGAATATGGAATCACTTGAGTGAAAAAGTGATGAGCGAAATGACTTTATTGTGCTATTTTCCTGAAAAAATCTTAGAAGTGAAAACCAAGCCAAGCAAATCTACAAAAAAAAGAATGCATCCACTGATCTTCCTGAGAAAATAAAATGAAAAATCATTCACCTGCAAAACGTATTGTGAATTTTCCGCTAACATCACTCGCAGTGCAAAGAAACTTTTCATTTCGAGAGTAGGAAATGAGTTTTGAAGTTTTGATTGTGGAGCACCAGGCTTAAAGAATGCAATTTAGACGCGTGGCGAATTGTAAATCATTAAAGCACAAAGACAATATCAAAAGTAAGCACGCATAAGAAATATAATAAAGCGGTGCCTAATCGCGTTTCTCGATTGTGTTTGTATTTAATTTTTTTTCCTTCTTTTGATTGAAGACGAACGCTTCGCTTTCTCTGGCTTGATTCCTCTAATGTCATCCAATACGTTCGGGTAAAAGGTGACACTGTGCGCGAGCCGCGAACACTTTCGTTGACTTTCCTATCGACGTGTGATACAGATTAATTAGCAAACGGATGAGATCCGCGTCGCTGACTTTGAAACGACAAAAGCGTGAAAAATCATGACGCGTTCGGTGCCTCTCCACTTAATTTTCGAGTCCAACGGATGATCACCGCGATGGGTGGCAAAAAACTTTGCAGACACAAAGTTCACTTTCATTATGGAAATACTTTAAAGTAATATTAAATAATATTACTTCTAAAAGCCTTAAATTATGAACGAATTTTTAGTAAATTTTTGAATGCGTGTTTATTAAAATGAGGAACTTTTCAACAGAAAAATATTCTTTTATGAGGAATACATTCTGGATATTAAATAAATCATTTTAATTCTAGAATATTTTGATTTGCTAAATTTCCAAAACAGGAGCCAAGAAAAACTTTCCTTGTATACCAACTCATCATTAAAACTCGCATAACTAATAATTATATTATTTTAAGATCGTCTTATTCTAGACAGGAAGTGACTAATTGTTATTGTGTGAAGTTTAATTTTGGTGAATCAATTTCGAGTCATACCTGTTTATTACAAATCTCAGGTGCCCCGCGGGCTCGAGCCACGCCAGGGTATGACCTTCAAGCGTCTCTCTGTGATTCAGCTGCTCTTTCGCTCGCTCGCTTTTTTACAATCCACCTCGATCTAATTCGCTTTCCGTGTCCAAAGCCCTGCCTTATTCAGGCTTGCTGTGCCTGCCAGACCAAATTTATGTGGCACACGCGTAAGGCCGAAAAAACTATTTGTATTTCCTGACTCAAATCATGCGTTTTCACCAAACCAATTTATAAGCATTCAAAATTGCAATTTTCAAAACTTCTATGCAACAAGATTTTGTATAGCTGGTTCATGTACTTTACTATTTTGTTATGAAAAGAATGGGCAATAGTTATTATAAAAATCATCATCAAACATTTTTATTTTTCATAAAAGGCCCACATTGTAACTGATTGTAACAAATAACAGTTGACAAACCCACTCTTATTCTTTGGTGAAATTGCTCAAAAGGTTTTTCTATGAACCCTTAATTTATTTTAACTGTTTTGAATTTTTCCAATTGCTTATTCCTGTTGATATTAATATATAAAGAGTGCAAACTTCTATATTTTTGGAAATTTTCTATAAAATTAATTTTTCACTAAAATTATACTTCTTTAGTCTGATCTAAAGTTTGGTTTTGAATTAGAAATGAATCTCATCACGACTGGTATAGTGCACACATTTTCTCCACAAAATACTGTGATTTTATCACAACCCCAATTACTGTTTTGGGCACAAACGAGTAAATTAAAATTAATTGTAAAGTTGTTGAGAAAGTGAAGCTTGCAAATCATCGATCGCGGCGCCAGAATGCGGGATAATTGTGCCATTTATTTTCACGAGAGCCGACCCTGAATTATATTTTTCGTATTTGCCGTTCCATGAGCAATTAATTCAGCAGCCGCGTCTCTGTTATCAGGAATTGCTTCAGCGGTTCTCGAGTTTAATTCCACGCACATCGTCGGTGTCTGTTGCTATCAACGGCGGTGCGCGGGTGAAAGCAGCTATATAGTGGCGAACAATCCTGCTTGTCTGCGTTCGCTTGGTGCAGCAACGTTATTTCAACAACGCCACTTACTTCTAATTCAGCACTCGTGTCGCCAAACTCGGCTAATTTTTGTAACTATTTGTCTCTCTGAGAACATGCATTGTTGCAAAATAACTTGACGATAAAACAAAAAATACTACAGTTCCCATGGACAAAGATAAATAATTATGTGTAATGCAAAAGATTAAAATGCAAATTAACCAAATTCATCATTAACGAAGGTTTTAATTTTTATTAATATGCAACGAACCGCTCAAATTTTCCTTTTCGAGGCAAAATTTTACTTTCAGGTCAACTCGCAGCAAAACCATCTCTCATTATCATTCAACCTTGACTTCAGAGATGTCAAGATTGAGTCTTAAAGAGGATTTTCTACCAAAAATTATTTGCGTCCGTCTCGTCTTTCTCTCGAGGCTGATTTTCCGTTCAATGAGCGTGAAATAAAAAGCAAGAGAATCAAATTACCGCGAGTGTGTAGAAAGAACGACAAACAATCAAAAAGCTCCATTAGAATAGAAAAGGACGTGCGCATATTTTAGCCTAAAAAAGAGACGCGTGTGCCTTAATTAAGTCCAGCTAGCAACATATTCTGCTGGCAAATGTTGCGCAATTGCAGTAGTGTGATTAGCATTCACGAAAAAAGTAATTTGCATTAACTTCCTTCAAAAAGGCGCTTGCATTATTTATCAGGCGTGCATCTCGAGCAGTCGCTTAATTCTTTCGAAAATGATGCTCGTCGAAGACCTTCGAATTTTGCGCAAACCATTGTTTCCAAAACTTTGCATTTCAAGTGAAATATATTTGATTAAATTGTGTCTGAATAAAATCATTTACACTCTCGCAGTGAGTGATGGGTTCTTGTTTAGACCACTTTTGCAGCAGCAAATCGCGCCGCCGCCCAAGACAATGAGGGGCGGCCATAAAAGCAGAGAAAACCTGCTTTTAATTTTCAGGCTGCAAAAGACTCTGGCCTTGAAATCAAATCTGTGGGAGTTTGTTGTTGTGAGCGAGGGCAACACACTCGGCGTCTATGTAACTCCAAATTCGCTATAAACGCTCGTGCAACATGCCATTATTACAATTTACAATCGATGATCCACCGGTGGGATTTGTTTAATATGCACGAACAGCGGGGACGACGATTGCAATCACCGTCCGGATTTGGCCAACGGAAGGTTCGCCTTCTAAATAACCGTTTTCCACAAATTCCGGAAGGAGATCTGCACGAAAGGCGCACAAAATAAAAGAAAAACGATAATATAAAATATATTTGAGAAATTATTAAAGATTTCCTTTTTAAATAATAATTACAGGACTTAATGCCCAAGTTGGTCTGCTGAATGTTGAAAATAAAACTCTAATAACATATAACCTACTAATTTTAAACGCGGTCTCAAAATGAAGTTGTTTTAAAATCAATGTAATTAGCGATTTTTAAATTAAACCTGTATAAAAATTTCTTGTCAGTATTATTATGCGTTTTTTATATACATTTTGTACTGCTTTCAAAAATGGAAGTTTTGCAATAAAACAGAAATGTTGCACTTACAGCAATTAATCTGCTGTTCTACCCTCTAGAGCGCAATACTTGATCAGAGCCTTCACAACAGTGCACGTGCGAGTGCTCATATCAACATTATAATTGCTAGCCATCCTCATATTATAGTGCGATATGCGCGAAACCCTTCAATAGGAAGTTGGTGTCCAGTTACTCGCACGCATCACAAACGCATATAGAGTTCAAGAGAACGCGAAACTGCCTTCTCTAATTGGATAGCCCGCCGACCCAAGCGATAGTAATTTTCTTGCCCTTTGTTTGTGCTCAAACGAAAATATAATTTGATTATGTATTAAAGTAGCTTTCTTCGTCGGTATTTTTCTCACACCCAGCTGAAAAAAAACTGGAGCAATCGTGTTGAATTACATATTATAGTGGTCCGCGATTTTACAAACAGTTCAGTGAACTTGCGAGAATATATTATTAAGAATGCTTTGAAATTTAAACATCAAGTAGGCGCGCCCAAATTTGGAAACTTCTACTCGCAGCCGGGCCAATGACCACTCCAGCCTCCGCAAATTCGCCAAAGAGGCGCCCGGGGCAATAAAATTCCTTCGTGACTTACGCCTCCCTTCCGCAATTCTAGAAAAATTGGTTTTGGGCATTAAACCTAATTAAAAATTTGAGTTACAAGACGCTGTAGATTTAATTTGCATTTTAGCGCAATAAACGCCGGTAAAGTTTGGAGCGAGTGCTGGTGTGTGGGAAAAGTTTAGAGTCGTGTGCTGAATGCAGGTCGTGCTTCAAGTATTACAATATAAAACACAATAATATCTCTGAATGGAGCATGATAATAATTTCCTCTCTCCCGTCCGCAAGGGCCGTCGGTAACAACAATTGCCAGCGAGAGACCGACTCCTTTTTAACACAATTATGTATTATTTCGCACTTTCCCCTCGATAAATTTTGTGTCCTTTAATTATCTCATCGAGGTATGTGCTTCTGCTAGGCGACATAGATGCATAAATAATATAATACCCCTTCTCGCTTTGCATGAAGTCACGGAATTAAACCCGGCGACCATGCGGGTTCTTATTACACACTACCGAGCGCTAGAATTTGGGAAGATGAGCCGAGCGTGCTGTATTACTTCTTGCGTCAGGGCTGATTTTGCATTTTCATTGCGCCTTTTGATACATCAATTACCAATGTAGGCAGAGTGAAAATAAAGTGGGAAAGTCTGGCATATGTAAAGTCGAATGTTTTCTTTAGAAAATTATGATGGAATAAAACCAAAAATAAAAAATGTAAAATAAATTCATAATTTATATACTAATTCTAACAGCGATAAATATAATGCTGTGACATATTCAAACACCCTCTTGTATGTCTTGTATGTTAGCAAAGCCAGTTTGCAAATTTTTTCAAGAGAGATCATTTTTGGCATTGGATTAATAATAAATGGTCTCTTAAAAAAATTAAGGTCAAGACAGTTTTCAGATAAGTCAAAAAAATTTTGTGAGTCAAAATCATGTTTTTTAGATATATATAAAAAAAATTTAATTAATATTAATAATAATTCTGGACGTTTGAAATTTGATGAACAAATGAAAATATTAAGAAAAGCAAAAGACTATAAGAAAATACCACCTACCTTGAAAATTTTGATAGCTTGTGTGGGCACCGCTGAGGAGTTGCTCTACGAAGGAAGTGCCTCGATCCCCAACCTGAGACCGACTGAACCGCAGACCGAGTCACTTCTTATTCCGAGAGGAGGTACCGCTACTCCGCCTGAATCAGAGACCTCCTGTGTGACGTCACTCTCTCCATTCACAGCGCCACTATTATATTATGCGCCGCGTTTTCTGTTGTTATTAATAAAGAGCGGCAGTTTTATGGCTCTGTTTACTCACCTCAGCAATAAGAAGTGTTTCTATTAGTTGCTTTACTTTTCTAGCATATTTCTCGAGAATTATTGTGATAAACAAATTATTTCAAAACAAAAAATTCCAGGTCAAAGAATCATAACAATAAATGATGTGCACCATTTAATTCAATACTTTCACAGATATCGTTTATTAAAAATTGGCGATATTTTGCAAAATCAATGTCATCATTTACCCAAAAAATAAAAAAACTTGTACACAAATATCAAGATTTTGCGTCAATGTTTCAAGTCGGCGTATTATTATAATGTGTTACAGTGACAAGTGGAACCATTGTAACTTAAACAGAGAACACGAAGATGTAGAAAATTGTTATGAAAAAAGCCACTCAAAACTTACTCAATGAGTTGGAAAAATATAATCAGCTGCGCAATCTTTATAAAAATGACACATTATTAATCTGGTGCCCATCAAATACGACAATATAAAAGCGCAACTCTGGTTAAGCAGATTAAAGAAACGATGACCCAAAAGAGACATCAAGATTAGCGCTCTCATATTTTGATTTCCTCCTTCAGCCATTCCGGTACCCTGGTGTCAGCAAGATCCTGCCTGCTGCTTGCAGGTGGTAGAGGAGCGATTGTGTTAACCAATATCCACGCTCTGTTGGCGCAACAAACCAAGTCAGCCAAAACCACGGATGGGCCAGAAAAACTGTAAAACAAAATCTAGCGTTTTAACGTTTGTTTCGATTTACTTTTGCTAAATTTTGTTTTAGTTAAAAATAAGAAGAATTTCTTACGAGAGCACTTCCTGAGGCACAGTAGATGAAATTTTATTATTCCGCACCTGAACCAAAAAATATCTTAGTAATAAAACCAATATGAAAAAAATATATATATATATATTTGCCAGTCCAAAAACTCCCGAGTGTTTTGCTTTCGGTCCCCAGTAATATACAACTTGGTCGTGAGTCGCAGCCACCGCTCCTTCCTCGGTGACTCCTGCAAACTATTTCCAGACGTTTGCATAACACTTATATGAAACGCAAATAGCTTTGTTTTATTTCCTCTTATTCATTTCCGCAGATCTCCCATGTTTGATTCCGTTTGATTCAGAAAATAAAATTGAACAATGGAGATGTGTGTAATTATCTTTAAGGAGAAATGAAATGCATGCTATAAGAAGATGCATTATTCTGAAAACTCTCACGATGCGTTAAGTTACAACTTAATAAAGACTCGCAAATTATTTCCTTCTCTGAGGCAAAAGTGGGAAGTTATTTTAATTAACAATTTATAAAAACTTCTAATGAACATTATAAAAATTAAATTGATCCCTACTTGGACAGGTCCGTGAAATGGGACGACCAGTCCAGCATTCGGCCCATTTATGTGAACGGCCTGACCGGACGTGGTGACCACCAAAGTTTGCTTCTCGCCGAAAACCACGTCCTGCGTGCGGTTCCGCCTTGTCCGCGTAGGGGTGCCCACGTGACCCACTGTCCGACGCAGACAGAAGATTCCCTCTCTGTCCATGCCGAGCCGGTTGTACTCATTGCTGCCCCACATCCACAGAGATCCATCAGTTCCGATGGCTGCACTGCAGCTTGGACCAGCTCGGACGGTCACCATTTCACATTTTATTTGAGGCAACTCAATGGGGCGACACCTTCATATAAATTTCAGAAAAAATAATAAATTAAATATTTAACGATTAACTAAAAAATTAATTTTACTAAATTTTGTTAAGTCCGTCTGTAAATTTACTTTCAGTTAAATTATTATTTTTTACAATTTTATTTGCACGCACTCTTTTTCGTGGTCTTTTATTCCTGTGTTTCCCCAAGAGTAAACATTTCCTTCCTTTGAGAGCGCGACAACATGATCCTTTCCGCAAGCAACTGCGACCACTTCCACGCTGAAAAGGTCATCTACAAAAAATAATATTTGTTTTGCCATGGATTGAAAGAAAAAAATTAAGAATTATTTTTTATTTAATTATCAAATCATATACCAATAATTTGGGGTGTTGAAGTGGAGTTGTAATCGCCATGGCCGAGACATCCATTGCTTCCCTCTCCACATGATAAAACTACCCCGTTGTCACTAACAAAAACACTAAAATTCTCTCCAGCGGCCAGAGTGAGTATCCGCCGATTTCGCAACGCCTCAACAAATATTGGTTCGCTGCTGCCTTCATTCTTGCCTTGCCCAAGCTGACCGTGGGACCCTTGACCCCAGGCGTAGACATCTCCGTCTTAAGTGAATGCAAAATTTAAATATTTTTTTAATTTATAAGTATATATATTAAAATTTAATTACACATTTAAAACTTCAAAATTTACAAAAATAAAAAAATAAAATAAAATAGCCTCGGTTTGTGTCTGTACCTTTTGTAAGGGCGAGGCAATGGTCATCACTGACCGCGATTTCTTCGAGCTGCACTTTTGGTGGAAGTGCAATTGCCATCATGGAGTCAAAAGTCAAACTGCATTTGTAAACTACAGACCGAGGTCTGGAAGCAGTATTGGGGTCTGGCGGCTCAAGTTTCTCAGTGCTGAGCATCAGGTCTGGCAAAATTTCGTCGCAGAGTTGTTCAGCGGATGGTCGCAAATCAGGGTCCCTTTGCAAAATGCAGGCGACCAATTGACGTGTTTTGAAGGTGAATTCGGAACTTAGAGGACTGCAATCGCACTAAAATTTAATTTTTAAAAGTAAGTCATGCGTGATTTTTAAATATAATTTTTAATAAAATACCGAAACGATTTTTGAAACCAAACTCGGAATCGTGTCACTCATGAATGGCTTTTTTAGACACATGGTCTCATAAAGTATGCAACCGGCGGCCCATATGTCAGATTTTGGTCCATACTGTTTCCCTTCGCACATTTCTGGGCTCATGTAAAAAGGTGTCCCGAGGAGAGTATTCGCCTGCGCTCGAGTACTTAAAACCTTTAAACGAAATTAACTTAGAACTTTTTGAAAATAAAAATAAAAATATAGACACTTTAGCGATGCCGAAGTCACCAACTTTTACTGCCAGTCGTTTTGTGAGAAACACGTTTGCCGTTTTCAAATCTCGGTGTAGCACTCCTCTAGAGTGCATGTGGTCCAGCGCGGCGCAGATTTGTCCGAAAATGTGCAAAGCCGCAGGTTCGGACAGAGGTGTGACTCTTTTGGCCAGCAACCTTGCTAGGCTTCCACCGTCAGCGTATTCCATTTCGATCATTAACGATTCCTCCCATTCAAAACTTCGTATGTACCTTTAATTTAAATTTAATTAAAAATTAAATAAAATATTTTGTTCTTTAAACAAGCGACGCACCTAATTATGTTGGGATGATTGAGACTTGCAAGAACTTGCACTTCATTCAGCGCCTGTTGCCTTTCGGCAGGATCAATGTCGGCAAGAAAAACTTCTTTGATTACAACTAAGCGGCCATCCTTTTTTCTCCGATAAACAACCGCCAAGCCAAAAGCTCCTAAAATTTTCTTATTTAAAATTTGCAAAATTACAGTAGACTGTACCTTTTCCTACGGTGCGCACTTTTTCATATCCAGGAATTTCAGTTTTTTCCTTTGCCTTCACCATTGTGAATGCAGTTGCGAGTCAAAAGTAAACTGAACTGAATTGATAAAATGGGGCATAGAACAATTTTGTCAGTCCCGTATGTGAAAGAGAAACGCGCGCGTCCCCCAAATCCATGACAACAAAAGCAACATGTTAAGTGCTTTTACTCTTTTTACATTGAAATGAAACGTGACGTTTTAAACACTGTTTATGTCCCATGCGTAAGGGGCTGCTTGTGACCTATTTTGAACGCAGATACTATCTCTCACGGTCACAATTAACTTCTAATTGATCACACGGATCGCTCAAAATATGGGTTAATGAGCACATATGCATCACAAAATATCTCATAAAAATCCGTTTAATTTTGCATCTGAAAGTACACGAGGGAAATCAGAAATTTAAATTTTAGTCATTCAGAATTGATGTGTTTTGTTCTAGAAAAAGCTTCAAATAACACGATGAGATTTTGGGTGTTTACTCTGATGTCATACAATTATTTAAACACTTTCAGGATATTGGTTTAGTTAGATCAATGCCACTCTCACCCATTGTCAGTCTTAACCAAGCTAGAGATGAAGATAAGAGTGAGGCAAGTCATGAATCATATTTAATATTTTATAGAGTCAAAATTACGCCATTTTTCCATATAGTTTTCTTATCAAATTTTTGGCAATGCTCCTATACGCTGGGGCTTTGCCTGCTTCAATAGAGAGGTGCACATTGAGCCCCTATCCAAATGAATTTCTTTACGCACCCTCAAAATGTGCCGAGGAATGGTTAGGCTGCCCAGCACAAACTTGGCTCACCTGGAATGGTGTTCCCTTTGAAGCAGCCTTGTGGCGAATGTCAGCTTCTAAAGGTAATAAAGGAAATTTTTTACGATCAAAAATAATTTTTCAGGTTTGATTATTTAATGCTTTTAACATCTAGATGGATTGGTTGAGTTGAGGAACGAAAAGAAAAACGGCGGCTTTTTGACAACTCTTGATGGAGAATATGTGGTCAGCAGTACAAACTTGGGTCTGCAAGCAAGATATTGGGATGTACGGAAAATTGGCGAGGCATTTTTGCAGCTGGAAAATGCAAAGTTTAGAGGGAAATTTCTCGTTGCTGGGCCAGGCAGTTTAATTCGAAACGTTACGCTCGCACATCGTCCTCAAAATTGGCACGTCTCATGTAGAGCACAATAGTTCCGAGACATTTTAAAGTGATCGTGAATTCATCTCCAATTTAAATTTACTTATAGAAACAATTTCAATTTATAGAGTACAATTCAAAAAATATTCTGTATGAGAAAAAATAAATGAAAAAAACATGTTGATTAAAATTAAATGATTATCCTTGAGAAATCATCAAAAAAATAGTTGGATTAAATAATAATAATAAATTTTTACTTTATATTAATCATAGAATTCAGGACAATTTTCCATTTCCTGTAAGAAAGCTAATTTTCCATTCCGACAACTGCAGCAATTCTCAGAAAGCCGCCAGTGGCGCCTCACAATGGGGAAAACAACCCCTACGAAGTCGCGAAAATGGAAAATCGATCGGCCTTGCAGTCAGCGGAGTGCGAGTGGACGAGTGAGAAGCAGCACGCAGAAAGTATGGAGACGGCAGAAGAGGAGGCCCAGCGGGAGCTGGACACCTACGAGCACGCATGCATGCGGGCCGAACTGCTGGGCCTGCCAAGGCCCACTTTCGAAGAGTTCGAGGCCAGCAAGTTGGCCATTCGAAGTGCTAACTACGATGAGGACGAACTGGAGGAGCTGCAGCGACGGCGGCAGCAGGAGGAGGCTCAAGACCAGGAGGCAGAACTGGTCGAGGTACAACTCACCGTAAGACACCCCCGACTCTCTGCAAGCAGTAGAGTAGGGGGCCCACAAGGTGCTGGAATAGAAAGGCCCTGGGACCCATGCATTGATAAACCGTAGAAAATTTTGAGCATGCGGATTGAATAGACATTAATTATTGAACATTTTTTTTTTTAAATCAATATATGCCCTTTGAAACACTCAAATTTCATCGTAATTTTTACTGTGGACGGAAAAAATGGAATTGAAAAAAGTAGTTGTTATAATATTCTTGCCAGAGGCAAAAAACTTATTTAACTTTAAAATTGTCTTGAATTCAATTTTAAATAGCAGGTAATTAGGCGTGACGCATTTTTCGGTATGTCTTGAAAATGCTTTTTCACTGTCCAACCTATTATAAAAAAATCACACATCAAAGACACGTTTAATAGGGGTGCTTTTTAAAGGCACTCCACTTTCCCTTGCTGTACTGCACGCTCAGCAAACGCATCGCATGCAGAAAGAGCGCCTGCCAGGTATTCGTGTAGGCAACCCGCGTGACTCGTATTAACAAGCAGGAGGGCAGTCAAAATTAGTAATTAAAAATGAAGCTTTTGCTTGAAATTGTCTTTATGCATAGAAATAGCAGAACTGTATGAGAAGATTATATTATTTCCGCATACAAAATTTTTACTTGAATTGTGAGAGAGGATTTTTTCACCGTGTATCATAAATGTAAAAAAAATATGCAACTTAAAAATTTCTCTAGCTAATATGGAGATTATGGAGGCTTTTCAGAATACCTACTATTAAAAGCACTACTGTGCAATCCAATGTGCATGTAAAAAATATTTGGAACAGCCGCTGCAGCTTTGCGTGTACCGGCTTGTACTTAACAGGTTGCCCAAATACATGAGCGCTCTAGACAACGTGTCAACTCGGAAGTGACTGACTAGTGTAGTAACTACCAATACATTACATTCATTCATGGTAAAATTTACGGAAAATATAGGACCCATTATATGCAAAGAAGAAAATTCTTCTTTTCCTCTATACAGTATGCAGAATTGTTTTATTTTTATAAGACACGTACGTACTTTGTGAATGCAAAAATACTTAAATTTAAAGCTTGTGTATAGTTCTTTTGGTACATTATGATATATTAGGGCATTTTTAATATGGTAGCTTTGATTTGGTTCTTCTTGTATTTTATTAACATTTTAGATACAATATATGTAGTTTATTAAGTATATTAACCATTTTTAACAGGTTTCTACGTGGTTTTACTGAAATTGTAAAAATTAAACCCTGAAACTGCTTCACACTGTACAACACAAACAAAGCAAATACTCTACACTAATTAAAACAGAAAAAACACACGCACACTAAAAACTATTTTAAGCATATTTAACCATCTATAAATTTTTAGTTTATTTGTATTTTTTATCAACTTCTAAATATTTTCAATTAATTACAAAAATATTAAAAAAAAATCATGGTATTAACTCTTTGCAAAATTTTTGAGCAGGAGTTAGACAGTCAAAACGAAGACCTGAAGGGTGCCAGCGGAGGCTTGGACGAGCTTGCTAATATATTGGCCATCACCCAAGGCAAACTCAACAAGTTTAAGGTTGGCGAATTTGCTTTTATGCCTTTAAATTACAGCGTATGTATTTGCAGACTGTTTGCGGAAGCATCAAAAACTTGTTCAAATTGCGAGGTGAGGGTCAAGATGGTCAAAGTGACGGCGAAACTACGGAAGGAGAGGAAAATGCAACGGTTTCCAAAACGCCTGAGAGAGCTGCTGTCTCTGTGAGTGTAACTCGATTAAAAAAAATAGATAAAAAATAACAAGTATTTTTATTAGGTAACTAACTCACCAATGGCAGGAACAAGAAGCAAAGCTCAAGGTATAAGCACCCAGCTGTCATCACAAAATGATGCTCTAGACAGAATGCTGAGCAAAGCAGAAAATGCAGAACTCAGTCTCAGCAGCCAGAACAAGCAAATTAAATCTTTGTTGCGATAAAATCAGAATATGTAATACATATTCTGGATGTAAAAACAGAAATTATCTTCTCTGTGCATGCTATAAAATACACTGCGAAAATAATCAAAGTCAGCCACTATATGTTACACTCTGCAAAAATCTAAAATAAGTCCGCCACAATTTCCATCAAATTTCGTTTAAACATAAAATGAAGTTTTTTAATTTATCATTATTATTCAACACATAATCCTCTTAAATACTTATGTATTTTTTGAAGCAAAATGTGGTTATGCCAATATTTTATATTTTATGTGCAGCTTATTGGCATCAGAATTTAATTACTTTGTCTCCCACAATATTATTCAAAACATTTTGCTTTATTTAAGTTTGCTCCAGATTTTTTGAAAGACTTTAAAATTGATAATTACTTGTAAATGTATAGATTATGTAGCGTAGCTGCAAACACGTTGTTTTATCTTGTACTACATGAAAAATATAATTTAAAAAAAAATATGTTTTGCTTTAAATGTCAAGGCAAAAGCTATAACCATTTAATGGTTAAAATTATTTATAAAACATACGCTTGGGCCATGATGAAAGCAATTATTATTAAAATCTCATTTGATGTATGCCAAGAGACACCAACCAAAAATCTAAATAATATATGTCATCGAATATTGCCTGGCGTGAAATATGAAATCTATTGATATAATAGAATAGATAAAAAAAAGAATGTGGCTACGAATAACATTCTTGCCCACAAAATTTAACCACAACAAAATCTTCAAAATAAGCTAATAATATTGTATGTCTTTCAATTTCCCATAATACATTATTGTTAAGTGTGTTCATATTCACTTTTTTATAATGATTGAATACACATCAAGAACATGTTGTTTCATATTGTTGATTAGAAAATTTAAGACATGTTACCTTGGGAATTATGTAATTATTTTGGTGAAACTATTAGTGCAACACTTTCATTATTAATATGATTAATAATATTGCTGAAAAAACGAATAAAATTTTAAAACAAGCAATTTATATATTGGCTTTTGTTGATTTCTATTTTTGCTTGACTTGAAATGAATATCATAGCGTTTGGCAATACAAAGAACTTGCAAGAAATTAATAGTGTTAAATAAAAGCTTTTTTATTATTATTCTACGATTTCCATCAATAATTTGATAAATATTATTTTGGTACTAAACAATCATGACTGAATTTCTTAAACATTTCTGAGATCTCGTTTAAAAATAGCTTTCAAGCTACGTTAAGTTCTTCAAGAACAGTCTTGTTATAATTGCAATCCTTTGGTGAGCGAGTTTTCTAATATAAAATCAAACTCATCCAGTGATTCCAGGATTTGAGTGAGGAACGTACAAAGACTAGCATCTCTAAGGAATGAGTTTTCATCAAACATTTCCGAGCACGCCCTGGTGGCTGCAATGTGTGGTATCATCCTGTGCAGCAGATGATCCCTGAACAGAGGAAATATACAATGAAATGCTCTAATTTCCCATTTACAATTTTTACCTTGCAGCTAAGCAAATGAGGAGTTGCAACTTCCCCTCTTTGCCGAGATTCTCTCCTTGAGTTTCAATTCCCTCCACAAGACGACAGTATAGTCTCATGACCGCTGACGCTGCTTCTTGCTCTTCCTCCAAACATGATGAATTTGACTCATCCACTAAGCTTATTTCAAATTGGTCCCGTACTCGAGCTGAAAAAACAAACAATTTTTCAGTCTCATGTTATTATCATCACATTGAATGTACCAAAGAAATCCCACAGGTACAAGTTTCTGCCAAACAGACGTGCAGATCTGAATCCAAGCAAAAATGTTTGCTCTAAACAGGGAACTAGTCCACCTTCTCCACACAGAATTTGAGTCAAGCCCCCCTTATCCTGAGACCGCCGTGGCCTGAGAAAATGTTTCACTATGGTGTTAACAGTCTCACCTACAGAGAAAAAATAATCAGTATTAAAATGAGGGTTTCAAAATTCAAACACTACCGAGCATTTGCTGCATCTCTGAAGTTGACAACTTTGGATCCACGGATCTCCGAGGGATGCTCGGACTGCGGCAGCGGGGAGGTGTCATACAAGACTCAATCAGCTCATCACTGTCAACATGCCTGGGCACCATTTCACCTACAAGGAGGCGTTCAATCGAACCATCGTCCATTCCTCTTCCCAGCCACTTTCCACAAGGAAATCTAAATTGTTTTTTGAAAATTAGCAGAACAAATAATAGGAGAGTTCAACGGTATGATAAAAAAGGCTGGATAAAAAAATTGATTAATAGAGGAGAGCAGATATATTTCAACGCTTGAAAATCGCTATTTTTTTAATATTTAACAATAATCCTAAATAAAATTAAAATTTACTAAATACTTTAATAAAATCACGATCAAATATAAATTAACAACTCATTGTTAGCAAAAAATTTAATTACTTCATATATTGTACTAATCAATAGTCGGATAGATGTACTAGATGGCATCCAGCGTTCTGAGATGGCCCTTGGCGTTCAAAGCCCTTGGCTTTCCAAGACGGCTCTAGGCAACGGCATTTCAACACAGCCCTCGGCAGTCCGAGGCAGCCCAAGACGACCGACGGCCCTTCTGCGAATGAAGCCCCCTGATGTTCTTGATGGCCCTCCGCATTTCTAGACTACATAATTATTTGGCGTTCCTAGGCTACGTCGCAGCAAATCAACCCAACCGCCTCACTTGGTGCGCCGTAGTGCCAACATAACTGGCCACCGACTGGCCATCAAAAATTCCCAGCGATTTTCAAGCGAAGAAAAAAATCTGCTCTCATCTCTGTACATAATTGTGCATATATATTAAAAAAATCTTACTTGAAAGTGTGCCCAGTGACTTCATTTCTGGCTACTATGTGCTCAATCAAAAACTTCGGAGAGGCGCCGTAATTGTCATGGCCAACTCTCATGGAAGTTAACAAACCCAAGTTTTTGTGCTAAGTACAATAAATTAAATTTTCAGCAATTTTTAAAATAGCAAATTTCTTACATGAAAAACAAATTCCAAAAAGCCATGAGGTACTGCTATCTGAGAAGTTTCACCCAAAGTGCCAGTAACACTGACCCAAATGTTGGCTGTGGTGAGAGGAGACTTTCGAGATGGGAATATCACAATGCGATATGGTAATTCTGAAAAAGTTTAGATAAGAGTTTAGTCACAAGTTTATCGGGGTCAGAACATTTTCTCACTCGTGGTTGTGTAGGTATTTGTGTAGCAATAGTAATCTACAGCGTTCAATGTTAAAAGATGGTAGAGGAATTGCTCCTTCTCGTCATCACACCTCAAAAATGCATATCGCTTGTACAGTGTTCTGTGAGAAAATTGTTAAACCTGTCTTCATGAAAAATTCACTAATCATATACTTCAACAGGGAGTTGTCCATCAGTAAAGTTCTCAGGTGTTTAGATAGAAGTTTCTTCTCCAGAGCAAGACGCACCCAAGCTCGTGCATAGCCAATGTGAGTTTTGATATCGGTCATGGCTAGGACATTTCTAAAATTTGAAGAAGTTATTTTTGGGTTATTTTTAAATTGATTGCACTGACCTCATGTCAAAAGTTAGTGAAACAGGCAATGGTCGAAGAGTAGCTTCATGAATACTTCGGTCTCGTCTTTCTGGCGATTGTCTCCTGCTGTTGCTCCTACTGCTGCGTGCACTGCTTCGACCACTGCGAGACCCTCCTGAAGTTGGCTCTTCTCGTTCTAGGGCCATGGACGACAAATCTAAAATATATATTTTTGATAAAAACATATGATAATCTAAGATGTTGTCTCTATCAAGCATCAAAGAACAGCATAAGTAAGTTGGCAATATTGACTCATCAAAAAAGCAAAACACAGACATTAGTCTGCACCAAAATCATTCATTTCAAAATAAATATAACACGGTCAATATTTTAGGTTAAAGAAGCTGCAAATCATGGAAAATATAGTAGCTGTTAAATAAATAAATGCATGCTTTTAACAAATCCTGCATATTTAAAGCTCTAAATCAAAACACCACACAGTTGAAATCTGAGAAGTATAAATTATAGTCACTCTGCATGCAAAAATCAAGAAAATATTAGTTAGCAATATTTCAAGAAACTTTGACGTACAATCAAGTCTTTTCCTTAAGACGCACCATGCAAGGGCTGTTGGCAGATTTTTTAATTTGTTAGTTCATCCTCATACCAATAAGTTCTATGCATATAAAATATTTATCATTTCATTACCTGGAGTGAGAAAATTAGGACTAATTGGTTTGGACGTGTCGCTACATTCTTCAAGTTCCTGGAAGTTCAGTAAATGTGACCACAGAGCTGACTTTCCCTGCTTTTTGTGGAGTCCGTGCGACCAAACTCTCTCCAGCAAGTCGCACAAGCTGGCAACCAAAGTGTTTTCCTCCACGCCCATTATGCTAGGTTCAGCATGGCCAAGCTCTACAGCCTCTGATCCCATTTTCTCCACCAACATTCTTTTCGTCTTTAACTTGCAATCCTGAAAACAAAACAAAAAAGTTTTTGAGATTTTGAGACTTCATTTATTAATTGGGATTGGGACTTACTTTTAATAATTTTTCTACAAAGCTCCAGTTAGTTTGTGCAATGACAGCAGGACTCATTTCAGTGAATTTTGGCTGCTTTGTATGTTTGTTCAAAACAGGTGCCTGATTCTGTGGAGGTTGAGGCTCCGCGAATGACGGAGCCACTTCAGAAGTTGGAGTCGTTTCCGCAGAGTGGATGGACCTCTCTCGCCACTGGCCACTACTTCGCCTTCTGCTCCTGATTAATTGAAGATATAGATTAATTTTGTAAACAGCAGTACTATTTCACTTGCCTATGAGCAGGCTCTTTGTTCAATGCTTCTTTATTGAGAATGGGAAACAATCCTGGCACTATTTTTGAAGCATTTGAGCATATCTCTATTGGGATGGGTGCCATCGTGTCAGCACCTGAGAGCCTTTTCTCCAACATGAGCTCCGAGTCTGTTATTGTCGTGCAAGGTTCATAGCAGGGAGTTCTCACTAAACTGTCTCCGTATTTGGTCCTGCAACTATAAAATTTAAAAAAAATCTTTCTCCAAGTAATAAACAAAACAAACCTTATAAGTTTAATCCGTTTGTCGAACACTCGAAGTGATGGTTCTACTGGTTGCCAAGCAGAGAGTATTTTTTGGTCAATCAATGTGGCAAACATCTGGGTTTCAATAAATCTAGATAGGAAAGGCAACTGCTGTTCTGGTTGGTCCGACAGAAAAGTGGCTTTATCAAAGTTCTGCATTGACTCTCGGCAATTCAGCCACTGCTCCATGTCCTGACGCAATTTAAAACTCAAGTTTCTTTAATTTTATACACATAGTTCAAAACTACCTGGTTGGGGTGAATGACAAAGTGCTCATAGGCTGAGAATATGTGAACAAATCTGTTCAGAAAAACCTCTCGGATAGCGTTGTTGAAGCGCAATTCTGCTGCATACTGCTCTTGAGGAGAGCCTTGACAGTCCAAAACCATCAACGAATTACTTTCTGAGTCACTCCTGCTCATCCCCATCACACCTAATAAAATTCTTAAAATTAAATTTCTTAAAAAAAAAATGATATACCTGCACTTGGGGATGGCAGGAATCCAGTGAGGCTGCTTGACATAAAAGCATTTTCAACGCACACAAGTCCAGACTCTGATTCTTGAGACCATGATAGTTTCCGCCTTAAACCACCACCTCGTCTGTCACCCGCAGTTCTGCACTTGTCCGGCTCAACTCCGTACCTTTGCATGACTTCTATTACCTCACTTATGAATTCAGAGCGTTGAGGAAAGTGCGGCAGCTCCTCTGGCAGCTGTATTCGCTTATTGTCAATATCAACATGGCACATTGCCTAAAAAAGGAGAAGAATAATGATCGAATAATTTTTTTTTATCCAAATATCATACTTGGTTGTTGTCCACCGTTGAGTATGGAACAGTGGATGTTGATTGATGGAGACCCATGACAAATGGGACGGGTGCGTCCAAAAAGTGGTGGAGGGAAGCTGGTAGAATAGGAACATAAACATGAGGCCAAGAAAATGGGAAGAGCAGTGTGGACGAGCACTCCGCAACCAACATGAGCCTTTGATAGACTAAACAAAATGAAATGTAAGTAGTATAAAGGAACTTCAAAGATTCAGGGTAATCTACCTGATGAATAGAGCAGTACTTGATGCTCTAGGAGAAGACAAGTGAAAAGCTGGATGGCAACGTCTACTCCTAGAAGCTCGAAAAATGCCCTCAGGGAAAAGTCGAAGAAAGGGAGCTCTGCGATGTTACCCGGCCGCTGCAACAGGATGAGCTCCTCAAAGCAATCAAAGGTGAGGCAACGGCCGGGCAGTGGCAAAGGGACTTGATGCACCAAATTGTACACATAGCTCTCGAGACTGAGTTCACCGCCTGTAACACTGTACTGGTAAAGACCAGATAGGAACTTGTTGGCTGCGTGGACAAAGGGCAGCTGACAGATCAAGTTGATGGTCTTCGAGGCATACAATGTGTCTTTCGCTGAGTCATAATAGCTCTGAGCCGCCTTCGAAAGCGGAGTTGATAGTTTAAAGTGGCGGGGCAATGACCTTAAAAGTAAACAATGTCTCATAAAGTTGATGGCTCAAATTATTTTAAGCAATATATCTTATTGATGTAAAATTGAAATGATATATGAAAGTATTTTTTTTTTAAATAAGATATTTTCATATTTCATTTTCAAATAAACATGCTTAGGGATTTATATAATTTATATACCTCGTGTTGTCACTGTTAAAAGCCTTCATTCGACCACTGTGTCTACTACTGGATAACTCTGTTAAGTGCATTGCCTGCAGGGTTTGCATTGCACTGCACAATTTCCTGTCTGAGACTTCTTCAAAGAAGACGAGACTAAATCCATAGCACCGAGAGCCATCCTCTTTGGTGATTATGAAACTGTGAAACTCCGGCTCTAGATTCTGTTTCTGGGTTCTGAATTTCAGCCCATGAGGTAGACTCAGCTAAAATTTAAAAATAAATTTTTTTATTGTGTTATGGGCAGAAGAAATTGCTTTTTTGATAGATCAATAAACACAATTTGCAATTAAATCAAAAGCTGGAAAAATAGTTACCAAGCAAACTGCGTGTTTGTCGAAGGGATTCCACGACACATTGTCTGGATAGTGTGCCAAAACTTTGCATTTGTAAGATCGTTCAATTGGAGAACACAGTTGCTGAGATTCACCTGGAATTTTGAAAAAAAAAATCAATTATATTTGCCATTCATCATCCTCTTCAATGTATGTATCTGATATGGAGCAGAGAAAGTTATTTAAAAACGAAGGACAAATCAATAAGCAGAGGTCATTTTCAAATCGCCTCTCTTGGTATACATTTATACATGACGAGCTCCACACACGGTGACAACATCAGCATGGGCCGTCAACAGCAGCATCATACATAATCGCGGGGGACCAAAATATCCGGAGACCCTTGAAGCGCGCACAATTGTGAGCACCAATTTTCTTGTATAATACCTGATATCACGTTCAATTCGAGTCCGCTGTTGAGATCAAGTCCGCAAATGACGAAGTAATCTGCGAATCGCACTTGACTGTTTAAAGTGGCCTGCGAGCCCATTTTTAAAACACAAATATCACAAAGAACAATCAGCAGCGAACCAAAGTTCGCAGGCAGGTCAATGAAGAGGAGGCGATGCACACACACAGCTGAAGCAAGGACGGCCTCTGATTGGCTGTAGCCATGGTAACCGGAGAAAATCTATAAGTCAGCAGCAGCGCGTTGAGCAGCGCACTCTCAGCGCAGCGCAGGACATGCTCTGAATCTGTGGCCTAGTTGCCAACATTACGGGGCGTTTCACAGAAGCCCGCGTTATCGCATCTTTATTATTTTCTTTTTATTTCTACTGCCAATCCAATCTCTTAAGTTTGATTGATGATTAATTGTTTCTTTATGACGCTGACACAATTAATTTTTAAAATTGTGCCAGTTTTTATGGAATGCTAAAAATTTGTTACGATTAAGGATTAAGGTGCGAAAAAATTATATCAATAGGGTTAATAGGCTTATAATGAGCTCCCAGTAAATAATTCATCTATATACAGCAAGGGTCCAAGGTTGAAAAATGACAGGAAGTCAATCTAAAATCCTTTTGTTGAGTTCAAATGGCCCCATGTACAAATTAAAAGAGATGAAAAGAGAGATTGAAATAAATTACGGCCGGTCAGATTGTTAAATTATGATTTATCAGTCAGTATATTTTATATAGAAGAGACTTCAAGTATCTTTTATTTTTCTTGAGTAATGTATAATAAGTAGCGTGTATATAATATCCGAGTAATATCAGACATAAAAATATTTACATATTAAATTGTGACACAGTGATAAAAAACACAAAACATTTTAACTTGCAAAGTTAATACAATATGAAATATATAATAATTATAATAATAATGCATTTTTATGGTAATGAATATCAGTAGCATAATAAAATCCCTGCTGGCAGTATACAATACATGTTATAACATAGGCCCAAATCAAATTCTAGGCTTGTACGTAATGTGCATGTTTCCCTCGTCATGGTCTTCGGAGAGGCTTCTACTACTTTGATGTTCGTGCTGCTGGTCCTCAGTTATTGACTGCTGTTTTTTGCCGTTTTCTTTGTTTTTTCTTGCAGATCCGCGGCGGACTCGCTCCTTGTCCCTGCTGGATGTGCGTCGCAACAGAGTTTTCACAGACTCTGCGCTCACGCTCAGTCCAGATGTCAAAACTATGTAAATAAATAGTTAAGCAAAGTCAATAATAATATTTCTTTAAGGGAAACTTACCAATATTATCCGACGACGATCTATCTGATCCGACTTTGAGTATTCTGGAAGATGCACTTTCTTTCAGCAATTCTTGCTGTGCGGGTGATAAAAACCACTCAGACCTGGTTCTCATTCTTGCGGCTTGTCTTTCATGAACCTAATATTTTTAAACAAGGAGTAAATATTTATTTTGGTAGATAGGACTAAAAAAGGGAAGAAATAAATTTGGATCTTACTTGTGGCAGGAAAGAAAGAGATTTTGTGCTTTCAGCATATCTGTTGATTGCTCTCAGTTCTTCTAAAGTTAGGTGGTGACTCGTGGTGCTACTTGTGGACGAACGACTCGAGCTCTGCAATTTTGAGTGGTGTCAGGACAGGTTGAAGACAGTGCCTACATACACTAAGGGGAAATCTACTTACTTCTTCAATGACTACTACAACAGCTCCTGTGTCCTCATCAGCGTTTCTATTTACACTTTTCTAAAATTTTCATTCCCAAGCATATTAAAAAGCCAACAACTAAACAAATCTCATAAAATCAAATAGAAATCGGCAAATAAAATCCAACAAATCAGGAACTTCTAAATTACGTGCTCAGGAATAAGGGCAAATTTGCTTCATTGAAGATTATTATGGAGGACTGTGACACAAATTACAACGGAAAAGCACCTTCAGAAACTTAGTAACAATAGCGTGGAGTCCATATTTTTTCTTAAGACTCGCAATAGTATCAGATTTGTGTTGTTTAGTGTTGGAACAAATGCTTCTTTGAAGAGACCACAGAGCGACAAATTTGAGGTGGAAATTTCCGTTACCGGGTATTGTCGTATTTACACCAAATTAGTTGAGTAGTGTTTTAGTAAAACAGTAAAATAAGAAAGGCGCATAAAATTAGAAAATAGTAGATTTATATTTTAATACAAAAATATCATGAGGAACGTAAAACTTATAATATAATACAACAAATTGTTTGTGTGAGAATACAAAAAATAGTTGTGTTCTTGTTCATCTTATTATTAATCAAATTAATATTAATCTGTAATTTTTGTAAGGAAATGCCATATTAAAATGCAATAAAAAACCAAATAATTTAACAACGCGAGGCCCATCAATCAAGCACTGTGACATGCCATGCAAGTGCTGCCTGAATCACTTTCTTTCCGCTTTTCTTGCGAGATAATTAATATTAAAAATTAATTGACAGTGAGAGGTGGCGGAGGAGTGTAAAGGAAGAAACGGGTGGTTTCAAGATCAGCCAGCGTTACCTTGAACAGACCGTTTTCCTCAAGACTAATGGACAAACGAGTGTATGACTGCAAAAGGTTGTTTTCAGGGATGATACCCAGTGACGACACGGATGGCCCCAACGATGAGGCTTCTGGAATGTGTATCAAGGCGGGGGTTGACTGACTTTCCTCTTGCTGAGAAATGGCTGCAACAATTTATTTGAACCATCAATGTAAATCAAAGTTCAAGCGACGTACATATCCAGATAATAGAACTATGAAACTTACGGGAAACCATAGTATTTGGTGGGTAACGGAAGCTGAAGATCCAATCCTCCTCAACCTTTAAAATGCGTCCTGTGATACGGGCGTAAAACTCATAGTTCTGACGACCGAAGAGGTTGCTTGCGCCAAAGTTGTCGATCAAAAACTTCATGATCCTAGTTGCAACCTGCAATGCACAAAGTTGAAACATTCAAGAAATTTTTGCATTGCTTCAAGTGGATGCACACAAAGTTGTGCTAAAGAGCTAAATGTGGGTGACAAGAGGTGGGATGAAGATTGATGGAGTCTTTTTTGACCATTTGATACTGACGACTGATTTTTGTATGTGCCGTTTTTAAGAAAACCAACCTTAGGGGTGACAAACATGCAGTGGCATTTGAGAGCTTCAAGAAACAGACTTAGTGGGGTCTTTTAAATTTTTTTCTGTCCAATTGCACAAATGTCTCATTATTCTTGGTAAAGCTCTCTGGAAGAAGTAAGCGGTAGAGAAACACAGTTTTCGCCAAACCACTTGAATAAACATAAAGATATTTGCAGATGCACCAGTGTTGATTGAGTGATTTGGCTTTGCACAAAATATATTCAAGGTCTCAGGGATGATTTTACTGTTACTTACATTAACTTCCGCCTGAGAGCAAAAGAACACCATTTTAGTAAAAATAAACATATCTAGCATTTATTTTGTTCAGATGCTTTTTAAATATGTTTCGAGGTTTATAATTTGCAGTTAAGATATCTAAAAGAATCAAAGACAACACAACTTGCCTTGTATCTCAACACATCTTCCATCCTGGCTTGTTTTCCATCAGAAACACAGCTTTGGAAGAAGCTTGGAGCTACAGAAACACCAAGTGCCTCCGAGCTCATGCCTGTGTTTGCTCGGTTGGCCTGTGTAGCGATGACTCGGAATGTTCCAAACAGTAAAACTAGAAGCCTCTGTGTTTGCTCAGGCAAAGAAGTTATCAGTCTGCAAACAAGCAATTACAATTTTAATTGTCAATAAACAATCACACAAATAATATTGACGTTGCTACACAAACATGTAAAGAATTACACTATATTTGTTTAATATGTAAAAAGCAAGTACTCACTGGTGGATTTTTTCTCGTTGAGCATCTTTATCTTTCATTTCAATGATATCAAATAAGCATCTTTCTCCGTCCGCTCCAAAAATACCACCAGGTAGTTTTCGAAGGAACTTCTTCAACACTGAGGCAATGGTGTATACAGAGAAGTTGTCCATGTTGACAAGGCGGCCGTTTTGCAAAAAGTGGATCAACTTTTTCATGTTGCCTTGGTGCCCTGGCGCTCGAAAAACGTCCTTCTTGAACGGCGCCTCTTTGTTCAATTTCAAAATTAGAACCTAGAGACAAATTAGACACAAATTGAGATAAAAAGTAATCATACAGAGCAAGTTTTCTCACCAATAGTGGCCCAGGAATGTCATTTTTGCACACCTCTTCAAGAGGCACTCCAAACTTAACTCTGGAAATTAACAAGCAGGCGCGACATAAATATGAGGTCAACCCTGGATCGTTCCACTTTTGAACATACTTCTCTAATCTTCTAGGGTAGGGAACGGTAGATGGGTGGCCACAGGAAGTGACAACATTGCCGAAAGTGGCCGCCCTTTGATGCATCCTTTCAGTCCAAGTGGTCATAGCGCCCGTTGAGGCTGCAGACGCTGCAGTCGAAAACGACGCACCTGAAACAGAGCGTGACCCGTATGCCGTTAATGAGCGTCGCCCCAAATTGGTTGCCGAAAATTGGTCACACGAGACTGCCACACAAAAAATCAGGACATCTGGCAGGATAAATATCTGCGCCTTGAGGTTCTGATTGCGAAAGATTCGTACATAAATTGGAGAGCACAAACCTCACAACAACATCCTGCTCCGATGGGTACCCTTCGTCGACTCACGGTCGCGCCAGACGCCACCAAAAGTTCACGCCCATCACTGCGTCGTCTTAAAATTTGACCGTACCAACTTAGAAAAATCTCAACACGCCGAAATCATTCAGGAAAGTGGATGAAAATTGCCCAATTCGGCCGAGAAACTGACACACCAGGGAGTGACCTCGCTCCACCCCCACTTCCAAAATTATTTTCCTCCAGTGCTGTAGTGCCAACCTACCGGAACGCTGGACGGACTCTTCAGCACACAATCAGCAGAGCTGCCAACAGTACCAATATTAGCGCGCAAGCATTTTCGTGACAGAAAAATTTCTGCTCTGAAATTAACGGAAATTAATATAGTTGTTAGTTTTAGTTGTTATCGCCCGAATAATATATTTTACAAATAATCTAGATAATTATATTTTTTTAGCTAAAATACTTGGCCGTACCGTACAAAATATGCAAAATACATACGTGTTTGCATCTGTGCAGCAGTTTAAAGTAAATGTAAAGTTTTCTGGAGAAACAAATTTTGTTAAATAAAATACAAAACTGTAAAAATGCAAAGAGTAAAATACTTATGTTTTAATAATTTTTATTAAAAGGTAATAAATTAATTATAAAAATTAATTAATGTTTTATTCATCCTAGCTCCTATTTTTTTATAGTTATTTATCCAATTTTTTTTAAAAAGAAAATTAAATGTGAATGAATGACTCTATGATAGGCCAATCCTGCGTCAATTGAATTTTACCTAGATTTTAACTATGAAACCCACACTTATATGCTTAGTGCATATATTGTTTAAAAACAACAATTTATTTTTATTAAATGTGAAATCCTTCTTCTTACATTTAAATACTTTATTTTTCTAATAAACTTGTTTGGAGTTCAAAAATAAAATTTTTATCAAAATATGTTTTATGCTTCCATCAATTCAATTTATTCTGAAGCAAGACATTTCAAACAATAAACAGAAATAATTATTCATTCTGTTAGCTATTAGCTTGATCCATTCCTGGCACGCGATACAAAAAAGTCCCATCTGAGTGATAATAGCAATCTTTCACCCTGTAAGTTGCTCCTTCTTTGAATTTGTGTTTAGGGATCACGATTGTTTCCTCGTAAGAATGCACTTCCTGATATACAAATTATCCATATTATGTGAAAATTTAGTTGCATTTAATAATAAAATTTACTTCATCTGTTTTTGGCATATTTGTTAAACTCTGTCCCAATCCATCTCTGTGGATTTGCAACACTTTGCGTGGTTTTTCTTCCTGCTGTGGCTTTTCCCATGAAAGAGGTGCTTTGACTAGAAAAAAGCTTCAAATTTATAGCAGGTTGATATTTAAAATTCATCTTACGGTCTTGATTCACAGCTTCCTGTTCTTCAAACATTTCATTCAATTTGATTCTGTCTTGAGGAGCTATAAAGCTCATCAAATGAGCTCGCAAGAATTTGTCAGCAACAGCAATCTTTCCCTCTCTAAAGGAATTCCAGTTTTTCTCGGCTACCTCATCGTGAAGATTTATGCTTCTAGGAGTCCATTTATTTTTCAATAATTGCTGTGGGAAAACATATATAATATATGAATAAACATTTTTAAAAATAGCAAACTTTTAAAGAAGCTGTAGAGATTGGGTAGTTGGAAGCTAATTTTTCTAGATTCCATTCTTCAGGGTTTTCATTGTGAAGACTTCGGATTTTTTCTTTTGTTTCCCACTTGAGAAAATTTGGAGTCCTTTGCGTTTCCTTGAACTTTCTAATATTTTCAAGCCTGAAATAATGCATTGCACATTTTAAGTCAAATAGGAAAATAATTTCAGCAAAATGAATAAATCACCAACGCATGTAAGAAACTTGTCTAGGGTCATGAATGTCACAATCTCCCTCGTATCCTCCATCAAAATCGTCATCTTCATCTCTTTGCCTAGAGTAATTTTGGCGCTTAGAATATTTTCTGTCATCCTCAAAGAAATTGTTTTCTTTATTCATCCTATCATGTTTTTGCGCAAAATCTTCGTGCTTCAAATATTGATCTCTTTTAAAGTTTCCTAAAACAAAATATTTTCACATACCCGTAAAAATATAGCAAAAAATTGTAAGGAACCTTTAAATTTATTAAATTTTCTATCGTTCCGTTCCTGCGAATCAAACTCTACTGCTGCTGGTATTTCTAGCGTTTCTGGTCTCCGTTTGAAATTACCTAGGGAAATTAATTGTGTAATAAGTAATTATATAAATATTTTTTTTAATTTTAATGCTACAACTGCCAAATTATTGCTTCATTTGAATACCTTTATATATGATTTTATTTTCCAAATCACTTTGTTTTTCTGGAAGCTTTTTATCATCATCATCGGCGTATTTTCTTGCAGCATTGGCGTGACTTTGAGTAAATCGTGAGCACCTGTTTAAATAATGCGCTTGGAAAATACGAGCTGTACAAATTATCCTCAGCATCTTGAATATCTCTGGAAACGATCGACAAAAATATAAATAATATGATATGATTTCTGATAATACATAAAAAGAATTAAGACACTTTCCAGGAATTAAAAAAGGTATGTACATATTATACATACATGTGATGTAATATCTGCAGAGGACAGAGAAACGAAGCAAGAAGTTTTGAACAGTATGGTAGTAAATTTTTATAAGTAATTGGATCAAATTGGCTGTTCGACTGGAGTAAATGCACAGAGCACAGAGATAGGCGAGGTAGCGTTCTATAAAACAACAACACAACCACACAACCACAAGGGGCAAGGGGGCGGGGCGTAACATAAGTCAACCAGTTGAACCAAGATGAGGCGCGGCAAATCGAAGATGTTTCCCTAACAATTTAATTTATTAAATTTTGAATTTACGTGTAATTAATAAAGAACGCAATTAAAAAAACTTCTTTAAGTCTTGTTTTAATTTTGATATTCATGAAATTAATTTTTTTATTAGTAAGGCAACTTTAGGTATACGGCTTTTATAAAACATTATTTTATTAGCTATCTCACAATGTTACATTTTTAATAAAAAACTTTATCTTTCTCAGCATCGTCATATTTTTTATGTTCTCTTATGTCCATGCACTCAGGGTGCATAAAATTGCACCACTTCACTCCACCATAACATAGTAGTCATTAATTGATGTACATTTTTGCATTTTTATTATAGATACATCTGCATTTTATATGTTTCTAGTAGATTTTCATACTGAATACCTCTTTTTGTCAGCATAAATATAATTATATTTCCACAACAAAAAGCCAAAATGTTTTTATTATCCAGTTTTAAAACATAAAGGCCAAAACGCAGCTGTCAAATTAGTTGCACAACATTCATGAAGTTATTCTAAATTGACTAGGGGTGTCAAAAATATTGATGCACACAAATACTCGTCGAGCACTGGATTGTAATCGAAGTATAACTGCTGCCAAGTGCACAAATTATTTACTTTTGATATTATTGATTGTGATAGAACATCAATGTTACGCAAAAATAATAACAAAGTCTTCAGGTTAAAATGTAGCTAATACAAATTCTATGCATGAGGCACGCGCTATATGGGAAAATATTAAGACTTGACACAAATTAGAAAAAGTTGAAGACTTTGAATTGAGACAAAACCCTACTAATAATATTGAATTAATTTTGGAAAAGTAAATTTTTACAAAAGAATTAATTTGAAGAGGAAGAAGAGAGTATTATTATAATTAAAGAAGAAAGACCAATCATAAAAATAATAGATGATACACAACATATAATATTAAAAAAAGTTATTTACACAAATTAAAGCTTGAACCAAAGCAATTTGAAAATATCAATCAGACTTGTCTGAAAATGTTTTTCAAATAATCATACTATCTACAATACAAAAATAATAACCCGACCTTTCTGGCCAATTGATTCTGGGGAAATTAACTAAGCTAACCCAATCAGTTGCGGCTCAGATAATGAACTGCCAAAGTTTCCAGCCTATCTCACTAAAGAGGCTACTTCAGATGCACTTTTGGGTCTATAGTCTTTTTTCGATTTGAATGCAGTTAAAACACTGCCTTTTAAAAAATCGGGAATCACAGCATTGCTTCGGAGATAATGCTCTCTGCCAAAGTGGAAACTACTACCGCATTTGAGGAAACTTTGGCAGCTCGATTTCTGAATTTAAAACTCCCAACTACAAAATGATTTAAGCTCAGGCACCAGCCCTAGTTTTTGCCCTCGTCTATTTATATAGTGATAACAAGAATATGTATGTGTATTGTTAGTCATAATTCTCTTGTCCTGAAAGTATGTTAAGGAAAGTAACCTGATAGCAATTGACAACGCCATTTAATTCAAATATATATGCATCTAGAGCTTTATAACACTCTTGTCAATGCGTAAGTTTTCTCTTAAGAGATTTAGCAATATAATGAACAAACCAAAGCAGGACTTTTGAGAATCAACTTGATTATTGATAATAATTCAGTTAGCATTTTGATACTCGCAATTATTCTTCAAAAGTAACTACGGCATTTTACTTTGTGTGTACTTGTTGAGGTTTTCATTATGCTGAGTAGAACAAAATCTAATCATGACTAACAAATCATTGGATGGTTTGGGAGATTTCTGTTTGTGGTCCACCTATCAAAATCATACAGTATACTGCAGTATTGCTTGAATCTACCGAGAGTTATTTTTGAAAAAATTTGCAGCTCTCGGCCTTTTGCAAACTAATAAAGTAGTGGCACTAATTTAAAATAATCACGACTTTCACAGATTTGAGCTGATCAAAACCAAATGTTGACAAAGCTACTCTAAAAATGTACTTGCCACCAGTCACGGTCTCACATTTAATTATTCACTAATTTGATGCTGCTTGATTTCAACACCTTGTCCATTGTCATTAAACTAACCGACAGACACCTTCAGTGATTCTTGGCAGCATCCTTTGCAGCCATTATTAGTGGTGTTAGACTCGCAAGTGGCCTAGCCAGCTTCAGGAATGGATGCTTAAATTAAAAATCCAAAAATTAAGTTGTTCCACAATGGGATTTTGTAGTAACATACCTTGAGCAATTCAGATGCAGACGATCGTTGCTCAACCTCCACTTCGAGGCACTGATCGAGGAAGTCCTGGAAAACGGCTGACAATTTGTCCTTGTCTTTGATGTCAGGCTTGCCATTGGTGGCGATGAGGTAGAGGGCTCGAAGAGGATTTTCATTGAGGTATGGCGGTTCTCCCTCTATCATTTCTATTGCCATAATGCCAAGTGACCAAACATCTACCTTTGGCCCATACTGCTTCCTCGTGACCACTTCAGGCGCCATCCAGTACGGAGTGCCAACCATGGTCGTTCTTTTATTCTGCTCAGGTGATATTTGTGCGCAAAAGCCAAAGTCCGTCAACTTGACCGAGCCATCCATGCCTAGCAGAATGTTGTCAGACTTGATGTCTCGATGGATGACTTGATTAGAATGCAGGAATTCAAGTGCCTGCAGCACTTCCCGACACACACTAGCAATTTGCCCTTCATCCATACAAGTTTCAGTGACCACATCAGTCAAGGATCCACCGGGTAGGTATTCCATCACCACCTGTTGAATGGAAATAATAAGTTTGATTTAAATTCTATGCTGGGCGAGAGAATAGTAATGTTGAAAATTTTATGGTAAATTACAGCTTACCCATAATTCTTCTCCTACTAAGTAGCTATCTAGGTAGTTGACTACATTGGGGTGTTTATTCTCTCGCATCACAAGAATTTCATTAATTATAAGTTCCTTCTTGGGCTGCTGTGACAGATTCATTTGTTTGATTGCTACTTCCATGCCAGTGCATGTTTCTATTGCAGTGTAAACAGTACCGGACGCACTAAAATTAATCAATCAAAATTTGTTTATCATTGCAGGATTTGATAAAAGCTTACCCTTGGCCAATTTTTTCCATTTTTGTGTATTTTCTATTTGGATCGCCTACACTGACAATAGTTCGTAGCCGTTCCAATATTTCCTCGTCAGACATTTTCTTTTTTCTAGGTTTATCTCTTTCTAAAGCTGTGACCAAGCCACCACCAGCAGGGCTCGTTGGCATCTGGGTGGTCGCTGATGGAGGCGTAGGCGAGGTTGTGGCAGCTCCAAGGTGAGATGACGAGGATGACGAAGAAGAGAGCATTGGAGTGGCATTTTTGTTCTTGTCCAACATCATGGCAGATCCATTTGTGTGCTGGTGCAGCACATGGTGAGGGGACGTTGGGTGATTCGAGTTGTGTCTGGGACTCTCGTCTTCTAGTGGTTTGGTGTACTAAAAACCGAGGACAAATTAGTACTTTCAATGGTTCAGAGCATTCACTTACAATTGATTTAGTTCTCTCAGGGCGGGTCGCAATTGGAGGTGGAGGAGGCGAGGCTTCGTCTTCCTCATTGTCTTCACCTCCAGTGTGCTCTGTGTCTGGAGTGGTGGAAGGACTGCAGGACGAAGGGTGGCTGGAGCCGGTAGGGGTGTGACTGGAGCCAGAGGCAGCACTAGTTTGACTAGGGCCTCGGATAGGGGTGGCTACCAAAGGTGGTGGGGGTGGTTCAACCACTAGAATCACAAATCAATGTTATAGCAACAAATTTAGTCTAAAATAGAAATTTATTTTTTATTATATAAATTCAAGATTACCCTACCTGTGATTTTGGCAGTGGTCATGTATTTTGAGGGTTTGTGCTCTTTTGAGGAATTGTCATAGTAGTTGAGCACGTCAAGAACCGCCTGCGGATTTTTCTTCTGCTCCTGCTTGCTGATGTTAGAAGCCATGAGAAGGCGCGCCCACGCTTCAGGCATTCCCTAAAATAAATCAGAAATAGTCAGACGCGCGCCTCACTTGCCGGTGGATAGACAACAAAATAAAATTGACGTAAAATATAATTGTGTAGTTTCATAAGGTTATTTAGTGTAAATTGTAGTTGACATACTATTTTGTTGGTCAGACATAAATATAGCTTTTCTTTAATGGTGCTCTACAAATAGGAAATAAATTACATTTTAGTAAAGAGCGATACATGTTGAATCATTGATGTTTATGAGATGTCGAGATGCAAATTATGAGCTCAAAATGTGTGACCAATATATATGGGGAATTTAAATTCAAGACACCAATTGCTAGGTAACATTTGTCATCTTAAGCAGTGCCAAAAATGAAGCTATGCTGTCTGGTTGAATTAAAGAACGTAAACAAAAAATAATTTTGCAACTCAATATTAGGGTCATGAGTGAACAATGGGAATGAAATTCATGCTCAAACCATTACAGGAATACTTACTTTTAGCGGCAGCTTGAAATGAGAAAACAAACCATAAGTCAGAAAAAATATATACTAGGTAGTAGCAAATAAAATGCTATGCCAACCAATAATTCTTTTAAAAAGCAAGGGCACAAAAAACTTCAATTAATAACTGTTTTGGCGATTAATCATCAAAAAAGTTCATGCCACAGAATAATTTATCCCGAAGTATAAAGGCAAGCTACATTGTTACAGAATTTTGCGGAATGGGAGATATATTATTTTCAAAATTTATTCTGATTGAATGCCAAATTAAATTTTCCGACAAATTGTGTTCAAATTATTCACATTATGGAATTTAAAAGTTATTTATTGAATTTCTAACATCATGCATTTGTGCTGGCAACACCAAAGGCACACACTAAACCCATGTTTGCGTTTCTGTAATAAGTTACGGGCCAATCGATGTGTGTTAAAACACACACGTTTTTGGTCAACTTACTGTGAACTCTCCTGTGATAGCGTCAAAGCCCACATGGACCGTGTGCTCAAAATTCGTCGGGTAGGAGATGTTAGGTTTGTCGGGGGCATCACTTGCCCCGAAGCTGCTGCCCACACCAGGTGCCTTCTGCTTTTTGGCCTTAGCTGCCTTCAGAGCGCGCTGCTTCTTCTTCTCGTCTGCAGCGTCCGGCTCTTTAGGCAGCGGCCTCATGTCCACTGGCAAGGTTGGCGCCATGTCGCCCCTAAAACCACACAATATTTAAATATTAATCAAATTATTAATTTATTTAATTTTCAGCTCTTAAGCACAAAATTTGTCAGATAATTTTTCTCAGGAATGTTTCATTGAATGGAATTATGTTTAATATTTTTAGTTATTTGTATCATTTCAACACAGCAATGTAAAATTAAACCAAACAGTCATACTTGACTTTAGCAACTCTATTAAATTAGAAATCAACAATTTGTGCAAATATCAACATAACGATACATTACATACCTATTGCTTGTGAGTCGCACAGGAGGTGCTGGTGGTTTGTCGTCGTCGTCAGACATGGTGTTGTCTTTATAGTTTCTCCGAATCAACTATGCCAAATCTGGAAGCACCGAAGGAAAAATTTATCTTTTTCGTTAGTTATGAATAACAAAAATTAAATTCTTGTGTATTTTGACAAAACTGCTTCCATGTATAAGCACAAAGTCTTGCTGATGATGATGAATTTAGCTAATGAGATAAAATAATATGTTAGGAAAGCACTCGGGTGTGGAGAAAAAATGCAGTGAATCATCAACGACGAGCAAAGGTGTTATCTGATATTCCTTGGGCTCACTGATCCTCCTCGCTTTGAACGCGGCTACTTCAAGTAAATCTTTTTTTCAAGGTTAATGCGGCAAGAGTGCAAGGTGTTTTTCGCTCGTCCCAGAAGTCCTCCCCGTGCCAATCTCCCAGTTGTCGAGCGACTTAATTTAATTTACCAGAGAATTGCGATTAAATTACAGCCAAAGAATGCTAGCGCAGAAGTTAATTCCAATTACACGGCGTTAAAAATAAATTTGACAGAAAAAATTTGTGTCACCCTGGCGTACAAAAACACATGGTGTAGGGAAGCTTTTCGTATTCAAATTCGCACCCCCGGCCACAAGGAGTTGGTGCGGTACGGAGAGGGCACATTGCAAAGTGCAAATTTGCAAAAACTTGTTCTTTACCTGCAGCAGGAACCGTGGAAAACATGATCTTAATCGACAAACTAATGGCAAATTAATCGAGCGGCCATCATGGACATGGATGTGACGTCACCCGTGTCCGTGACGTCATGAGCGCCCTGGTCCCACCTTCCTCGCATCAGAGACATCTACATGCGGCATGAAAAATCAAAATACACGATCAAAAACCGGGTTTTAAAATATTTTTTTTAATTCTATTTTTTATGATTGCTAAACATATTTGAGCATTACTCTATTTATAAAAAATCGTAATGATGTAAGCTACTTTATAAATTAAATTTATAGAGTGTTCCTAAATTTTTTAGAGTTTGAACAAAAAATATTCTACCCGCGGTTATTTTTTACTGTCGCGCTGGTTGCATAATCACTTCACCATAACCATAACATGTGCGTTCCAGCTGTTTTCCTCGAAGCGAGAATTTGGTTCGGTTCTCGCTTGATCAAAGTTATAAAAGTGAATCCTCACTGAGAGATGAACATTTTTATACATTGGAATCGTAAATTCGAACCTTAAACATGCCTATTAGTGAAATAATCTCTGGGTTGTCGGATAACCCATATTTTGGCGCCGGCTTTGGACTTTTTGGTCTTGGTGCTGGCGCTGCACTTTTGCGAAGAGCAGCACAGGGTGCCTCCCTTCTTTTTAGGAGACACTACATGATTACCTTAGAGGTAGCTATAAAATAATAATTAAGAACAACAATACAAAGCCTTAAGTAATTATTATATAATTCAAAAATTTCTCCCAGGTACCGTGCAAAGATAAAAGTTACCAGTGGTTATTGCAATGGATCACGCACAAAGGAGCAAGAAAAACTCAGCATCTAAGCGTGGAAACAAGTTTCGAGCAGAAAGAAAGTGGTCACGTGAAAACCAAATATGATTTTATTCCTAGCATTGGCCAGCATCTCTTCAGGTAATTTATTGTTACATAATAAAATTTTATTATGGAAATAAAAAAATTCAAATTATGTTTAAAATTTAAGATATAAAGGTACCTGGATTGGAGTGGAGAGAACAAGAGAGCAGCAAACTTTGGATTTGAGCATGGGAGTTCCTTGGGAGACGGTCACCTTGACTATGATAGGAAGAAACAGGAATATCTTCTTCGGAATTCTTGAAGAGGCTCGTCAAATGGCTTTGCAGGAGCACGAAGGCAAAATAATTATGTACACAGCGATGGGAGCTGACTGGAGACAGTTTGGACACCCTAGGAGAAAGCGACCTATCAGGTCTGTTGTATTAGACGAAGGAGTCGCTGAACGAATTGAAAAAGACGTCAAAGAGTTTATCAACAATCCCGGATGGTATATTGACAGAGGTTTGTTTGATATTGGTGGAAAGGGCTCTGCTAAAATTTATGTTCAGGGATTCCTTATCGCCGAGGATATCTTCTGCATGGCCCACCTGGTTGCGGAAAATCATCCTACATTTCTGCCTTGGCTGGAGAGTTGGAAATGGCAGTTTGCGTTATGAATCTGAGCGAGCGAGGGCTTAGCGACGATAGACTTGCTCATTTGCTCGCAGTTGCTCCTGTGCAAAGTATTTTATTGTTGGAAGATGTGGATGCTGCATTTGGCAGCAGAGAAGAGAGAGAACAGAGTAACAAAAAATAAAATCATTTTTAATGCTTTTATCTAAGCCTAACAATATTTTCCATAGCAAAAGCTGCTTACGAAGGCTTGAATCGTATAACGTTCAGTGGATTGCTGAATTGCCTGGATGGCGTTGCATCTGCAGAGGCGAGGATATTATTCATGACTACCAATTATTTAGAAAGGTGGGAGAGTCCATGTCGAAAAGATTTTTGTTTTATTGGATATTTTTTTTACAGACTGGATCCTGCCCTAATTCGACCAGGGCGTGTAGATGTAAAGGAGTATGTTGGCTACTGCTCAGAAACCCAAGTTCAAAAAATGTTTTTGAACTTCTATCCTGGTGAAAAAATGGACACTGCTTGTAAATTTGCGCAGGAAGTTGCAGCTAAATGTAAGCCGGTTAGCCCAGCGATGCTTCAAGGCTATTTTATGTTTTACAAGAATAGTCCTATTGATGTTATAGCCAATATTGAAAAAATTTGGACTATGGTGTAACAGAAAATAGAAATAAAATAATACAAGTAGAAAATTATGATGTGCATATTTTTATTACTTGAAACATATACAAATTGCAATCCACTGAAATTTATTGGATTATATTTCTAGTAAGTAAATGAGGGGCTCATTATCATTTTTGTTAGATGAAAAAACTAATGAGCTCGTCATGAACGCCCTTTCAAGTACTTGTTTTCTACATATATTTCAAATGGTCCAATAAGTGTTCACTAACAGGGCAGACCTGCACATCAAACATAAATAAATTTATTTCATCGCAGCATAATTGAGTGCAAAAAAAATTATTTTAAAGTCTAGTGCAGAAATGCAACATAATATGCTTGTAAAATGGTTTCTATAGACCAAGATAATTGCTCATTCCAAAATTGGAATGTCCTAGTAACTAATGCATAAAATAGTTTTTACCAAAAACTGAACAGTAAAGTAAGCACTTCCCCAACAACTTGCAAAAACAAGAAAAATAATTTTCTTAAAATTACCAAAATATGGCAAATAGAGAATATAGAACACTTTTGTGTTGCACACAAATCAAGTGATATACATATCAAAAATCACAATATCTCATAGCACCAATTCTAAAATGTGTTGCACAACCTCCATATAAATTAAGCTACTAACGCTTAGCTTGTGCTAAATATAATCAATGAATCAAAGCACCACTTCAATTTAATACCGCAGGAGTCTATCTATCAGCATCTCTCAGCCTCTACCAGAGTATTAGGTACTTGATCGCTGGTTTTGGTGATGATGTTCGGCCCCAACAACTCTGGACACGGTCTTTCTCCAGCTTGAATCTCTTGCATGTTTTTCAGTAAATCATAGTTGATTATGTCAGAGACCACCGAATCTTGTCTGAAATTAAATGTTGATCAGATGTGTAGAGGTAAGAAGTTAAAAAAATTACTTGTATTCTGGATGGCTGACAACTTGATTGCGAATCCAACTTGCAGTTGTCATCAGTTCTCCTGCAGCTCGTCTTTGAATGAGTTTCAAATACTGCTGTATAGTGCAGTGAGAATCAGCATCAACGTCCATACTAGACAAGTAGCTATGGACAAGAGGAATCAGGCCCGGAAAAACTCCCTCCTACAATTAGTTATTAAAAAAATATTTTCCTCTTATAATAATATACTTTTCCATTAATAATTTCATCCAAAGTCATCAATGTGTACTCCTCTGCAGGAGAGCAGCTGGTAGGTGATTGGCAGCAGCTTGGAGACTCTCCTGTAGTGACATCTTTGCGGAACCAAAACTTTTGGTTTCTTGCAGCATCTCTTTTCTGAGCATTTTGCATGTTCTCGTCAACCTGAGACGTGCATGTTGTGTAAATAAACACGCAAAAATGAATCAAGTTGTCTCACCTTGCTGATAGGAATGAGCAGATTGAGTTGGTAAGATAAAATCGTCCTTGTCAGCAAGACAACAAAGCAAACAATTGCGGCATTTTCGAAGTCGGTCAGCTGCGCCTCACAAGGTCGGAATTCCACCCTCCAGCCAATAGGGGAGTAGGGTGGGGGCGGCTTAAATCGCATAGTCTGCCAGTTGGTACTCTGAATGTTCTGTAGCAATTTTGGAATAAATTGAGTTGGAAAACACAAAATATCATGACAAAAATTAATTGTTTATCTTTGAAAATTACCTCAAAGTGATCAGTGTCTCGTTCATCATCCTGGTGCACTTTCTCGCTGAATAGAGAGACTGAATCTCTAATGAATAAATGGGCAATGTGTTGGGCCAAGAGGTGGTCAATGCCAGCATCAATCAACTGCTTATAAGCTACTTCGTCCATCACCAATGGCATGTCATTGTACCTGGATTAAGCATTAAATAAAAATTATCTCTACAAATCTTGATCAACCAACTTTTCTCCGTCGGGTGAGAGATAAGAGTCAATTGAGTCGTAGCGCGACTTTGCAATTCTCCTGACGCCCGATTCTTCTGGAATGGGTTCCAAGCCTCTTTCTTGTCTTGTTCTGCAGTCGACCGATCCTGAAATGACGTTCCACCGACAGTCAACATCCGTCAACATTCCTCGATGAACAGGAGAAGCTGCCGTCAGGGCCAACTAAAATTGAAGATTGAAGAACACATTGAAGAAAAATAAAATTTTCTCACCATGATTGGACACAAAGGGGTTAGCTGGTCGTACAGCGTCCTAGCCTCTTTAATGTTGCAGGCCTGGAAAGTAACCTGAAGACAGCAGCAGCCCATCCCAAATGCCATTGCGTCCATGTAAATATGATCTGGTAGAGCAGCCTTTTGTGAGGAGCCATCATCTCCTAGCTTTGACAAGTCCTCGACATACGGACTAGGAGTGTTTTTGTCCTTGAAAACTAAATAAAATAAAAAATTAAAAACAAATTTATCAACCTAAGTTATTTTACTGGGTAGATTTATGGCAACTTTTTCTCCTCGTCTCTCGCGAATGTTTCTGGTCAAGGTCTTAAAGCGGGGATGCCCTGGAAATATTGCTTCGTCTGGGATGAACAGGGACCTACTGGCGCCTTCAGTAGTTGTTGGCTTGTAGAAGGGATAAGTAAAACCAGGACAACCAAGTCTACAGAAGAAATTGAGAATTTTTAAGTTTTTAAATTTTCACAATAATAACCTTGGGAAACTGGTCAGGGACATGAGAGCCTCTCCGGGCTGCAGCAGGGCAGCAGCCTCTTCTCGTCTATACCTCATATTGGCCTCCACAACGTTAAAATGGGCCAGAAGGCCTCCGTACGGCTTGCCGGGTGTTCCTTCAACCATGTAGGCACCATACTCGGGTCTCCACAGCGACCTCACAGTGCTGAAATAAAACAATAAAACAAGCCCCTCAAAATAAAAATTCACACATACTCAGGATTAGCTAATTCTTTTTCACGAAGCGTGTTCAAAATTTCCTCAGCCCGCAAACTCACGTGGGTCGTTTTCTTTTCGTGGTCGAATTTGACCAAAATGTACTCAACCTGGAAATTCACAGACCTGATTATCGCGTCTCATATTATTTGTTACAATGACACACCTCATCGCCCCACTTGAGGACATCACCCTGTCTGTCCTGGACCCTCTTGTAGAGGTTGATGAACTGGCTGATTCCGTGTTGTCGAACGTGGTCGGCCAGGGCCTTGGTCTCGGGCCATGAAAGGGGACTTCCTTCGGTCAGAAGCCCCATGGTGATTTTCTGGACTGCCGAGTTAACTAGTGTGGGCCGAAGGCTCGACGAAAAGAATGAGATGCACGGACGAGGCGAGAAACCTGTTTTTGGGTTGGGTGAGCAGCAGTCGAGCCCAACGTCGAGCCTTTGCGCTTGATTTATTAATCACAGTAACCGAAGCAGCGACGGCGACTTACGCAAGATTTCTCCTCTTCTCACTGCCCGCCGAGATAAAAAGCCACCGAACGTATTATCATTCGGCGTTAATTTCTCGGCATGACGTAAGCGGACACCGCAAGGCAAGGCAATGCTTCGCCGCTTTTTGTTGTGTTATGTAATGGGAACAGAACTTTTTTATTTGATATTTTCCTGCACAGCTGACGGTGTCCACTGCTCACACACTGCTGCCAACATTCGACTATACTCACAAGTGAGCCGGTGAGCGCATCCCTTACGTTTCCGCGAGGGTGGGAAAAAATCGTCCAATGTCCTGTTATAATATTGCATAATGTACATTTTGTTCAGCTTGCTTGATGATATTTTTTTTCAAAGGTTATTGAAAATAATAAAAATTTATTTAAAAATGAAAAAAGTTATAAAATAAGCATCATATAAAGTTTCAAATAATTTTTATTGAATACAATTTAAGTAAGAAAGTTCAATTACTTCCGATGATTACATATTACATCTAACATTTTATGTGCGTAAGCGTAACAAAAAATAGGCGCTGCAATGCTATAGCAATCAAGTAATTACATAAATTGAAGAGTGCAATTAAAAGAAAATTATCTCAAATTTTTATAATTTAAACTTGAAGTTATACCGGCCAGTTATTACTTATTATTATCACTTCTACTCAATGCCGTTCCTCACAGCACATTTTACTATTAATGCGCATATGCGCAAAAATTCTTATCTGTTTTTAATTAAATATTTTTAGCCGGCCTGATTAAAAACACAATTTGAATATAATTAAACAAATAAGTTCTCACTCTAGAGTAGAAATATAGTAGCTTATTTTCATTATGATTGAAATGGTGAAAATAAATTTATGTGGTGTATGAAAATAAAATATAATTTATTAATAAATAAAATCAATAAGTAAAAATTTAATAAAAAGACATGAATTAAATTAAATAGTTTAATTTTTATGATTTGTTTTTATGATTTTGTATTAAATTATTCAAATTGTTATATTATCACATTAAATTCTATCACATTTTATTAAACAATAATGACTTTTAATGAGTTCAATTATTTTATTCTGTAGGAATTTTAATATCTTCAATTGTTCTAAAAAGATAAAAAACTATTTCTAAAATATATAATAAGTCTGTGCGAATTGCAAGGGGGTCACACTGAAAAACATGTATACCTGCCGCATAAATGAGGGTAAAAAACCGGCAGAAAAGAAAAGTAGTATGGAACACACACCCTTTTTTGGTGATCGGAAGGTGTGTGAGTTTGCATAGAGGGATGGTGATCTTTCACACGCGATGCATCAGAGAGAGGTCACGCGCTCTCTCTTGCCCGTCGCTCTTTCTCTCTGCTGCAATGCCGCCGACCAATCGATATCTGCTTTCTTCGTTATTAATATTATACTCTGTGTGCATGTGAGTGTGTGTATGTGAGCCACTTTGCGCGCTCCATCCCTCGCCGCTTTTTTCCACCTTTTGCTATTTTAAGCAACTTTTTTGTAGCGCAAAACACATTTGAAATTTGAAAAAAGAGAAGAACGGGTTTACAAGCACATGGTTGCTAAAACGCCTGAAAGGATTAGAGGAGAGTTGTTCCATCAGCAGTACCTTTTTTAAGTGAAGTAATTAAGTACAATTAAATCTCTTCATTTGGATGGTTAACAAAGCATAGCATAGCATTTTTTAAATTTTTTCTTATCGAAAATTATCTCTGATAAATTTCTAAGAAAATCAATTATATGATTAAAAGAGGTCATGTGTGATATAAACAATTCCTTTTGTCTGGTCTCTGTACAAGGAACAAAATTTACCAAAATTTGAACCAAAATTTTAAATACTTGTTTCAGATTTATAAAACTAATATATTATTTTTTAAATTTCCAGAATCCAGATTTCCAGAGCACAAAATAACATTATTGACATTTTTGTACTGCTGCACAGCTGCAACATTTACATATTCACGCGCATATTCATAAATTTATCTGTTTTCTGACAAATTTTTCAATTTTTACTGCCATAAATTTTGGCTTTCACATTTAATGTGACAGAGGGTGCAATGCAAAACTGGATGTTACAGAAAAACGATCTTGTCTCAAGGAGAGCGCGCGCATTATTTTCCATAACCGCTTCTGCGTAAAAAAAAAGTATAAGCGAGTGGCAGATTTTGCTCATCCGCTCGTTTTTTCTTTCTCCCCAGACTGCGTAGCAGCAGCAGCAGGAAAATTGAATCAGAAAATCCTTTTTCGCTGCCGCTGCGCGCAATATTTTGTAAATTAGAGGCAGGCAAACGGCTTCTGCATGCTCGCCGAATTTTCATGAGGCACTCGCGGAAACTTTGCCAGTTTCAAATTGCGCAGTTCAAATTGCGATTGTTTTGCAACTCGCAGAAAATCGATTTAGAAACAGATATATTTTACAAATTATGTTTATCTGATGGTGATTTTTTTAACCCTCGGTGTGAAAAAATCTGATTCATAAAATTTCTGCATTGGTGTCAAAAACTATAAATTTATTTCTGTTTTATATCCAACATTAATTAGATGGGTTTTGGTCGAAGACCGAGTTGCTACAACTCGGCACGTTAGTGGAATTTGATTTGGTGCCAAATTAGGGTGGTGATGCAAAAATAATAGGGTGCGGCTACACATTTGCGAGTTACTTGGGGCGCAAGTGGCAAAATAAAAAAGGTCCTCTTGCTCCAAACCAGCAGTCTCTCTGGCCGCGTGCGCTCAACGTGCGAATGCTTTTAAGTAATTTCCTCCGTCTCTCTTATATTATACGCCACGGCGAAAGTGAGTGCAGGGTGAAAAATTCGCTCCAGCAGCTGATTTTTGTCGTACGTATGCTACCAGCCGCGCACGAGAACCTTATACATTTGGCGGCGCACGACAGGAAAGGAGGTGACGACGAGAGACTTTGCTTTTGCCATTGCTCACGCACGCCCAGAATGGAAATTAATCGCGTCTAATTCATCAAAATCACTCCTCGCTGGTGGCACCTGGAAAAGCTGCCGCCAAAAAAGAGACGCTTTTCCACTTTCCACCCAGTGTGACCTTTAGCGCTGCAGAAAATTGAAAAGATCAAGGGTTGGAAGTTTTTTAGTTGATAATGAACTTTGTAAAAAATATTATAAAAGATATGCGCAATTTGAAAGAAATATAAGGAGAAAATATGATCTTAGAATTATAGAATATAAATTTATTGGCTTAAAATTTGGGAGCATAATTTTATTTAATTAATGTAAAAAAAATCAACTTAATTTTTTTAGTAAGTTCCATTTACGATCAGAAAACATAATTTCGAATAGTTAAGAAAATTGAAATAAGTTGAATTCTTTTAGTCGCAATACTTGCAAATTATCAAAGCAATTGTTTTGATCTATAATAAAAATTAATAAATGTAACTAAATTCTTAATTTTAGGTTCTATTTTTCACCCAACTAGTGGCAAATATAATTCATTAAATGTAATTGAATGCGTAACTAACGCATCAATTGAAATTTTGATATTTCTGTTTCAATATTTTTTTTATTAATAATTTATCTAATTAATTAGCTGAAAAATATTGTTTTAAAACAATTGGAAAATATTTAAGTTTTAAGAGTGATAGTAGTGATACTTTTTTAGGTGAAATCTGATGTCAGCTTAACAATAATTAAGCGCTTCTTTTTTTTATTTTTTTTTTTTGAGAGAAAATTTTTTATCGCTTTTTAATGATTTAGGAACTTTTATATTTCTGTGCCCTGAGTGAGTAAGAGTTGAAAGGGTTAATGAGTCCATTTCAAGTCGGACGCTTTTTTTCGGGGCGATCCAATCTTCAATGAGGCCTTTGTTGCGAGAGCAAAGAGCGTAATGGAAGAGCAAAGCAACGCGGGGGGCACTGCGAGCAGGGGTGGGCGGCAGTAAATCGGGCGGCTCCTTTATCAGCACCTGCACTGTTGCTATCCACTCTTGTTTTTTGCCGTCGGAACACCGTGTTTTGGCGCAAGACACACAAATTAACCGCCATAAAATAAGAGGCAGCAGAGCAGCTTTTATTATTATTAGGCGGCGTGTGCGCGGGGTGTGTTTTTATGGGCGCGCTTATTAGGAAATGCCTCTGCTCCACCAATTCCAGGAGAAACAAACGCACACTAACATACCTTTAATTGGATCGATACAAGCAAAAAAAGGAGCACGTTCGGCCAGAGAGGTCTCTCACTTTTTTTCTGCCGGCGGCCCGCTCTCTTTCTGCCCGCTTTGTTCGACCCCCCGTTTGATTAATTGATTTGTACATAGCAGCAGCGAGAGAAGGAAGAGCGGCACCGTTTTTTTTTTTTGCTCGCCAGATACGCGACATGAGATCTCGGTGCACGTGCATTAGTTTAATTGAAAGCCGCCGCCTGCTTCGGCTGAGCGTGTATTTTGGTTGTAATGAGCCTCGCAGGCAAAGGAGTCTTACCAGCCAATTACTCCTGTAAATTAAACGGCTAATTAGGTGAGGAAATCGATTAAGTTTATTATAATTAATTAGCATGATTTCAGCTCCTTCGCCATGGCTGCTGGAAACTTGAAAAGTAATCACTTTGAATGGCGTAAATATTCTTCTTTTCCCCTTAAAATTAAAGACTAGCTTCAGCTGATTTTTGCTTTTGTGATTGATTTTCAATTATTTTTTACTTTTAGCGAGAACACGTGTTAAAAATTTGATCAAATCAGAATTTTTAGTCGTCTTTTTCGCATCTCGTAATGATGTTATGAAACCTAATATGCATATTTGGTTACGAAAAATAAGCATAATGGAATCATTTTGAAACATTGTTAACAGTAAACAAGCTCGGGCGTTGCGCAATTTATGCATCGGATTTCAGACAAGGTGGACGAAATCGGATCTCTTTTCATCGCGAAAAATTTCATTCACGTCACAACATCTGCCGTAAAAATAAAGCGCGGCGCAAAAATATAGCAGAAAAAAGGTCTTCCAAGTTAGGGACTTAAATGAGATTTGCGCTGCAGCGTGTGCCATCACATCATCCCTCGCAGTCAGATTCGCCTCTCTTTACTCACCCTTTGTTGCACAATACACACACACATATGCCAAATTTACGACGTCCCGGCAGTCTGCCTGACTAGCGTTATTTTCCTCGGTGCTGCTTGTCAAGCCGGCGAAAAATGGCGCGCGGGGCATTATTGGCTGCGATGCTCCGCTCGTTGCTCCCTCGTATATACTGCAGTATTTTCTCAAGGCCGGGTGGATATTTTAAATGTATGTATACTCGCATCCCTCGCTCGCACAAACACACGGAGCATTTTTGCAGGAGAGGAATTCGATTATGCCACATAAATATTCCAGTATCACACGAGCGGAATTTATTATGGGAAAAAGAAAGGGGTAATATCGTGCACAAGTTGGCGCAAACACAGGCTGTAACTTTCAGAGATGTCCGATACTTGGCGAAGAAATGCAATATGGGTGAGCCTTGAGAGACAAGACATATTTATAAATATAAAAACAATGAATATTTTATGTTGGATTCCAGCCAAAGCGATTATATTATTACGTAATGAACTTGTAAATTAGAATAACAACTTTCAAAGCTGGAAAAGTTAAATGCATTAAGTAACCGCATCCTTACTAGAAGTACATTGCAAATCTAATTAAAACTTTTTCCTTTTGCTTGAATTATTGAACACTGACTTGATGCGGCCGGTGCCACTTTGCCAATTTAAATGCAACTCACGCTGCAGCTGACCCGAGTTGCCACCAACGGAGCCCAAGTAAACAGAGAGATTGACCCTGTATTGTACTCTATTGCGAGTCGACACAACAAAACCACCTACGTGTGTTTATGCAACCCGCTTCTTCTTCATGCCACACCTGATGCATAACCTCGTACATATTAGCCAACGACTTGAACGTGCTGGGCTTATAGGAGACGAGCCTTCACCTTTCTTTGCTGTATCTTCGGGGTGTAAATTTCTAGGATCAATTTAAATTTATTTGTTTAATTTGACAGAAGAACCTAGTTGCAAATTAAGTTTATTGGTATGTACCACAACGCAATCTCTGCCTAACAAGATACAAATATTCTAAATTATCATAAAATTGAAAATGAAAACTACACACAAAATTTGAGTTAGAAAAAATGCACATACATTTTCTAGAAAAACTTTTACAAAAAATGAATGCATGTAAAATTTACACATTTTCTACAGAAAATAAAATTGAAATCTACATTTTATTTCTTTATAAAAGAAACTTATTTTAATCAACACTGAAAATAAAGAACCTAGTTTAACAATTAAATTTGTTTTAAATTATCATTCACAACATAGCGACAAAATAAGGGATTTATACTACATTATTGAAAATGTCAACTTTTATTTAAATTGTGGGGGGTCAGGACAAGACAAATAATTGTCTTATCGGCCTGTGCCATTATGGGTAATTTTTATTTTTATTGTAACTTTATTATCATCATTCTCTTGTACGCTGATAGATCTTAATATTCAAAAGACTACTGGCACGGTACTTTGTTACTTTACAAAATCACTTCGCAATATTTTCCAGTTAAAATTTTTTTTACAAAGCGATTAATTTTCATCCCTTGGGTGCGTTTATCCGCAATTGTGTTGGAACATTGTGTCCCTTTGGAGCGAGCAATGAAAACAATTGTGCCCAAAGTGGGCCACGCACTACTCAGGGACTCGGTGACCCAGGAGTGAGTTTAATTTGTCTCGCGCGCGCTCCTTGGTCTAGACAAATTCGCCGGAGCGGGTGGATGGGCGAGCTGGTGAGTTACTTTGGCCTGAATCGTGCTGCGCTCCAGCCGCCGGCAACTCTCTCTCTCTCTTTCTCGCACAAACGCAATTTGTACGTACGTTCGTTTGTACATGGGCTTACTTAGTTACTCGCACCCACTCGCACACATAAAATATTTTATTAATGCAATTCGTCTGGCAGCAGGAGTGAGCAAGGCGTACGGCATCCATGCGCACGTTTTTGCCTCTTTTTACTATACGGTTTCTCGCGCGCGCATAGTAAGCCCACACGCTTTTTGCCGATATTCTAATTATCAACCCTGACGCGAAGATTATACACGCGTTTTTGCGGCTCAAAACGTTTCAGCTATTCTACGCGTAACAGCTTCAAGCTTTTTTCTAGGTGAATGAATAATTAAAGGTGAGGTCTAAAGTTGGATAGTTAAGCACAAACATTGAAGTTATGGTTTTTACATTAAAAAATGTGACATCAATAACTATTTGAGGATTCAAATAAAAGATTCAAATGAGGGCTGAAGTAGCATTAATTGTTACTTAACTTTTTTTTACTAAAATTTTAGAGAGTCCCACAAAACACCGTTTGTTTTTCATTGTAAAGAAGAAAAAATTGAATAGTAACACTCGAGGTGGATTTCATGAAAAATTGAAACCGGGCAAACCTCGTTGCAAAGAAAAAAGAAGAAAAAAGCAGTGAAATGAATAAATTATTTTGTACATTTTTTTACAAGAAAATAATGTGACAATTATAAAAATTGAGTAATCTTATAATTATTAAAACATTTCAATTGGTAGGCCAGAATGATGAATTTGCAGACAGAGACAGATCCAGAGTCAGATTAGCTACCTTCATAAAGTGATCATAATGATCTTGGATGGCTATACGTTTTAATATCCCAGATTAACAAAAAAACAAACAAACAATAATATAGATGTTATAGTTTTTTTTTCTTCCAATTTTTAAGCATTTTTCTGTACTAAATGACGTTTGTAATAGATAACACCTTGTCCGAGATAAAGACCTATGACGAAGATAACCTTGTGATTTATGGTCATTTAAAAATATATCAGAAATTTTAAGTAAACAAATTTTAATTAATTAAAGGCAAATTCATGGTGATCAGTCAATTAAATTATCGTAAATTATCAAAGAAAATAAATTTTCAGCAAGCACAATGTAAATAAAAAGGAGCAAATTACTCGTCCACATTTGGTTAAAATAAAACGGGCTTTGAGGTCTTTGATTTTCGATTGGGAGCGATCAAAGCGTATCGCAAGCAGTCTGCAGTTGTTGGTGCACCGAGGAGGGTGCGAGCCGGGGGGCGGCGGAGGCAGCGCCGGTCGAGGGGGCGGCGGCGGCGGCGGATGCAGTCTGCCACGGCGCAGACTCAGCACCAAGCACCGAGATGAGAGTGGAGCAGGCAAGCAGCAGCCGACTCGCACCGACCGTCCGCCTCACTCTTCAACCGAGTGGCGTTCGCCTCACTGCAGCACCCAGTCACCAATCTACACTCATAATTGCAGCACATCCTCTGCACTCCGCCGGACCCAGCAGCAGTGATTCATCTTTCGGTGAGTCGATGTTCCAGGCCGAAGCGGCCCTTAAGCGCGCCGGTCCCCGAAAAGGCCGCGCGCTCGCCCCCGACCGCCCCCTCGGAGGAAATGGTGCAGTGCGTTCTCCCAGCGCACCTTGCCCACTCGGCCGATTGTCTTCTTTTCTTCCCGTCCGGTGAAATTGCTCGCGATCGACCCGCTTCGTTAATAACGTGAAAAGTCCTAACACGGTTTTGATCAGCATAAAATTAAATAAATAATATAATTTGCTCTTACAACAAGGAAAAATTATGCGAGCTATCAAATTTCTAATCTTGCCCCTATTTTTATTAAATTTAAATTTACGACATTATAACTGGGCTTCAGCTTAAATGAAATTTAAATTGTTACAGCTAAAAGTTAACACTCGGGCTGGCTCTTATGCAAAATTGAAGCCCGGCTTAACCTTGATGAAAAATGAAAAAGAAAAAAATAATAATAACGACTGTTGAGTGACTCCAACAACGACTCACTCTCAGTTGCTAAATCAATTTCTACAATTATTGTAGTTTAAAACTCTCCAATATTTATTATTTTTTCCCATTAATTCTACTCATATTTAGACAAGCTAGGTTTTTAAAAACCAGCAGACTGGAGGTCAATTGTCCTTTATTTTTTTCAACAAGGTTTATCCCGGTTTCTATATTTAATTGAAATATTGTTGAGATCTTTTAAAAATCTGCATTTTTCTTTATTATTTTATCCCAAACCATTTGGTTAGTGTGAAGTGTTTTTCAGACGTGTCGCATCCACAGTTGACATTTTTCTGCACCGCGATAAAATTTTAGCGCTGGCTCGTTTGAAGAGAGCCAAGTGTGGTCATCATTGATTGACCCCAAGCTGAGAGAGAGAGAGAGAGGCAGCCACAGTTGAAATGCTACCCAGCAGCGCGAGTGTTGCGGTGCAAAACGGCCGGAATGTATGTCACACGTACAAAAGAGAGTTATTGCAGCGAAATTAACGAGGTGTGCAAATTGTGCGGCGCGCAACTTTTCTGACTCGCCGCCGAGAATACATATGCTCCCCTTTCAGCACTTTTGCCTGGATCACCGTGCAAAGAAAAAAAGAAACTGTATTGAAGATTTATCGACAGGTCTAAGTCGGGTAATTGATGGATTGCTTGGCGGCAGCTGTTGAAATGCCGGGCGATAAATTTTACTTTTCTTGACCCGGGTTGTTCTGAAATGGTATATAATATATTTTGAAATTTAATTACAAAAAAGCAGGAGTATATATATAGAAAAAGAGACAAAAGCGAGAGGCTGCAAAGCCAACGCAAACTTCTCACGCTGAAAGCAATGATTAAAGACAATACCGCGCACGCATACACAAATGGAACTTTGACACAAATGCGTGTACAAGCGAGAGAAGCCACTTTCCGCGGAACAAAGTATGCATTTGCGCTTGAGTTTCAAGTCAAACAGAAAGCAGCGGGTATATAAATGTTTGCAACATCACAGCTCTCACTCGGAAACACAACCGTCCGCTTTTCTCTCTCGCCCGTTCGCTGGGTGGTAGTTGCGGCGTGGACCACTTTATGGATGGGGCTCCTCTCTTTTTTGCTCTCTCTCTCTCTCTCTCTCTCGCGCGAGAGCGTGTGTGTCAACAATGATGATGAGTTATTGTTTATACAAAACTTTTTACCCGAAACAACAACAGCGCCACCGTCGTTAAGTTAATATTGTCTCTGCCTCGTTGGTTGCCGCTCTCTCTGGCTCATCAAAAATGTATCGCAGGCAGGTGGCTTCAGCGCCCCGTAATGAATTGTTCACGATGATGGATTCATCGGCGTCGCCGACCTGCCCCCGGTTCGAGTTAATTTCCACTCTGGCTTTTTGCGCAATCGATGCGCCCCTTTGCGGTATTACAAATGCACGTCTTTATAAAGTTCAAATAAGCCAAAACGTATCAAATAATGCGGGCTTGCGTGAACGGAAAGCATTGTTCTCGGATTCAATCGGGTCGAGTGAGAGAGGGAACGGCAACTTTTTACTCGGAAAACTCTTGGAAAATGGCCTATCAGCGTTTTCCAAGTGTTTCAGCCAAAATAACTTTCTCATGCTGCTTGTTTTGGAATGGTTTTTGAGCGGCACGGTATCATCCACTTTTATCTATTAGTATTCAAAAGCACTTTTGCTTTCTTGAATCATCTCTTTTCATTCTTACATACAATCTCCGAATTTCCAGCACTCGGCGGGGTTCGGCCGCCGCCATTCTGATCCCCGTGAAAGTGCGCAGGTTGATGCAATTGGGAAGCGAGAGAAAAGAAGGGGTTGAGAAAGAAAGATTGCGAGGTGGAAGAAACAAACGAGAGTTGTGCAAGGAGGAATAGGTCGCGCGCGCGATGCGCCCGGAGATGGGGCAAGTTGTGTTGGGCTGGCTGCCGCGCGCGCCGTGCTGCTGTATTGTAATATAATGTAGAGTAAAGGCGCACACAAGATCGATACTTTAGTTTGGCCTCTAAACACTCACCATCCAGCAGTTTACTACGCCGGCTACTATACGCCAGCACACGCAGCAGCGTGTGCGTCGGCCGCCCGTGTTTTGGCCGCGCCGCCTCTGTGGTGGTGGAACCGCCTCTCGCTGCCCAATTTCGGCAACTCACCCTTAACCTTACCGATGTGAATCTGTCTCGACTTGAGAACCATATAGTTTTTTTCTTAAGGGGGAACCATTTCTTTGACCTTAAATAACACTAAAGTAAAATTATATATAATTTATTTTTTAAGGTTCAATTTTCATTGCAAAATATAAATTTTTGTGTTGTAGAGATATAACTGGATATAACTAAGAAATTGTTCGAATTTGATAATATCTTTTTACAGATTTAAAACTTATTTCAATAAAATTGCAACAATTGTGGACAAATTTTTTAAGCACGGCATGTTAAATTTATTGGTTCCCTTTTAGATTTTAGTATATATAATTTTTTTAATAATAATAATTGTGTACCGCTTATATTTAATTATTCATTATTTTAATAAAGTTGATATATATTCATATTTATTGACCCTTCTGGGTACAACACCATCATAAGATCTATGATCTATGAAATACAAAATCGTGGTTACAAAAAGTGTAAATTAATTTATTTGATTAATATAAAATAATCCTATATTTTTGAAAATATATTCAATAATTAATCATTGTTTAAATTTTTTATAATTATTTAAAAATCAAAGGAATATTTTGGTGTTCAAACCAAACCCATCTTAAAAACATGAATTTAATCAACAAAATGAAAAGTATTTCTATCTTAATCCATTTTTTTTGCACCCTTGAAACCCATCGTAAGCCGGTTTGGCAGAATAAGGGCTCGCCGGAGCCAGGGGCTGTCGCCATAGTTATACGCCTGTGTAGGCACAAAGCCGCAACACCACCGGCCTAATATAATTATTTCATACGCTGCTGCAGAGCCCAGCATCTCTCTCTGGCTCGTGTTCCAACCAGCAACTCTGTTATGCACGTAGCCTCACACAATTTGATTTTGCCCTTGCCCCGCCTGCCTGCCTGTTGTTGCGATGCTTTGTTGCTGCCAATTATACCGCCCATTGGGCCCGCTGCAAAACAGGCCCTGATGCGAAATTTGCACGCCCTAAATTTCTATCGCGACTGTAAATATGTCCCCCGGTAGCAAAATGAAGATGTTAAACCCGTTACTTTATCAAACACACCCGTCCACCGAAATGAGGAAAGGAAATTTCCTTGCAGAAAATATGGCCGCTCTGTTACAATGAACACGATTATTTTATGTTGCTCTTTATCCAAGTCTCAAAATGTGAATTTCATTATGCGCCGCACACCCTTCTACTTATAACTCCAGCTTACAATGAAGTCGTCGACGAATAATCTCTACAGCTTATAAAATTTTAATTAAAACTTTTGAATATATGCAATTTTTCAGCATTTTTATTGATCTCATTTCCAGTAAAACCAATCTTTCGTCATTGTTCTACGAATAATGCACCACGTGTTCTTTCTTTTTGTTGCCTCTGTGACATCGAGAGTATATGTTCCAATGTTCTAGATAACTCTCCGAGCTATACATGAATATGCCCCGCTCAAGTTCATTCTCGAGTGCATTATATCCTGTGGAAGAAGAATGGAAATTAATCGTGTCACCGCTGGCAGTTACTTTTTGTCCGCGGTGTTTTTAATTAAAAGCACAAACCGTGACAACGGCTTTTGCGAAATTCCCTTTTCTGCATCACGCGCATTTTCTCGCTGAGAAAGCTTGAATTTGCACGCCCTCTGCACCGGGCTCGTCTTTCCATACTTTTGTATCAAAGCACAAACCAGTCGGTTGCCAACCGAGTTTATCATTTAATTGAGTTAAGCGGCTCAAGGGCAAGCAGATAGCAGATGGAAGGTTAAGCATTGTTACTAGCTTTAAAATTGCACTGAACAAGTCACCCCACGTCTTTTAAAACCAAAAAGCGATGTTTAAGAAGTTGCTACACAATAATATATAATGTGTACTTGAAGGCTCAATGCGGTGGATGGGGTCTTTTTGCTCTTGGAAGTTTTAGCAAAAATCTTGCTAGTGCATGGTGGTGCCGTTTTGTCCAAGAATTCCCTTTTTTCTCAAATAAATTTTTTTTAACAAATAAATGTAAACAATGTGATATTATTTGGAAAAATAAACAGCTATAATAAAAAGTGCAGTTTAACAAGCGATTCACCATTTTAAAAGGGGGCCAAATTAAAAAATTGCATACAGTACTAAACAAACAAGGAGACAATTGGCTTTGGATTTTAAATTTTTCAAAAGCAGTTGACACGCCATTATTATTGATTAAATCAATTGCACTATTAGATTGTGAGACGAGGAACCTCTTTGCTCATTTTTTATTTAGAAATTTTTTTTAAAAGTACTAAATTCTAGTCTTATTAACCTATGTTTTAATTTACTTAAAAAAACTGTCTAATATTTATTTTTGATGAAAAATTTTTAATTAAAAACTGACAGAATTTTGGAA